AAATGAGAACTGCTACAGCAAGTGTTGAGAAGAATGAGGATTAATAGAAATTAATTTGGTAAAACTACTTTGAAAGCTAACATTAGAAACTAAAAAAGAAAAATGAATACATTGACACACAAATCATTAACATCCAAGGTCATAACACTTTCAGAAGACAGAGATCATTCAAAAGATGTACATTGAAATAGTTGCTCATAAGCAAAAGTGAAAATATGTCATGAGTATATATATAGAAAACCAGTTGTCCTTTTTTGAAAAGCTAGAGTTGTTAAGTGTTAGCATAGCTCTCAGCTCCACTCTTTTTTTTTTTAAGATTTTTTTTTTTTATTGGGGAATTGGGGGAAGGGGAACAGACTAGTTGCTGTCGTTTTGTTCTTCAGTCTAGTTGTGGAGGACGTTGCTTCACTGGCCCAAGTTGGCACCATCATTGTGCTCTTCCTGGGCCAGGCAGATCAGTCGCCGGCTTCTGGACGGCCGCTCACAGCGGCTGCTGGCTACACACGATAGCCCATGGCAACCCACTGCCACAGGGGCTGCAGCCTACGCCGTCGCAGGCGACTACTCATGGCAGCCCAGCTCCAGGTTGAGCTGTTGTTCAGCATCTTAGCTGTGGAGGGTGCAGCATCACTGGCCCTCATGTGGGATCCGAACCAGGGCCCTCTGGCGTCCCAAGCCAGCTCTTAACCAATGCACCACTCAGCCGGCCCAGAATACACATTGTTTTTAAAAGCACATAGAACATTCACGAAGAAAGACTATGTCCCGAGCCATAAAACATGACTGAATAAATGTAAAGTGATTGAAATCATAAAGAGTATGGTCTCTGATGATGGTGGAGTGAAATAAATAACCAAGAGATACCTGGAAAATCTCCAAATATGTGGAAATGAGATAATACACCTCTAAATAACCCATATGTCAAAGAGAAATTACAAGGGACATTAGACAATACTTTGAACTGAATTATAACGAAAACAACATGTCAAACTTAGTGGGATGTAGCCGAAGCAATGCTCTCAGGTAGAAATTTATAACTGTAAATGCTTATTTAGAAAAGGAGAAAGATTTTAGGTTCATGATCCAAACTTTCACTTTAAGAAGCTAGAAAAAAAAGAGAAAGGAGGAAATATAAAGACAGGAGTGAAAAATCAATGAAATAGTAAATGGATAGAAAAAAAAAGAGTTCTCAAACTTTTTGATGTCAGGATCACCTAGGCTCTCAAAAAATTTTGAGAATTCTAGATATCTGGTTTATGTGCTTTATATCTATCATTACTCACTGCACTAGAAATTAAAAGAGAAATTAAAAATATATTTTATTCTTTATTTAAAATAAAAAATAATAAGCCCATGCATGTAAGCATAAATGACATATTTTTTGGAAAAAAATAAGTCTGAAGAATGGTATTGTTTTACAATTTTCCAAGCTTCTTTAATGTCACGCTTAACAGAAGACAGCTGGGTTATCATTCTCTTCCAAAATTTATTGTTTGGGTTGAAGTATATGAAGAAAATCCAGTCTCACACAGATGTACAGTTGGAAAAATGAATATTTTAATAGCCTTTTCAAGTAATTGTGGATTTTTCAAAATTGTTTTGTATACACCAAAACTTGACAAGTAGTAGTTTCTTATAATGTGGAATACGAAACTTTATGAACTTTTTATATTCATTACATTAAAATTCATTGGTCCATCTTTCATGTTGGATGAATCTCTTAGCCATCCATAATTTTGTAAATCATTGAAAAATGTTGATTCACTTACGTTATACAGATTTTCCAAATGTTGACACATTTTATTACACAATATAAAAAAAATCACATTCAGTCATATTGCCACTACTGTTGTCAGCAAAGTATTTAGTGATTGGAAAGCCGTTGAGCTCATGGAACAAATACAAATTTTCCAAAATTCAGAATTTCACTTCAAAATTCAAATTTCATCATTGGTGACAAATACTTTCAGTTGTTTTTCTTAAAAGTTGCAGTTTTGAGAAAAATGTCTGCCAAATATGCAAGTCTAAATAACCACAGTTTGATTATTAGTCATTCTTTTTAAGTAAAAATAATGTCCCATGATAAAAGTGGCTAGTTCAGCTCACAACTCAAACAATGGTACTGTGCTTGAGTCAACACCATACTTCTCCATACAGCGGAAGGGCTTTGTGCCATTTCATCACACGAAATCTTCAAGTGGGCCAACGGGTCAGTAGTTAATAAAATGAATAATGTTGACTTCTCCATCACGGACATTTTACAAGTGAAGCGGGATTGATTGACTGATTCTGTATGTGGGATGTCGCCCCTGAGATTAGGTTGCAATGTGTAAGACCCTCTCTTGCCAGCAGGCTCTGTGTGTGTCTTTTTCTTCTTGCTAGCTTTGAAGAAGCAAGCTACCATGAGTCCTACAGCCACAGGAGATGAATTCGGGCAACAGGTGACTGGGCTTGGAAGCAAACCCTTCCCCAGTCACGTCTCTGGATGGATGAGAACCCAGCCCTGGCTGACACCTTGCTTGCAGCCTTACAGAAGACCCAGCTAAGCTGTGCCTGGACTCCCGGCCCACAGAACTGTGAGATAATGAATGAGTGTTATTTTGAGCCACTGTGTTTGTGATTATTGGTGACAGAGAAGAGAAAACGAATACAGAAGCCATTCCAATATTTAATCAGGCCTCCAGCTTCTGTCTAATGAAGTTTATGATAGGCCCAGTGGATCCTGTAGTCATGTGCTTACTGTTGTAGCTTCTTTACCAAAAAGCAGGTCTCTAGACCTAGGGACAGGATCCCATGATTACAAATCAGACTCGCCATGCATCCACTGAAAGTGGTGATGGTAGAGGCATTACAGGCAGACAATGCTACACACACTCACACATTTAGAATATCTATTAATCCCAGTAAGAATGAATTGCTGGCCCTCCAGGGTGGATGGAGGATGATATAATCATCTTGCCATCAAACAGCTGGTTGGTCTCCTTCAGGGATGTGGCATATCAAGGGGTTGGCATTGGTCTCTGATGCTGACAGACTGGACATTCAGCAGCAGTTGTAGCTACATCAGCTTTGGTAAGAGGGAGCTCATGTAGTTTCATTGGGTGAATGAATGACCTCCAATCCTGCCAACACAGCTCTCCTGTTCATGGGCACAATGTGTGAGCATGGACGTTGACAAGGATGGAAGTTAGCTGGCCTCTACTGGAGGGTCGTCTCATCCACTTGGTTGTGGAGTGCCTCCTGTACACTGGATGCCCAGTGGTGGGTATTGGCATGGGATAGAAAAAGCTGCACACTTCGTTTTCACTCTTATAGGTCCATTCATGTACTTCTTCCCCAGGTCTTGAAATTTTGGTCTCTCTAAGCCCCAGATCAACCAGACAAGCCATTTATCACTGCTCAGGGGTCCATATATATTCTTACTCAGGCAACTTCTCCTTTTACACCAAGATGACGGCCAGGTATGTTGTTTGAAGCTTTATACATAGGATTTCCCCTCATCACTGCCTTTCAGGGCCACCCCTGAAGCTCTCAGCTGGTCATAGGACACTCCCTATAAGGCTATGGGTGTGAACTGAGGGAGAAACTTCAATTCACTACAAGTAAGTGACATGGGGGTATAGCCATTTTTCCAGGGTAAACTGTACTGTTTTTTCCTATACATACATACCTATGGTCGTTTAATTTATAAATTAGGCACAGCAAGAGATGAATAATAACTAATAATAAAATAGAACGATTATAATAATATACTATAAAAAGTTATGTGAACGTGGTCTCTCTCTCAAAATATCTTGTAGTGTACCCACCTTTTCACTTAAAGGAAGCACTTTGTGGCTTCTCTTTGGCATCGTTACCCTTGTGCTTTGGAGTCATTATTAAATAAAGTAAGGGTAACTTGAACACAAACACTACAACACCGTGACAGTCGATCTGATACCTGAGATGGCTACTAAGTGACTAATGGGTGGGTAGCATATACAGCATAGTCGCTGGACAAAGGGGCGATTCATGTACCCGGCAGGACAGAGCAGGGTGGTGTGAGAGTGCATCACACTACTCAGAACGGAGGGACATTTAAAACTTATCAATTGTTTATTTCTGGAATTTCCCATTTAATGTGTTTGGACTGCAGTTAACCGCAGGTAACCGAAACCACGGAAAGCAAAACCGTGGATAAGGGGAGACTACCGTATTATGAATTTATCTACTATAAACATTTGTACAGGTGTAGGTGTGTGTGTGTGTGTGTGTGTGTGTGTGTGTGTGTGTGTGTGTACATAAATGTTTATTTCTATGGGATAAATGCCCGGGAGTGCAATTACTGGGTCGTATGGTAATTGCGTATTTTATTTTTCAAGAAACTGCCAATCTGTTTTCCAGAGAGGTTGTAATATTCTACATTCCTACCACAATGTATGAGGGTTCCATTATCTCTGCATTTCTGGCAGTGTTTGGTGGTGTCGCCCTTTTTAATTTTAGCTCGTCTGTTAGGTGTGCAGCGGTATCTCATTGTGGTTTTAATTTGCATTTCGCTAATGGCTCTTTTCATGTGGGTGTTGCTTTTTAAAAAAGGTAACACTATTATTTCTCAGTGGTTAGAGATGTTGAGTGGAACAACATTTATGTAAAGGAGTTTAAATTTTTATTGCGAACAAGTAGGGAAGAGAAATGCTGAGAAAGGCCTAATTCAAGGCAGCAGGGAGCTGTGGATGCATCTGTGGAAACAGCGTTGGTGAGGTGGCTGCCTCTCTCTGTGGCCAGAGACCTAGGCCAGGGGGCCCCGAATGCCCGGGATCGACCCCATTAAGGAGTCCATGCAGAGCTGGAAAGCAAGAAGACTCACCTGAGTCAGGACTCCGCGGCCTAGTCCCACACACGCCCTGACCTTCAGATGACCCCAGTTCCCTACGAGACCCGTTTCCTGCCAACACCGGGGCAGGGGCAGGAGCCGCCGCAAGGGGGCGCCCCGACAGGGCTGAGACCACGTGGCGATCCTCATGGCGTCCCTGGGCGGCTCCCGCCGCGGTGGCCGCTCCCTGGGCCTGCTGATCTGGCTCCTGCTCCTTCAGCCCCCGCTCCGTGAGGCCCGGGCGGGCGGGGAGGGGGCGCAGGGCGGGTCGGCGCTGCCTTCACCCGCTCCAACCCACTCCGTTGGCGGCCTTGAAGACCCTGGGGCGAGCCTATGGAAGCCGCCTCCTGCAGGGATCCCAGGATCCTCGGGAGCCCCCGAATCCCGTGTGACTGCGGCACCCCGTTTGGCGGCGTTGACCCCGAGTGACTCTGATTCCTACAAGGCTTGGACACTCGCACCAGCAACGGCCACAGGAACACCAGTCATTCCTTCAGGTGATATTTCTGGGCCACAGAGAACTGGCCAGGTCCGAGGAGGGTGGGACCCTGCCTTGGGGGAGAAGGGCCTCAGGGGATCACGATTTTTTCCTGGGGGGGGGGGGTTCTGAGTAGATCCAGCCCCGCCCTTGAGATCTGAGATGACCATTCTCTGAGGAGTCTTAAGGGAAACAGACCTGCTCTGGGTGTCTGAGGGGCCGTGGCCTTGCCCTGAGGGTTCTGAGGATCATCTGGCTCTGATGGTGGTGGTGTCAGTGGCTTTACTTTCTCCGTCCCCTCTCTTCCTTGACCTGCTCCAGGATGTGGCCATCGGAGTATGAGGATAGTTGGCGGAAGGCCGGCTTCGGAGAAGAAGTGGCCCTGGCAGGTGAGCCTGCAGATCAGTGACCAGCACGTGTGTGGGGGCTCCCTCATTGCCAACCGGTGGGTGCTGACGGCGGCCCACTGCATATACGGGTGAGTGTTCGAGGCTCCGGGCTTGGGCTCCTGACCGGGCTGTGTGACCTGGAGCCAGTCCTATCCCCATCCCTAAGCTTTCTCATTCTCATCTGGAAAAGGGGGGTCACGGTCCCTCTTCTTCAGGTTGTAGTTAGAAGTGGGTGATGTCAAGGCCCTTGGTAGCCTGGAAAGTCAAGTTCCAAAATCGGGTTCAAAGCCACTTCTTTCAAGCCTGTGCTGATTAGCCTTCACTAAGTGGTAACAAGTGGGAGAGATGCCAGTTGGGAGACGGTATGTGGGCAAAGATTTGCAAGGGGGATTGTTTAAGGGGAGTGCAGTGTAGTAGGAGGAGTATAATAGTAATTTGGCTAAATCAGTGGTTTCAAACTTTAAAGAGCCTGGAAACAACTGCAGAGCTCATTAAAACACAGATTGCCTGTCCCCAACCCCCAGAGTTTCTGATTCAGTAGGTCAGGAATGGGAACCGAGTGACAAGTTCCCAGGTGATATTAATGCTGTTCATTCACGGACCACTGCTTTGAGAACCAAAGATAGAGTGGCCAGGGGTCCAGGGAAGGGGTGTGGTTTGGAGGGAAGGAATTGGCTGATGGCTGGCATTGGGCATAGGATCTGGTTGGGAAGAACCTGGAATGCATGGAAGGGGAAGGTAGAGCCTCTAGGATCTCTCTGCAGCCATCTGGACTACATGGTGATGGTGGGAGACATTAACGTGAAGCACGCCTCCAAAACGGCAGTCAAGGTCCCAGTTCAAGATATTGTTATCCACAAAGATTACCGTCCTTTTGGAACAATCGAGAATGACATTGCCTTGGCGCTGCTCGAGTTCCCGGTGAAGTACTCCTCACATATCCAGCCTGTGTGCTTCCCTGAAAAGGCCTTCAAGGTGCGAGCTGGAACGGAGTGCTGGGTGACCGGATGGGGAAAACTACATGAAAAAGGTGAGACTGAAGCGAGACTGCAAGAAACTCGGGTCAGGGAAGAGGCTGCCTGCTGCCCTGGGGTTGGCTTGCAAGTTAAAGAGAGAGACAGGGAGGCAGTTTTCTAGCAAGTGGGTACGGGAGAATGGAATAATTGAGGGTGAGGAAATTTCTATTAGTATGTCAGGACCTAGGGGCATGGGTGACAAGCAAGGTGGGTTCTTTCAGGGGTGGATTTTAGCTCTGGGGGAGGGTGGGGTGTTGATCTGTCTGCTAACCTAAGCTATCTCAAAGTGGAAGTACTTGCTTTGGTGGACAGGGCTTTCTGTGAGTGAGTAGAGGCCAGAGAACGCCTCTTAGTGAAACTGTAGGGCTTCCTATCCTGGGGAGACGCTGGCTTTGGTACCTTTGGAGCACTTCCTGTCTGAGAGTCTATGATCCTGCTCTAAAGTAAAGACACTTTACTGATGCACAGGACACCTGTCACTATTATTATTGATACGCAGAGTGACAGATACTTGGTTGTCAGGCCGGTAAGGCCTCGCCTCTTCCTGTCCTGATGTATTCGTCCTTCTCCTGTCTTGCTTTTGGCTCTTACCTTCTCTTCTCCCCATGTCATTTTTGGGCCTTATTTCCTCCACTGTCTAGTGGGGACAGTACCCACTGCCCCAAGAGGGTGTCTGTATATGAACACACTGTATTGAGACCCAGAGTGGCTGCCAGGGGCTGTGTCTTGGCACACGAAGCAGACCCACCTACTAAATGACCTTTACAGATACCAAAGACGAGGCTCCAGAGATGCTTCAGGAGGCTGAGCAAAGCATCATCCGCCATGAGAAATGCAATGAGATACTCAAGGAAAAGTTGGAAAGTACAAACAACGTGGTCAAGAAAGGGACTGTCTGTGGTTACAATGCCCTAGGAAAGGATTCCTGCCAGGTCAGTTCATGGGCCCTTTGCCAGCTCTGCATTTTGGTTGTCACCTCAAAGGGTCCTCATCCACAGGCAGTAGGGCCTGTGTCATCTGCCAGCCCCTCCATTCACCCTTTATTCAAATGAAAGGGATTGGATGGGACAAACTGCCAAGACTCCTCCAGGCTGGCCAGACCCTGTCCTTCAGTAGAGAGGAGCTGATGCTGTCTGGGGGGGAAGGAGGGGGCGAAGGTGGGGGGGAAAAGGGCCAGAAAGGAAGGGGGGTTCAGGCAGGAAATACCAGTAATACAAGTCACATGTTTTGAACCCCCTCTATGTGATAGGCAATGTACTCAGGTAAGGACTGTATTCATTATTATCTCAAAGTTTGTACGTTTTCTTTGTGTATTCAATATTTTCTGTACACAATTTTTGGAGTATGTATGCAAATATTGTTTGTTAAAAATTTTCAACTTTCAAATCTCTTTCACAGAGAGCTGGGCCTGGTGGGAGCCTGGGGAAGCCCCGCGTGTGCCCATCTCCCCAGTGCCTTGCAGTGCAGTCAGCCTGTTCTGATGCTGATCCTCTTCCATTCCTCTGTTTCTTTCTCTTTCTCCAGGGAGATTCTGGGGGGCCCCTGGTCTGTGAATATAATCAGACGTGGGTCCAGGTGGGGATTGTGAGCTGGGGCATTGGCTGTGGTCGCAGACATTTTCCTGGTGTTTATACAGAAGTTAGTGTCTACAAGGACTGGATCACTGATCACATGAATCAGGCTTCTCGGGACTCAGCAGGCTTCCTCGTCCTACCCGGGTGTCTGGTGCTGCCCCTGGGCATCCTGGGAACTCCGTGATCACCGCGGCCCACTCCCCTCCTGTTCTGAGTCTCGCATGAGGCCTCTCCTGCCACGTCCCACGTCTTCTCAGTGCCCTTCCCTCACATTCCGGTTGGGACCCACCGACCCTGTGGAGATCCACACAATAGACAGTAGAAGCAAGACCGGAGTCCCCATAGTGTCCCAGCCTGGTGCTCCAGTCCCCTGCCTTGGCCACGCCCACACCTTGGCTGTGCTCTGCCCCCTGGGATGGAGGGGTGAAACCATCCCAGCTAGAGGGCCAGCTGACCTCCATGTGGAGATGGTGCCTCTCGGGCATCTTGGAGAACGTCTACCAAAGAAGTCATCAGTGGTGAACAGCATTAGACCTGGGTGGTTTCAGGCTCTCACCTGACACTTTGTCAAACCAGTCAGCTTGGTGATTGTCCAGAGGGAGTGGACGAGGCGTTGCCAGGTCCCTGCTGTGGTGTGAGACCTAACTCAGTTGTCTGGGGTGGGGAGACGTTCCCTTGCACCCCAGTGTGGATCTTTCTGTGAGTGGCCAGCTTCTGCCACACGAACCCTCCTGGGTCAGCCCATCTTGGAACTCCCTTCCTCAGTGCCCTGGTGGCCACATCCAGGCTCACCCCAAGTTGTGTTGAGGCAGTGAGGAGTGCGGAGATGTCTGATGTCAGCTGAATAAATGTTTGGAATGTGGCTTGTGTTCTGAAGCTCTGTTCTCCTGGATGCTATGGGGTTGCATATAACATACTCTGTAGACAACTAGTTTCCCATTTAGCTCAGGAACTATATATGGTTCTTATAAAGCCCTAGAGGGAGAGGTAAGTCCCCACTTCTTCATATGTGAGTCCTGGGGATGGTTTTAGGCAGCTGGGTCCTGCTTCCTGTGCTCCTGTTACAATCATCAGCACGTCTGCCTGGAGCTTTGTATCTTTAAAATTTAATAGCCTCTGTAGCTCAGAATAGAGGATCAAGAGAACTGGAACTGAGAGCAAGAGTGAAGTTGGGGCATGAGAACTATTTCTCCTTTTCCGCTGCTTCTACTTTCTGCTCACAACCCCGCTCTCCCTCACCCAACTTTTTTAGCAAAGACAGGCATCCCCCAGGGAGGAGAGAGCAGGAGAGATTCACTGTATAGGATCCAGTTCTTCATCCTCATTCCAGGGCCGAGTGTCCCGGAGTCTCTCCGTCTAGCTGCTGATCAACTCCCTTTCAATCTTCTGTCCCTTGCGCTCCCAGGGGTCAAGGTTTCAGCTCCCAGGTATCCGTGGGTTTCAGAGGGCCGTGTGTGTCAGTCCCAGGTGTTGTCCCGGGAAGGCTGGGGTTGACAGATTGAGAGCTTACATCAAACCCAGTCTATTAATAAGTATCGAACTAGATGCTTTAAGAAGCCCCTGAATATTTGTGGGTTAACAAAATTAATTTAACTTCTTGTTCCTGTAACATCCCAAGTAGCTATTCTTGGTTAGCAGGTAGCTTTTCTTCTTATAGCTCCACTCAGCCCTGTGGTTACTCTTTACCTGCATCAGAATTCTCTGGAGGACTTGTTAACATGGATCTCTGGTTCCACTCCCAGAGTGTCTGATTCTGTAGGTCTGGGGTGGGGCCTGAGAAGGTACATCTCTAACAAGTTGTCTGCTGCTGCGGCTGCTGCTCTGGGGACCAGGCTGTGAAAACCACTGCTGTGCGGTAACAAGAGTTCAAATGGCCACCTCCCCTGGACTGCTGTGGCATGGAAGTGGCACACATCACCTCTACTCACCTCCTACTGGTGGCAACTCATGTGAAGCCCCTGTAGATGCCCGGTTGGGGAATGTGGTCACCAGAGCTGGGTCCCGCCCCTCCCCGACCCACCCCCACCCACTGGAACCTTGGTCATCTCCCAATCTCTGCCACTCCAGCAGACCCAAAGGCGGTAGCCTTCTGCAGAAATGCCCTGTGAAAGCCTGGGGCCTGGCATATGCCACGACCTCTTCCAGCTGCACCACCCAGCTGGCGGTCTGCAGAAGAGGAGGAATGCCTTTCCTTTCTTGACTCCCAGAGACTCCTTGTTCAAGTCTTAGGTCCAACTCAAATGTCACTTTCTCAAAGGCATCTCCCCTGATTCCCTAACTTGATTGTTCTTCCCTTGTGCTTTCTACAGCTTTCCAGATTAAGTCAATATAAACTGTGAAGCTCTCCAATATGCCAAGCTCAGGGGACCAACGCTGTAGTCAGAGGCTGGGTGAGAAGGTGCCATCACTGGTCCAGGGATTTAGGTGTGCCTTCACCGGCGAGGTTCTGGGGGCACTGTTACCAATTTAAGGCGCTAGGGGTGCTTTCATGGTGCTGGCCGCCGCGGAGGCGATCACAGATCCGGGGCTCCAAGGTCATCTTCCAGGAGCAGGCAGAAGGTGGGGGCGTGGGGAAGGTTCACCGCTCCAAGGGGCCATCACGTGTTCCGCCCGTATTCATGCGCAGGAGGGGCCGTCACGTGCCTAGAACTCCGTCAGGTCACGTGCTGGTGGTGCCCTCCGGCATCCGGGTGCTTTCGCGTCTCTGCAGCCGCCAGGTGGCATCTGCTGGGCCTCATGGCCGCCCCCGTGTCCCGCCTCAGCGCTGGGCCTGCAGCCTTGAGGCCCTGGGCCCTGAACCGCAGCCTTCTGCTCCTGCTGCTGTTGATGTCGCTGCTGTTGTTGCTGCTGCCACTGCTGAACTCCGGTGAGGCTGCGCCTCCGTAGGGGCTGTTATCCTGCCTTTCCCTCCACACCCCTCCTGTCTCTTCGTTACCCTCAAACCGCATCCCAGGCACAGACAGGGACTGGCCCCAGGGGTGTGGCTGTCTGTCCTGGCCACCTGGGACTCTGGGACCCACCCACCCACAGTCACGTCTCCTCCACTACCCCTCCCCAGATCTCACCAGGGCTGTTCCAGGGATACCGAACCCCTGCCTACTCTGGCCTCCTCCCTTGGGCCCCACCTGCTCCGCAGCCTCCTGGGGACCCCTGGCTTTTCTCCCAGCCAGTCAGCCACTTCCTTCCGCTGTCACTGGATAGTGTGCCTAAGACCTCAGCCACCCTCTTGACAGCATCCTTAGGCCTCTAGCGCTCTATCCCTCTGCCCCAGGCTCCGATCTTCCCAGGCAGCTGGGCATCACTGGAGACCCCACTCAGGCATGCTGTCCGGCCCAGACAGATTGGTGATCCCCCTCTACTTAGGAATGTTCCAGAATTCACCTTCTTCCCAGACCCCCTGTTCAAACCCAGTGTGCCTTTCTAGCAGCTGCTTTGTTCACCCAGTGGTCACTCAGACAGCACCCTAGTGAGGTGCTATCTCCCTTAACTCCCTCCAGACCCCAGGGGCCCCTGCAAACCTGACTACTCAACACCATCCTCACCCATTTTTGGGGGGAATGGGAGACAAGCCTCCTGTTCAAGGTCAGCTTGCTCCCAGGTGCCGTGGACGGCAGGTCCCCTCGGTGTGAGCTCCCTCCGTCACCCTCTCGTAGCCCTTTACCCTCTCCCTTTCTAGCTGCTGTGTTTTTTTCGTGTCTCTTGACCCTCCCTGCCAGATTTCTCAGGATAAGAGTTTTCACTTTGTGCTTCCTTCCTGGGCTTCCTTACTCCTCACTTAATCCTTAGCCGGTTCCCGGTCTGTCTCTGCCTGACTGTCCCTGACCTTTCACCACTCCCTCCTTTTTCATTTTCCTCTAGTGCCCGGCTTCTCCTGTCCTTCAGGGAAACTCCCTTGCTCTTCTGTGTCCCTCGCAGCCACCCACGCTCTGTTCATCCCTGACATATTGGTGTTCCCTGAGGTGCTGTCTGGGTCTCCTCCCCACTGCTCCCTGGGTGAACTCACTTGGCCTGGGACATTGTTGTGATGCTACCTCACCAAACAACCTGTCTGGACGTGCATCCACCTACTGGACATTCCCACCCGAATGACCTGGAAACATCTCAGCTTCCTGGGAGCCGAAGCTGAGATCTTCCTCTTCTTACAAACTGTGTTCTCTTACTCTGTTCTCTGACTGAGAAACAGGGCAGGATGGAGGGGGTCATCCTAGACCCAGCCGTCTTCCTAAGTCCTACCTCTAGCTCGCCATGTGTGTTCTCACTGCCACTTCCTCATTCAGACCTCATGGGATCTCACTGCCTTCAGTCTTGTCACCTTCCTACCTGTTCTCCATGCTGCCTTCACAGTACAAGCCTGGCCATGTCACTCCTCCGCTGGTCTCCTTCCTCCCAGAAGGTGCCACTCAGGCTTCTTGGCCTGGCTTAGGAGGCACCTCATGATGAACTCCTGACTTTGCTCCCCTGGCATCACTTCTTGCCATCACAGGCCTTTCCCTTTATCCTCTGGAGCCTCAGGCACGCAACATGATGTTTCTTTTGCAAGGAATGTCATTCCCACTTTTCATTTCTGTTTTGCCTTCTCATCTTTAAGACCTGGCACAATTACCTGTCTTCTGAGAGGCCTCTCTGTCCACTGCTTCTCCTGGGCTTACCTGACACCTGTGGTCGTGTTCCTGCGTTGATGTCACGTAGGTGATTGTGGGTTTACTTCTGTCTCTCCTGCTGGACAGTGTGTCCCTCAAGAGCAAATACAATGTGTATCTGTCTGATATACCTCTGTCCTTACCAGCTCCCGGCTCCAGGCTGTGGGAGTGGGAAATTAGAAAATGTTTGGTGAATGGAGGGGCTAATTAATGAAAATACACCTCTCCACTGTCATCCTGTCATGACCCCTCACTTCATCTCTGTCCCCCTTTTCTCCTCCAGGTTACAAAGATGACAGCACCAAACCAGGTGGGTCAGGTGAGCCGCTGCTGCAGGAAAGTCTCGGCTTCTGGGAGGTTATGTTCTGATTAGAGTCACATAGATGGTGTTTCTGGGTCTGTAGGAAGCAGCCATTTAGTGTAAGTGTTGGCTGATATTTTATTTATACTATCTGCATCTCCATTCATTCATATAGTCGTACAACTTGATTGTTGGAACTCCACGCACACTAAGAGTGTAAACTGTGAGCAGGGGCCCCTGCAGGCTCCAGGCTCAGCTCTTTCTGGAATGGTCTGTGTGAGACTTCTGACACCCAAGTCTGGAGCTTTTCGGACTCTGAGCAGTGGGGGCATCTAAGAGCTGCAGCCAGCATTATAGCTTTCAGGAACATGGTCTAGGGACTTATCAGAGACACAATTCTGGGGCTTCTTCTATGCATCTCCCTTTTTTTGAGGTTCTGTGTTGATTGCTATCTGTTATCTCAGTATCTCACTCTCTCTTCCTGTGATGTCTCTATTGATGCTGTTTATCTCTGTCGCTGTCATTTTCTGCCTAGCTCAGTGCCTTTGGGCAAATCACTGCCCTCCTCAACCCCTGGGTCTCCCCCGCTTTGAAATGAGGCCAAGCCCTGGAGTTTACAGCCTTGTGCAAGTTGCCCCAGGGGCATCTTGGTCTCATTCATTCTTTTTATTATTATTATTATTATTATTTTTTAGCTGAGCCATCCTGCCACCTTTTGGCAGCTCAGAGGCAGCTGAGCTTGGGCTGAGCATTGAACCACTGTTGCTCAGAGCTTGCACTCTTGAGCGAGCTCTTAACCAACTGAGCCACTCGGCCGGCCCAAGTCTCATTCATTCTTAACCTCCTCTATGTGTCCACTGTGTCTCCCTGGCACACTTGTCCCTGAAGCTTGTGGGAAACCCTGGTGGTCGGAAGACTTGGACGTGACCCGCCATTGGCCCTGGGAGGTGAGCCTCCGACTAGAAAATGAGCACGTGTGTGGAGGGGCCCTCATTGACCTCAGCTGGGTGGTGACTGCTGCCCACTGCATCCAAGGGTGAGTGTGTCCAGGGCCTGGAGACCCAGGGCTGCAATGGGCCCAGCCTAGCCTCCTCGTTTCCCCTATGGAACAAAGTAGGAGTGGGGTAGGTAGGGAGAGTGGGAAGGGGTGCCCAGAACAGAGGAGTCATGCTCAGAATCTCACAGGGGGCCAGGGACTGGGCTGGGGCAGGAGCCCAACAAATGAAGACTGTATCCTAAGCAGGATAACAAACAAACCCAGTATAGACCCTCCACCGCCCCCCTCCCCGCCCCCCGCAACGAGAACATACATGTAGACCAACACCTACCTATACGCCCGTATACACAACACGTAGACCAGACCACCTTGAATCAACTTGAATGAAGAACGGGGAGGCAGTCAGATCTCTGACCCCCGAGGGCCCACAGGCTGGATTAGCAAGATGGAACGTGCAGAGCAAATCAGGCAGGATGTCTGTCGGGGGAGAGGGTCCTTGGCCGAGGTTGGGGCATAGTGCTGCTTGGAGCGCTGACATCTACCAGAGTAGATGGGGCTCTGTGTTCCCTGTAGCACCAAAGAGTACTCGGTGATTCTCGGCACCTCCGAGCTGAAGCCCATGGACCCCACAAAGGCCGTCGCGATCCCCGTGAGGGACATCATCATGCACCCCAAGTACTGGGGCCGGACCTTCACCATGGGCGATGTTGCCCTTCTCCAGCTTCACACTCCTGCCGTCTTCAGCAAGTACGTGCAGCCCATCTGCCTCCCGGAGCCCACCTACCACCTGAAGGTTGGGACGCAGTGCTGGGTGACCGGCTGGGGCCAGGTGAAGCAGCGCTCCTCCGGTGAGCAGGATGGGATGGGGGTGGGGGGTGGTAGTGCAGAGGGCACAGTCTGTTCATTCTTTCTGGGGCCTTGCCTGCTGGACCCCCTCCTGGTGCCTCTCAGGAGGCTCTTAACTGCAACCTCTGCCCCTGGTTCTTGGATGTGTTAGGCCTGCCGCTCACGTGGGAGCCACTGTCATGGTTTATACCATTGTGCTTGCTGAGGGGACCTCATCCAGGTCTAGCCATGCCTTGGCTGGGTGTGATCATTGCCTCCCAGAAGCTCAGAATCAGGGATTCATAAATTCACTCATTCATTCATTCACTCGGCAGACTTAAAGCATTTTTCACATACCGAACCCTTGGCAGTGGGGACACATGCCCTGCCTGCAGGGAGCTCATACCTGAGTGTGGGTGGGGTGCAGGCTGCCAGGGAAAGAGGCAGGTGATCTTGTCAGGTAATCTTGAGATCAAGCCAGGAGGGATCTGGGATGAGTTCTCAGCGGATGATCTGCCTGAACTGCCTGACAGAGGAGCGAGCATCACTCAGGTGGCAGAGGGCATGGCCAGTGCAGTGGAGGGCAGCGGTTTGTGGTTGGGGGCTCCATTTGTGAGTATTTGTATTACGACTTGGACTGCAGCCTGCTTGGTTCAGAAGCAAAAGCTTCCCAGAAAGGGGTCCTGAAACACAGCCTTAGGGGTTAAGAGGCTTGCCAGACATGGTCTGCCTGGCAGGGGGGAAGGGCCAAGTGAAGGAGAGCGTGGAGGCGTGAAGGGATGTGGCTTTGCTGAGTCTGGAGAACAGAGGTGACAAGACACTGGGAAGAGGCCAGGGCTGAGTGGAGTGAGGAGTCAGTTCTTACCCCACTGGGCTCTTCCACAGCCAACTCCACGCTGACCCCAGAGCTGCAGGAGGCCGAGGTGTTTATCATGGACAACAAGAGGTGTGACCGGATTTACCGCAAGAAGTCCCTCATCCCCTGCATTTTCCCCCTTGTCATGGAGGACATGATCTGTGCCACCAACTATGAAGAAAACTTGTGTTATGTGAGTTTCGGCAAGGTTCTGCAGCTCTCTTTCTGTTGGGAATGACTCCTGGGTTGGGAGGCAGTTCCCTGGGGAGGGGTTGGCTTGGCTTCCCTCCTTGTCACCATCACCAGGCAATGAATGCTCTGCTCCCATCTTTCTTCTCCTGTGACTTTGGTTTTGCCTGATATTCTGGGGCAGGGTCCCCAACTGAGGAACTGATGGAGGCCCCCAGGTAGTGAGATTCTCAAGGAGTGAAAGACCCTTCTAAGCGGAACTCAGAGGGTGGGCATTCGGGGTCCCAGCTGGGCCCAGAGCCGCCATCACTCCCCTCTCTTTGCCTAGGGGGACCCTGGGGGCCCATTGGCCTGCGAAGTTGAGGACAGGTGGATTCTGGCTGGGGTGTTGTCCTGGGAAAAGGTCTGTGCCAAAGTACAGAATCCAGGCGTGTACACCCGTGTCACCAAATACAGCAACTGGATCAAGAAGCAAATGAGCAGTGGGGCCCTGTCAGGCCCCCGCGCCTCCGCCTGGCTCCTACTCCTGTCCCGGCTGCTGCAGCCCAGAGTGGGCCTCTGATCGCCCCTCTTCTTCCTGCTTTGCTTCTGCTGAATGGGACCCGATCAAGGTTAGACCAAGGTCATGTGTCCATAGTCAACAAGAGTCAGGGTGGGGACAGAGTGGCTCCTGGGAGACTGCTTTGGCATCCCAGTGGGGAGGGACGTAGTGGATGACTGGCCTTGGGTGTCCAGGAGAAGGGAAGTGTGGCCTAAAAGGGCTCTGGAATTGGGGACCAGAATAGCAGGGATTAAATTTGTGCAAATGTGAGCTGGCTCTGTTCTCTTTTCTGGGTGGCCATGGGGGTTGGGGGTAGATGGGAGGGCAGGGTCTCCTAGAATTAATTCTGCCAGGTGGTTCCCCAGAGTGGGGGCTGATGGTTTTTGTTACATTACCAGTGCCGGGGCGTAGGGAAAGGGCCTGGGCTTGAGGCTTCGGTTTCCTCATCTGTAAAGTGGAAGTGTTGTAGGAAGCAGTCAAAACACTCCCTGTAGGCTGACAGTAGGAAGGACCCACATACAGTGCTCCAAAATCAGCTTTCATTTTTTGAATGGCATTTAAAAATACTGATTGCAAAAGTATTGCATGTTTACTTCTACATTTTTTCTTTTACTATTTTTAAAAAAATGATAAAAATGATTCAGATAAAAAAAATCTGAATATGTTGTGATTTACTAAAAAAATTCAGAAATACATGTAAAGATTCCCCCCTCTCCTGTCACCTACCCCCACCACCAATGCTGCTCCCTTCCCCAGAAGTAATCATTGTTAGCATCCTTAAGTAAAATATCTTTGTGAATTTAAATAAATGGGAATATATATATATATATATACATCATAAATAACCTACATTTAAAAAAATTATATGCCTTGAAAACCTTTCTATGTCAGTTCCTAGAGTGATGCATAACTTCATAACTTTACATTCCTGCTTGTGTTCTGTGACGGATGTTATTTAAGCAGCACCAGTTTTAGGCGGTTTCTGACTTGTCAGCAATGAGGCAGCACTGCCATGAACACACTCCTGCGTGCCTGGGGTGGGAGTGGAGAGGACACACTCCAAAGCATTTCCGCAACTGTCCTCCTAGGGGCGGCTGAGGGGAGGACAGTGAAAGGAGACACAATCTTTCGTCCATTCCACCGATATTTACTGGGAGTCTTCTCTGTGCCAAGTACTGTTTTAGGCCCTAGTGACCCAATGGTGAACTATTAAGATGATATGGTTTTTCTTATTTAATTTATTCACCTAGTGAAATACATCACCAGATCTCAAGAGATTTCTTAGGCGAATCCTGTAACACACTGTGGATTAAAATTTCTTGGCATTTTGTTTAGAATTTTTGCCCCAACGTTGGATTGGCTTACAATTTTCCTATTTGTTCCACCCGTTGTTCAAGTTTGGTGTCATGGTTATGCTAGCCTCTTAAAACATGTGGAGATGCTTTCTAGTATCTTCCTATGCCCTAGGGCAGTGCATGTAACCAGCATCATTTGTTCCTTAGGTTTGGTAGACTGCGCATAAAACTCGCTGGTCCTGAGGCCTATTTTAGGGGACCAATCTTTAACTATTTAAAAAATATCTTTTATAGTTATTGGCCCAGTTGGGTTCCCTGCCTCTTTTTGCGTTAGTTTTAGTATAGAAAAATTGCTTAATTCAGTTTAGATTTTAAAATTTCAAACTGATGTATAAAATTTGAACCTTTGACCCCTTTATTATTTCTAATATTATGTATTAGAATTCCTAATATTAAAGATTAAAATCACCAAATTTTGGTCTATTTCGTAGGTGGTTTCAAAAAAACCACCTGGTGTACTTTTATTGGTTAGCTTTATGGCATCATCCATCCTTCCCTCGTATTACCCCAGGTCCTGGTCGGCGGCCCCCACCCTCTGCCATGCTGCTAGTGTTCTTCAGGGGGAAGCGGTCACACTCCCAGCTCCCAGGAGGGGTGGCTCACAGGCGTGACCAGTTAGCACGGTCCAGGGCCCCAGCCACCTGGCCTCAGTTGGGTTATCGCAGTCACCATAAGGCATGGTGCGAGGACAGACAGGCACACTGTCTCTGTGATCGTGGATGAGGAAGCATGAGGATGTGGGCTGTTGGCAACCATTTTTCAACAAGGGGACCAACTCAGGATGATGCCGCCACCGCTGGAGAGAGGAGGCAAAAATTTTAAGCCTGTTTGAGTAGAAGTTTCTCTTGCTTGGGAACTCCTGGTACAAACTAACTCGGTTTTATTGATCAAATCTGTTTTTTTTTGTTGTTTATTTCATTTCATTAAAGCTCATTTAACTTCAGTAATTCCAGTCGTCTACTTTTAGGCTGTTTATTTTACTGTTCTTTTTCTAACTTCTTGGGTATGCTTAGTTCTTCATTATAGACTTCTTTGGTTTTTACTTAATTCCATAAAATTTTCTCTGAGTCTCATGTTGGCCATATTTCATAGGGTTTGATATGTATTCACCTCATTGTCATTCATGTCTATGTTTTTAATTTCACACTATTTTTCTTATTTAACCTCAGTTATGTAAAAGGGTGTAATTTAATTTCCTGATGGATAATTTGGGGGAGGGATAGAGGCATCTCCTTTTTCTCTATTAAAAATTATATCACAATACGAACTTAATTATTTGTGCATTTTGGAATTGATTGAGGTTTTATTTGTGCCTCATAGTTGGTCAATGTTAGTGAACATTTCACGTGCGTTTGAAATGAAAATGTGTGTTTCAAAACAAAGAGCTCTAGCTATAAACTGGTTGGATAAAGTTTGTTGATTGTGTTATTCACATATTTTATGTCTGTATAATGTGCTGATTTCCAAGAGGTTTGCCATGGGAATTAAGACTTTTTCTATTTCTTCTTGAAGTTCTGATAATTCTTGCTTTATATTTCAAAGCTGTGTTGTTAGGAGTGTAAGGTTTGTGCCTACTTTACCATCTGGGTGTGGTACACTCTAGCAATATAAAATATGCCTTTTGTCCTGTTTAATATTTGTTTTTTTCAAAGACCTGGATCATAGAGTTCATTCCTAATTCTGCTATTCTCATTGATTGGGGTATAGTTTTATATTCTGTTCATAGATTTTCCTTGGGTTTATTTTGTACCTTTTATAGTTTCTTGATTTTAGCATTTAGTTCATTTGCTTTTATTTTTGTTCTTCAGTAATAGGTAACTTTAAGGTTATGGATTTGCCTTGAACACACCCAGTAAGTGTTTTTTATTCATTATTTTAATTATTAGCCTCTTCTAAATAGTTTATAGAATGTTTTTTTCCCTCAAAATAAGTTAACAAAGTTTATTTTAAAATTTTCAAATAATTTGTTTTATGTTGCTTACTCTTGTTATTAAATCCGTGTTTCATTGCATCATGGTAAAAAATGGGGCCCAAACTCGTTCAGCTTTTAGGGAAGTTATTGTGGTTTCCTTAGTAGTCTAGTGTGCGGTCGGCTTTTGTAGGTATTCCATTCCTCAAAGACAGAGTTGAAGAGTCTCCCATACAAGTGAGGTGTTTCGAGTTCTCATGTGTCGCTGGCTGATTTTGCTTTATATGTTTGACATTATGTGATGGATGAGCAAGGCTTTATGATGTTACACAGTCATTGTAATTTTTACCTTCTTTCAACATCAAGTAACTTTTCTTTTTCTGTTTAAAGTTTTTGTCCTGAGTCACATTTTTAGAGATCAACATTACCTTTACTATTTTTCTTGCATATACTTAACATTTTTTATTTATCTTTTTACTTTTAACTGCTTCACATCATTTTATTTTAGGTGGGTCTCTTAATAAGTAGCATGTGAGTGGGTTTTGTTTTCCTACCCAATATAAGAATCTTTGACTTTTAAGAGTTTTTTTTGCATTCTTATTGGTGGTGATAATGGGTATGTGTTTTTATTCAATTATCTTTTGTTTTATTATTGCTTGTTCCCCCAAAGTATTCTTTTCCACAAAGGCAGAAGAGTAGATAGGGGTTTTCTTCTCTGGATTTTCTTTGTGCTCTCTTTCTCTGCACCCCTCTTCCCCCCAGAAGGAATCTGATTGTAGGGATAGTGATTTCCTTGATTTTCTGCCATGTATCCCTAAAAATAGTTTGTTTTGCCTGTTTTTGAATTTCATACAGCAGACACCTTTTTGTGTCTGACTTCTTTCACTCAACAACGTGTTTATGGGAGTCACCATGCCACCACGCGCCCATTGTCATTGCTGTGGAGGATTCTGTGCATCCATCCTGCCCTTGTTGGCCGCCGCGTAGCTTCCTGGTGGGGCTTTACCCAACAGCACTGCCCTATCTTTCCTGCTGCGTATGTGCATGACCGTTTCCAGCGCACCCCACCAGGCGTGGAGCTGCAGGTTGTGGGAAACCATTTTCTGCTTTCCTAAATGACTCCGGAGTTCTCCACAGTGTTGGCTCCAGTCCACTTCCCCTACAGTGTGTGAACAACCTCTTTACCTCGTGTCCTCACCCACACTGGTGACAGGGGTCAGTGGAGCAGGGGTCAGCTGTCCTCATGGACAGTGTGAGGAGCATGGGATCCTCGGGAAGGGCCTTCGTGGAGGTGGTCAGGAGGGGACCTGAGATGTCATTTATTCTGCATGAAAAGCCAGGGCTGCCAGCTGCCTCCTCTTAGGAAGCCACCTTCCCAGGCCTGAAACACCTGACCTCTGTCTACCTATAAGCTGTACTTTTAAAAATGCAGAACCTGTGGGGGAAAAAGGAAAACTCCAGCTCCAGCCCAATCACCCACACCAGGAACTGACCATCCCCTTCCTTGTGCCTCAGTTTCCACACTTCCAGGGGGCCATCAGCACGGCTTTATAAAGCAGTTTGGACTGGGCACTAGAGGTGCCTCATAGGTCAGGTACCAGGAACTGTCACAGGCTCGGGCTTGGGCATGCAGGGGTACCACCAAGGCCCAGGAAGACACCAGGTGCTGTCACAGGCTCAGGGCTAGGCATCTGGGGCACCATTCTAGAGCAGTGCCTGACAGCAGCACCACATCGTGCCTCGGTGGGGCCTTGCTGTGATCACACTGTCTCCTTCTCATCATCCTGATGCTGCCCAGCTGGGTGAGCCCCCCAACCCTGGGGCAGAGGCCCACTCCCTGCTACCCTGAGTAAACAAACCATGAGTTCTAGAATCCTCGCACGTTGGAGATACCCTGCCCCCACATTCCATTCTGAGGACCAGTGAGGGCTGGGCACCTGTTCGCCATGGCGTGTGGACCAGGAGCTCTTCAGGACCTCGCATCTCCATTTTCTTCTGCCAGACTTGAAAACTCACTCTATGTCAAAGGTAGGGCTTTGGGGACATGGGAGAAGGGCAGGAAGGGTCTATTTGCCTGAGTGTCTGTGTCAGCTGTCCTCACCTCTGACAGGCACACCCTCACCAGACGGCATGGTGTGCCAAGCCTGGGGGCCCAGACAGTGTCAAGGCCTTTCCCATTTGCAGAGTGACATGAACGCGAGGGAAGAGCCTTATTAAAAACTGGGGAATATGCTCACATCCGTGGAACAGATGAGCTTGTTTGTTTGGGGGACACTCTAGGAGAACCAGGACTTGTGATGACAGTGTGACGTGTGAGCGCTCACCCTGCGTACGGCACTTTTCAGATGGCTTCCTGTCTCAACACCCTGTGAGCTAGGCTAGTGAATATCCCATTTCATAACATGAATCCGAGGCCTAGAGAACTTAAGTGGCTTGTGGAGCCAGGATTCGATACCAGTTTTTAGTAGACTCTTTGGGGGTGAAAAGTTTGGGGCCTCATTAGACAGAAGGTCTCTGAGCTCCCACCCTAACTGACCACATGTAATCTTGTGGTGGCAACCCTGTGGCTACCCTGGCTTGGGTCACCTGCCAGCTGCCCATTCTGCTGTTTGGCAGAAAACATGCTGGAACAGTATCTGTGAGTAGGGACATGTCCCCGAACTCAGGGACTTTGTTTGTTTTTTTTTTTTCACTGTGTGACTTGTCTTCCTGGGCTAGTACGTTGTTGAATGAGTGAGTGAGTGAGTGAGTAAGTGAATGAATGCCCCCCTACTTTGCCCTGCTCTCGGGCATCTGTGATGTTTTGGGGTGGTGGGGATGAGAACTGCTCCACATAGCTTCCTGCTGTGCCTTTGATAATGTGGGAGTGAGGGGCTGTGACCTTATAGGGACAGAGGTCATGAACCAAGACCTGTTTTCCTGTCACCGTGTGTGAGTGTGGGCTTGTAGGCATGAGTGCTCGGACTCTGGGACTCCAAGAAGGGGTAGAGGTGGTCTGCAGTGAAGTCCATTTGAGCCACTGACTGTTTCCTGCTTGCGGTATGGTGACACTGTGCTTATGGCAAGGTTGATCTGCAACACCTCATGTCCCCAAATAATCCATCATGGCTCCCCCCACATTCAGCTGCTGTACTTGGTGCTGGCATCTCCAGGCTGAATCCTGCAAATCCTGTGTAAGGTTTTGGGGAGGGAGGTTGGAGTTGACGTTGACCTGGACGTGAGTTCTGAGCAGTGCTGTTCTCTGAGACTGGGGAACCCACTTAGGGTGTGGCGCTCAGAGGTGAAGCCCACTCCTGCCTCCTAGAACTGTCACTTTTTTTAAGTGGTGACGTTCATTTCGCAGGACCCCGGCTCTGCGGGGGCCTCAGCTCTGTGAGAAAGGGAAGGGCAAACCTCTCGGAGCCCTGTTTCCTCCCAAAATGGAATAGCCTGGATTGCGGCAGGCTGGAATATGAAACAAGGTAGCCACACGCCCACTAGAGTATATGAGAAGGGACAGAAATGAGGCTCTGCTTTGAGGGAGAAAGTAAACAGGACAGCAAGCCATGGGACAGGGACCTGGGTGAGAATGGAGCAGTGAGAGGGCAAGACAAAATGCAGCTCTGTGGAGATGTGGGGTCTTGCGCAGGTTCCCACGAGTTCCAGTGGGAGGCCCCTGCTTGAGGGTGAACATGTCCAGCAAGGGAACCAGCCATCTATACCTGAATAGGACCAGGAACCCTGGGACATAGGAGAACGTCCCAAACATCAATGGCTTGTGACCCTCTGAGGGATTGCTCTGAGGTAGGGCCCAGCAGACATTTCTGCTAAAATATATGGGTCCCCATAGGTTATTAGCCTTGTCCATATATTGTTGTACGCCCCTCCACTGCCACCATGGACCCCTGCCCCCCACGGCAAGGACAAGCCTTGGTAAGTGCTGCTGAGTCCTCGCTGCTCTGCTTGGCGCTGCACACCGAGCTGCTGAGGGAAGCAGGCTTCCTGAAACCATGCCGGCTTGTGACAGTGTAAACACATGTCCAGCTTTGCCTCTGTGGGGAGGTCCATGAGCGCACGGAACAGCATGTTGGCCAGCCCAAACGTGACAGCAGGCTATTTCATTTGTCTTTACTCTTGGTCCCCGACCTTTGCTGTAGAATTTCTCCCTTCCCTGTTCTCAATGATGTTCCAGCCAAGATGGTCTAGTTCAAAAATCTCAACTTCATAACCAGTTCAGTGCAGCTCCCTCTCCTCTCACTCGGGCTCTGGGAGCCAGTGAGGGGCAAGAAGGAAGCGACAAGCTTCTCTGCTCACTTGCTTGTATGGTCACGGAGAGCACGCCTCCAGGGGTGGTGGGCTGTGAAGGCAGGCCCTGGAGTTGTACAATGTGACATCACTGCCCAGGGCTTTCTGGCTACACCGACAAGCAGCCGTGCTCACTGTGCCCCATCACTTACCCGTTGGCTGACAGCTTACCCCTCTGATGATTATCTCTTCTCTTTCACTCCCCCAACCACCTGCTGTGTAAGCAGGGGACAGGGATGAATCCTGGGGCGATGGCTGGTAAAGAGCCCTGGCGGGGTTGTCTGGTCCCCGTTGTTGGAGGGCTCTCTTTATAATGTGGGGCACCTGCTGTCGCTGGGTCTTTGGTTGCCATTTTCAGGGCAGTGGGAAAAGCTCCTTCCTACGTGTGCATGTGGCAGTGGCTGCTTGTGATGGTTGGAAGGTGGGTCCCTCTGCCTCCACGGTCTGCTGTGTACGGGCCTGAGGGCTGCCTGTGCTGCCTGAGAGTCGGCATGGGGCTGCCATGGCCCCATCTTTATCTTTTTCCTCAGAGCCGTTGTTCCAGGGCTGTGGCCAGACCAACATCTCCTGTAAGGTGGTGAAGGGGCAGCTGGTGGAGGTTGGCAAGTGGCCCTGGCAGGTGAGCATCCTATTCCTAGGTGTATACATCTGCAGCGGCTCCCTCGTGCACCACCAGTGGGTCCTCACGGCCGCACACTGCTTACAGAGGTCAGTCAGGGTGGCCAGCCGGTCCCAGGGGTTTTGTTTTTTGGCTGGGAGGGCCCTGGTGAAGCTGGGGTTCTGGGAGGAGGAGCCTGGCTGGGTGGCTCTGTGCTCAGCCTGTGTCTCTCCAGCCACTTACGGCCTCACTGCTGGCAATCTGCCTCCTACCCATGGCCCTGCAGATCCACGAACCCCGAGGATTACGTCGTGAAGGTGGGTGTTCAGCACCTCCCAGAAAATGGCACTCAGCTCCTGCTCACTCGCATCGTGATTCACGACGATTTCAACAACCTCATGTCCGATGACATTGCCCTCCTGAAGCTCAAGAACCCCGTGCCCTGGTCCCCCCTCGTCCAGCCTGTCTGCCTACCCACTACCGAAGTCAAGCTGTCTATTGGAACCCTGTGCTGGGTGGTCGGATGGGGACATACCAATACTCAAGGTGAGTGGAGGCGGGTAGCGTTTCCAAGATGCCTGCCTCTTCAGAACACAGCTCCATCACAGGCTCATGCCGTCCTTCCTTTATTCACTTGTTCACTCCATCACTAAACATTTCCTGAGCACCTACATGGGCTGCACATTCTCCTGACCTTTGTGGATGGGAAGGTATAGACAGTGCTCAAGCATAAAAGACACATCTGGCCTGCTTGGACCTCAGCCCCCAAAGTTACATCCAATGCCAAACTCTCACCTTGCAGCATGGCAGGAAGTTAATCCTTGAACAGGAATGAGGTTTCCTGTCAGCAGGTGGCACAGTGGCCATGTCTAGGACGTACTGAGGCATTGCGCAGCCCTCATATACCTTTATTACCTTGAGGCACCAATGATTTCTGGAGATCTGCCCTCTGTTGGTGCCACTCTGGGGTTTTAGGATCTAGGAGCCTTTGTGGGGTCCTACCTTCCAGGGGGTGGCATACTCTGGGCTCTAGGGTCTTGACACCTTGCTAGGTAGCCATGGAGCAGTGCTTAGCCCTCACCCTCATGGAACCTGAGTTTTGGGGGGTAATCTCTTTTTGTCTTCATTCAGTGCCTGGTGTTGCCCTGAGCCCCTTGGGAGGCTTTTGCTTATTCTTTTTAAGGAGCTTGAACTTTTTCAAAAGTTAGGCTGTGGGCTGGGCCTTTATAAATCACCACCCCAGGAAATGGCCCTGCCCCCCACATTATGGGATGTGGATAACCCCAAGATGGAGCTGTGCCAAATCGTTGGAGGGATGATGAGGCAGGCTCTCTGTTCCTCTAGGGACCTCAAAGACCCCCTACAGTCTCCAGGAAGTGGCTGTGAAGATCGTCAACAATGGGATCTGCAACCAACAGTACCAGTTCCTGTACTTGAAGGGCCAGAAGAAGTTCATCGGGAATGACATCCTGTGTGCCAGAGCAGAATGGGGCGTAGACACTTGTCAGGTGCGGAGCGTGTGGTCCAGGGCAGGGCGGGGGCTTTGAGGGGCCACGGTCTGCCTTTTCACAAGGCTCTAGGAGACGTTAGCAAAAGCTCTTTTCCCTGCACTTGTTTCCCACTATGTAAAATAGGGGTGAAAAGACTCTTGGCTTTTGTCCCCAAGAATGGTCGTAATGGCAGTCCTTCCCAGGTCATTTGAACACGTGCGAACCTGAATCAGACACATGCCCGGATCTGGGCTGGGTGTTGGCAGAACCAGTTTTGCGTGAATGGCATCGTTCTGTAAGCATACCTCTGGCTCTTGCATCTTCTATTCAACATTGTTTTTGAGATGTATCCGTCATAACACGTGCAGCTGTAATTCATTAATTAGCTCTCTCTGCAATCTTCTCTTTTGAGAATATGCCAGCGTTGATCCATTCCACACTGAGGTAGTTTCCAATTTTTCTCATATCACAAAATCCACTCCTCCGAATATTCTTACACACATCTCCCTAGTTGACATATTCCAGAATTTCTCACCAGGATGTGTCCTGCAAGGAGCTGGTGGGTCATAGGCTCCGCATACCTTCATCTTGAATAGTCATTGCCAACTTGTTCTCCAAAGTGATCATATTAAGCTATATTCTTACAGCAGTGGTTGAGAAGTCCTTTGCTCCATATTCTTGCCAACTTTTGGTATCGTCAGACTGAAATGTTTTCTATTCTGATGGATGAGACATAGAGAAATAGTGTCCCATTGTGGTTGCAATATGTGCGGCCCCAATTACTAGTGCATTTGCACATCTTTTCATGTTTATTCACCATTCATGATTCTTCTAGGAATCACCTATTTGGATATTTTGCATATTTTTCTATTGGTCGCCTTTTTGTTATATTTTGAACTGATCCTCTGTTCATTGTGTATACTGCAAATACCTTCTCCCAGTTTTTTATTCACCTTTTCATTTAGCTTATATGGTCCTTTGCTGAACAGCAATTTAGATTTTATATTAGTCAAACATACATCCATGTTTTCCTTTCTGGTTTATGCTTGCTATGTCTTATTTAAGAAATACTTCCTTTTCCCAAAGTCATAAAGACATTTTCCTTTTTTTTTTTGCTTGAAAGTTTGGAAATTTTGGTTTCCACATTTAGGTCTTGAATCCACATGCACTCATTTTGTGAATGGTGCTAAGATAGTGGTCTCTTTCTATTTATTTCCCCATATGGACTACCAGTTGTCTCAATGCCATTCATTGAAAAAAAAATTTTCCGTACTGACTGTCACCATTTCTCTCATAAATCAAATTTCTATATACACATAGGCTAACTTCATGAGTTGGACACCCGGAGAATTTATTTTTGGTCTATTTTTCTTTTCTAACATGAGTATTTAAGGCTATAAATTCCCCTCTAAATATTGCTCTCGGTTAATGCCACATATTTTGATATGTAACATTTTTGTAGTCATCCAGTTCTAAATATCATATATAATTTCCATTTTCATTTTGGTTTGAGCCATGACTTATTTAAAAGTGTTTTTTAAATTTCCAAATACATTTTTGCTTGTTTGTTTTTGGGACTGGTTTTCAACTCAGTTGCCCTCTAGTCATAAAATGAGTTCTGCAGTGATACCAGTTATATGGAATGTGTTGAGGCTTGTTTGGTGGCCTGGTATGTTGTTACATTTTTCAGTGTTTATTTATTATTTTCTATTTCTATTAATTTTTCTCCTGCTTCCCTTGGGCTTGATTTGGTTTTCTTTTTCTGTCTTCTTGAGCAAAAAGGTTTATTCTTTCTAGTTTTGTGTTTGACATATTTAAAGCCATGAGGCCATCTTTCAGTTAAGCTTCAGATTCATCGCTTAAATTTTGTACTGTTGTGATTTCATTATCGCTACCTTATTTTAAAATATTATGTTTTGTGATTTGGAAGAAAATGCATACATTTTCTTTTTTTTTAAAAAAAAGTAATACATAAATGCAAAAATTAGAAAATGGGACTTTCCTGTAATCAAATTACCTAGAAATTTCCACTCTATGTTGTTTAATTTATATTCCTACACTTGTGTGCACATCAAAAATTTTAATAGATGTTGACAAGTTAATAGATGTCCCCAAAGACTTGATCCATTTATATTAATACCAAAAATATATGAGTGCCCTTTTCCTCACATCATCACCAGCATTAGGCATTATTTTTATTTTAACTTTTGTCTTTTTGGTAGACTAAAACTTTTATTTTTGCTTTAACTTCATGAAATTGAACAATTTTGTAAATTGCTTGTGTAGCGGGCTATTAAACAGGAAATTTCAACTAAGGCACCAAATTACACTATGTATCAGGGTTCAAAGAAAGCTGTGTGACCGAGACTCCTCTACATGTGTGTATTCAGGGGTCAGGAGGGTAGAGTACGAGGGAGGTCGTTTGTGAGGAGGATTTCTCTGGAGAGAGCTTCCTATTCCACACTTCAAGTCTCCTGGGAGGGGTTTCAACAGGATCACTCAGAGTGTGACTTGTGACCCCAGCGGGGAGAGTTAGCTGTAAATCTCCCCCAGTGCCCAGAGTAAGTGCCCTGGAAGGAAGCTGGTTCTCCTGCCTCTTCACTCTCCTCCTGGTTTAACCGTGGCAGGTTCGGAAGACAAGCTAGCAAAATGGAGTAGGAGGGGCGGGAGCTGAAGGGAAGCAAGGGGAGAAAACAGGCTTGGCTTCCTCCTCCCAGGCCTCCCGCCTGCTAGAAGCCCAGCTAGCAGTGGGGAGATGTTTTAGTTTAAATCAAGTCTAGCGCTGTGATTATTGCATGGAAATAAATGGATAGTCTGATGTGAACTGAGATGTTTTTGTGACAGTATAATCATAGTGATTATGATGCCATTAATCACAGTGAGCAAAATGCTCTGATTCTGCCCAAGTTTTTAACCCCGGGTGAGAGAAAATCTCACCTTCTAAATAAATTTCAAAAGGACAAAGGGAGTCCAAATAAAGATGCTTGCTACGTTCAGTGTACCATTTACACTTTCCCCTGTCCTTTGCCCATGTTCTTCAATTAAACTACTTTTTTTTGTCGATTTGTAATAACTCTGGATTATTATTTGTTGTAGTAAGTAATGGTAAAGGAACATAATGTCTTTTTCAACTAATTTCAAGAGGTTCATAAATAAATAAATACACGCGCACACACACACACACACACATATATATATAGAATATAGTAAAACATTATAGTAACAATGTTTTATAGGGAATATAGTAAAACAAATACAGTAAAACATTAAAAATTAGTGAATCTGGGTAAAAATATTATACTTGTAACTTTTCTGTAAGTCTCAAATTACTTAAAAATGAAGTTACCCAAAAACTATGGGAACCAGAAGTTTTAACTCTTTGTAAGATGCTTTATAGTATTTTACCCTACTTGGTCATCATTTACCTTTTTTGGGTGTGGAGTGTGTGTGTGTGTGTGTGTATTTGGTGTGGATTTTTTCCCATAGAGTTATTTACAATTTTGATGTGTTCGTATTTATCATTATTTCCCTTGATGATTGTAGTTTTTGAGCTGTGCTTAGAAATATCTTTCCCACCCTAAGCTATTATTTACTCATATGTGTTTTTAATTCTTTAAATATTTACATTTTGATTCATCTAGAAAGTTGAAAGAGGAAATCAGATTTATTTTTGTCCAAATGTTTATCTCCAATGATGTAAAAAAATTTTTATTGAATACTTATTTTTTTTGGCAATGAATTAGAAATGCCCTCTTTGTTATATTCTACATTCCCATCTTATTTTGGTCTCTTTCTGCCCTTTTCAGTCTCATTCCTGTGCCACCACCACTCATTTTAAATTATTGTATCTTTATAATTCTTTTTGTATGTGGTAAGGCAAGTCCTCCTCCATTATTCTTCTTTTAAAGAATTTACATCGTTGTCCTCCCATGTTCATTCTAATTGAACAATCTTAATATAATGTTAAAAAGAAAATCATGTGGGAATTTTGGTGGAAACTAATAAATTAATTTAGAGAAAATACTTTTTTATTTTGCTCTATTTCTTTATGTCCCTCAAGCAGGAGTTTATAGCTTTCCCCATATAGTTGCTGCATGCTGCCTCTTAAGTTTATTTCTAGGTGTTTTATAATATATTTCTATTTTGAGTAGTATGTTTTCTTTCATTGTATTTTCTGTTTGCATTACATATTGATTTTTTTGGTTTGTATTTATAATACTTTGTAATAAGAAACCTTCTTGGATCTAGTTGAATCTCTTTAATTTTGTAGGTCCAAAATTGATATGTCTATCATCTGTAAACAATGATAAATTTGCCTCCTCCTTTTCAATGTGTGTGCCTTGCTTTTTTTTTTTTTTTCCTATTGCAATGTCAAGAACTATATAGAACAATTTCTCTGTCTTCCAGGAGACACTGTGCCATTTTGTTTCAAGTGTGTCTCTTGTAAATAGCATGACGCTGGATGCTATTTTTTTTTCCAACACAGCAGGGAAACTGACCTTTAATCCGTTTACTACCTTATGATTTGGTTTGATCTTTTTTTTCCAGTCCACTTTTCCCCGGTAGTGGTTTAAAAGTTGTCATATTTCAATGTCGTTCTGCCACTGGTCACCTTATATTTTCCACACACATATTTAAACTTGAATTAACACCTAGAGTTAATGTCTCTAGCTTCTCCTTAGCAGGATGAGGACCTTCCTTCGTTTTTACTTGCTTTGTGTCCACCCCGCAGGCTCATCCTCTTGTAGAAGGCACCTGGGCTTTCAGCTTACTGAACCCATGTATTAGATCTAAGAGTGTTGGGCTTTCCAGGCCTACACTCCTATGAGCTGCAGTTAGTAATGATTTCGTCTCCTTCCCCCCCATGATTTTTACTTGTTTCATTATTTTGGGTACCTCTCGCCAAAACAGCCTAGAATTGTAGCTGCGCTTTTTCTTGCTGCCGACCTTCATGCAAGTGCTTCTCCTACTTCATCGGGAAGTGTGGTGCTATTTGCCATGTCACCTGTTGGGGAGAGAGCCAGTCCTTTCTGTTTTTCTCTGGCATCCTATTTCAGGAGTGAGGGCCTTGCTTTATAAAATGAATTTTCTGCAGCTACCAAGATGACCCTCTGCTCTAACTCAATGTGCATGGCCAGGTTCTACAACAGATTCCTCACGTCCATCACTCTGCACGCCAGGGTCGTCCCTCCCTGGTCATGGTGTACTTTTGTTTGATTCATCTTTTGGATTCAGATTTATAATATCTTTTTTGGGGGGGGGGGACATGTTTAATTTACTTATTCATCCAACAGATCCCATGTGCTGGGCACAGGTAACGTTGGAGCACAGCCCAGGAAAGGTACTGGCCTAGGAACGAGCAGTCCTGTGCGGCCCAGTCTACACAGTCTTTGCGTTTTTTTCTTGTTTTCTTCCTCTCTTGAGGCTGGGCTCCATGTTAAGGAGTGTTGAGGAAGGCACCCCCTTTGTCAAGTTATAGAATCAAGACTATGCTTCACAAATGTACTGTGTCCCGGAACATTTGAAATAGCATAAATTACCTACTTCTTGAGCTCTGGATAGCAGTTGCCTATAAAACCACATAGGCCTGTTTTCCTTTGAGGGTTAGCTCTTGGGCAATATTTTAATGCTAGATATTTTAAGTTGCCCATGGTTATTGGACTTACGGGATTTGCGTTTCCTTAGAAATTACTCATTTCATCCAGGATTTAAATCCATACAGGAGAAGTTATAAACATTCTTTAGGCTCTGAGAAAGCATATTCTCCCTGGAGGTGAGTCTAGCTTCTTTTCTCCCCACAGCATGAAATATTTGCATTTTCCTTCTCTTTCTGTTTTTCTTGTTAAGACTTACCAGGTGCTTATCTACTTTGTTGTTGTTTTTTTTAAGAACAAGTTATTGACTTCATTACTCAAGCCAATGATTGTCCTGCTTTCTAATGCATGAATTATCCCTTTTTTGTCTTTATTAATTCCTTTTTAAGTGCCTTGAGCTGAATGTGCAGTGATAAATAATGATAATAATGAATAATTTATTTTCATTCTCTCTTGCTTGATATTAAATGTATTTAGACCAGGACTACTCCTCCTCCTCCTCCTCCTCCTCCTCCTCCTCCTCCTCTTCCTCCTCTTCCTTCTCTTCTTCTCCTTCTCCTTCTCCTTCTTCGTTGTTATAAGAGTTTATTTGAGCCAAACTGCCGACATATGCTGTGGAGCAGGCTCTCAAATGTTCGCTAGACCAGGACTCTTGTGTGTGTAACTCAGGCCCACATCCCATGGTCTTCACAATATGTGGTGTTCTTACCTTTCTACATTCTAATTGTGGGTTTTAATTCTGTTTTTACTTTAATATTTTTGGAAGTTAATTTTTTTCCTTTGGTGAGATGATTCACATGTTGTTATTGGTTTCTGGTTTTATTGCACTGTGTTGAGAGAATGTCCACATACAAGATACCTATCTCCCTCCCCTATTCTCTCTCTCTCAGTTCTCCTTTTCTCTGGGTTCCCAGAGTCCAGCTAACCATCTCTCTCAGGTAAGGGCCCTCATACTATCATCACTAACTTCATTATCACTACCTTGATTTTTCCCCTTCATCTTCCATTTTCTTTTCCTGCAAAAGGCTCCTACTCAAATCTGTTTAATATATACCTTTAAAGATGTCTGTAGCTTTGGAAAATACATAGTGTTGCTATATTGCTATATGTGTATTTTAATTTGCATAAATGATGTGGTGCTACATAGTCCCTCCTTATTTGTTTGTTGAGGAGTTTCAGTGTGTTAGAGAATACACATTAAGTGGTTTTATTCTTTCAAGTCATTGCCCCCACATGCCCTATGTCAAATCTTCCTCCCTCCCCCAAACATCATTTTGGTCTGAGTCCATAATTTTTGGTCACTTTCAGTTACTGTCTTATTGTAAGTCTCAGTTTAAAAACTGGTTTGATTTAAACCTTAACAAGCCCTACCCCATCTCCCTCCTCTAGTCCTCCTGGGGGAAAGCTCCCAGCCTCCCCAAACTATCGGGGAGCTGGCATCTGGGTAATCTAGACGTGGAAACCTTGAATCTCCATCAACTCTTTTTCTCTACTTGTTAATTTTCAGCATTTCCTTAGATATGCTAAATATTGAGACCTCTAGTTGGTTTTAGACAAAGCAAATGCCCTCTCTTAATTTATCATCTATCTTCAGTGAGATTTATTGTCCTTCACTGAACAGATAGTCTTTGTTTTTTAAAGATTTTAGTGGGGAATTGGGGGAGGAGAACAACGTTGGGGAATAGGAGAAGGGGAACAGACAAGTTGCTGTCCTTTTGTTCTTCAGTCTAGTTGTGGAGGACGTAGCTTTACTGGCCCATGTTTGTATTATCATTGCGCTCTTCCCGGGGGAGGCATTTGCTCACCAGCCATTGGATGGCTGCTCACAGTGGCTCACGAAAGCTCACGCCGGCTCCATCGCCGGCGACTCTTGGCAGCCCAGCTCCAGGTCAAGCTGTTGTTCACCATCTTAGCTGTAGAGGGTGCAGCGTCACTGGCCCACATGTGGTATCTGACCTGGGGCCCTGCTGCTCAGAGCTGGCGTCCCAAGCCGACTCCTAACCAACGCACCACTCAGCTGGCCCTGAACAGATAGTCTTAATTTTGATGTAATTAAGCCAAACACATTTCCCCTCTTGAAGTGTGTGGGTTTTGGGTCTTATTTTAAAACATATACTTCATCTCAAGTCGTAAAATCATGGCCCTACATGTTCTTAATTAGCTTGATCTTTTTAACTTTTTGTGTTTTAGGGCTTCAGTTCCTCTGGAGCTTTGTTATGGTAGGATCCAACTTCATTTTTCTCCATCATTTCCATACCATCTGCAACAGAGATCTTCTTTCCCGCAGACATGACACTTTTTGGAGCATGTGCCAAGCCTCCTCACGTGCAGGCATCACGTTGGCCCTCCATTGCACCATTGGTCTATTTTTCTGTTTCTATGCCAGTACCACAGTTTCTTAATTATAGCTTTGAAATAGATCTAACTCTCCGGTAGGTCAGATCTGCCCCCAGCCTGACTCTCTAATTTGCTCTTTTTCCTCAAACCTGTCATAGAATTCGTGGATTATTATCCTTCAGTATCAATTTTAGAATCAGATTGTCAAGGTCCTGAAAAACTCTTGCTGGCATTTTATTAGGAGTTGTTTGAACTTTAGAGATTAATGTAAGGAGGCCTGACATTGAATAGAGACAAAAAGGAGAAATGACATTGAATAGAGATGAAAGAATATTTATAAAATATGTCTGGAGAAGAAAGAATAATACAAGCAACACCCAACCCCCCGCCCCAAGTGGAGCTTTGAAGCTTCTGTGTGATAATCCCGAATATCGACGCCACAGTGAAGGTTTCGATTCTACTCTAGGTTTTTTTTTTTTCTGCCAGCTGATATTTACTTATGGGTCCTCAATGTCTCTGTGTGCGGCACAATGTTCTAAGGGTGAGGACCTGTTCTTTGGAATGTTCTCTGTGGGAATTTTCTGAAGCATGGCTTGAAAAGTGGGCTCCTTCAGACAGAATCGATATTTGCGGCTGCCAGATATCTGGGCATATGACCAACCCAGGACCACTTTAAACAACATCCGTGGCTTGGGTGTTTTGAACCACCCAGACTGTGTGAGTTCAAGGTGCAAGTTCACGTGAGGGTGGTTGTTGCCAGAGGGTCCTCACTTGGAAGGTGTGGTCCTATTTGGGGAGAGATAGCTTCTTGCTGGAGGTTTCCTCTTAGGCCTCCCTTCTTGGGCAACATTGGGTTTTGCCTTTTGTCTCCTGCACTGGGAAAAACCGAAGCTCAGTGTCACTGGGTTTGGCAAAAGGCCTTGGGCCAAAAGCCATCGTTGGGGCTTTGCCGACAACACTCTGGGTTTCAGCCCTCCCTTGGGTTTTGGACTCCGGGAGCCTTTATTTTCTTGCCAGCTCACCCATGCATTTAAAATGATAATTTTTTAAAAATCTCACGTATTTAGTTATCTTCAGCAAGGTAGGGTAGGGTAGCAAGTCTTCCATACAGTAGGAAGCCGTATGCTGAGGATTGATATTTTTACATTGTTTAAAGTTGAGTTACCTAAGAGCAGTGGTATATTTGTACATTCATCTAGGCCGTCTTTTATATTTTTAGGTATAATAATATTTTTTTTTCCTTCAGTGTCTTATGCCCTCTTTAATTAGATTATATCCTGGAAATCTTGGTTTGCATTACTTTTTCAAAAATCTGTATCTATATCTATGTCCATGCCCATAATCATATCCATATCTATATCTATATACGGAGAACTGTTTTTCTGGTTTTTCTAATTTATAAAACTTTTCAATGATACAGAAGAGTGTAAAGAAAGTTTTTTAAAAAAATAATAAACCCGCCATCAGCAGAAATAACAGCTGTTACCTTGTGATCTATGATGTTGCAAACATTATTCTTATACATGCATCTGCTTTGCACAAAAAGAATAGGGGCTGGCTTGCATTTCAAATAGCTCACTCTGCAAATAGGATTGCAGGAAAGGAAGAAGTCAAGAGCAGCTCTTTGGAGGCCTACCAGAATTTAAGGGGAGGGCAGATAAGGGGACCAGGGAGTTACGGCCAGAGAGTAAGCAGGAGAATGAAGAGAGAGGCTTCGTCCTCGAGGTTGGGCCCTGGTGCAGAGCTTCCATGTCCCAGAGCAGGCCCATAGCCAGGCCCCCTTATCAGGGACAGCAGAGGCCAAACACAGTTCATGCTAAGCATATGGCCCACGAAGGGGCGAGTTCATCCAGGGCCCACAGTGAGGCCCTCCTGCTACCTCCCTTATGCCTTCTTTCCTCCCCTTCACAGGATAACTCCGGCAGCTCCATGGTCTGCCAAGTGAACAAGACCTGGATACAGATGGGGGTGGTGAGCTGGAGTTTGAGCTGCAAACAGCATCGCTTCCCAGGCATCTACACCAGCACCTCCCACTTCACCCACTGGATCAGGAAGCAGATCGCCGATGTGAAGTTTATCAGCAGGGCCCACCTCACCTTCCTGAACCCGGTGTTACTCACTGGCTACATTCTGTTGGTCTCCTTGGGCTCCCTGTGGCTCCTATGAGTGGTGTTTCCACGGTGGTCCCTCTCAGAGGCCGCGTCTTCCTCTCCTCTGGCCATCTTCAGAAGTGGAGGCTGGAGGAGCTCAGGACCTTAGGGCAGAGTGCCCTTGGGGCAGGGCCCCAGAGCCACTGTGTTTTCAGTTCAATGAAGATGCTCTTGAACTTTGCACCGTTGGTCATCATCCTTCTTCCTGATTTTGGCCGGAACCCTTCAGAGCCTCCCCCACCCCCAAAAGGCCTGGCTGTCCTCTCAGGGGAGCCTTCCCTGATAGTCTTACTTGTGCTGTGTGCATTGTGTTCACCTTTCTGAACTGCAGTTTCCTCCTCTGCTAAATACGGAGCTGGACTCTGTGACCCCAGCCCCTGCTTAGTCATCCCAGCACTCCAGCAATCTCCAGGTCCCCATGGCGCTCACCAGGGTCTCTGACCAACAGTTTCCTTCGGGCCTTCCTGCGAGGGTTGGCCTCTTCTGAAGACACTCCTAATGACCAGACCTGCATTTGCGAACCCTGTTCAGAACCTGTGGGCCTCTCCCAATCCCTCATGTCCCGTTTAGGGTATACAGAGCCTGACCAGTTCCTCTTCTCTCCTTGGCAGGGGTGGGTGATGATGGAAGGTGGGGGGGGGGCAAGACATAGTGCCTGCGTAGATGAATTGTGTGAACTGCACCCTGAGCTCCTGAGCTGCCTTCAGTGGCCTCCATCAGACTCTGGAGAGCAAGGACAGGCTGGCCCAAGCTAGCCAGACTGAGCAGGCAGAGTCCTGCCACATGTGGGCCTGGTTCAGAGCAGCCAGATACCCCTGCCCCAGAAAGGCAGTGGGTGGGATTTGCTGTCTTTTCAGAGACGGGAGCATTGGATCGCCAGCCTGAGTGTCTCTCCCAAGGCAGCAGGCCCTGGCAAAAATTAGAATGTCCTGCTTTGATTTAACTTTGACCTTATCTTTTATTAGGCTAGAGTTTTCCAACAGCTTTGAACCAAAGCTTCTTATAGGCTTTTCCCACACTACTTTTTTTTTTTTAAAGATTTTTATTGGGGAATTGGGGGGATGGGAACAGTGGGGGGATGGGAACAGTGCTGGGGAATTGGGGGAAGGGGAACAGACAAGTTGCTGTCGTTTTGTTCTTCAATCTAGTTGTGGAGAACATTGCTTCACTGGCCCAAGTTGGCACCATCATTGCGCTCTTCCCGGGCGAGGCAGATCAGTCGCCGGCTTAAGGACGGCCGCTCACTGCGGCTGCTGGCCGCTCACGCTGGCTGCTGGCCGCTCACACTGGCTGCTGGCTACACACGGTAGCCCATGGTAACCCACTGCCACAGGGGCTGCAGCCTACGCCGTTGCCGGTGACTCACGGCAGCCCAGCTCCAGGTTGAGCTGTTGTTCAGCATCTTAGCTGTGGAGGGCAGTGTCACTGGCCCTCATATGTGGGATCCGAACCGGGGCCCTCTGGCATCCCAAGCCAGTTCTTAACCATCGCGCCACTCGGCGGGCCCTCACACTACTTTTTAAATGCATTATTCATCTGTGTCACAGGGCCATCAAAATGTTCCCCATACTCCAACATACAGAGTGGCCTTCTGCTCCCAGAAGGGCGTGATGGTTACCATCACTCTCTATAAGCAGAAACCTCACCCATGTCATGTTTCCTAAGCAGATGGATCTGTAAAGGAAGGGCATTTGCTAAATGGAGGTTGGATTGGAGAAGGGGGAACACTGCTTAAAATTATGCAATCTTCAAAAATCTTTATTGAAAACTTTTCAGTCTGCTTAATTTCAGTGCCCTGGGGCAAAGCCCCACTATAGTTACCGGGATGGAGGGAAGGGGGAGCCACTTGGAAATCGTGGATGCCAGTCTCAGGGGTCGGGGCTATCTCACCAAGGGAGGGATGAAGGCGTGAAACCAAGCCCAGGGCAGCGGCTGCAGGAGCAAGGAGGTACGAGAGTTGGCGAGGCTGCGTAGGGGCTCCAGGAAACTGCTTGGCTAAACAGAGTGAGGAAACCAGGGGGACAGAGGTGTAGCCAGAAACAGGGCAGGTATGAGGGAGACCTGTCACTAGGGGCATCCTCCTGAGCCTGATACCAGGAGCACCATCGCGAGTTGCCGCTGGGGGGCGCCACGCAGGCCGGAACCAGGAACGCCGGCACCCACCCCTACACGCCAGAAGCCGTTGCTAGCAACCAATGGGGGGCGCCGTCGCGAGAGGAGCTCCGCGGCGCAGTCGCTGCTACCACAGGATGGAGCCCTGGTGCAGGACACCCGCCCCCTCCCCCCACCAGGCCGTTCTCCTGCTGCAGCTGCTGCTGCTGCTGCTGCTGAGGCCCGCGGGTGAGCCCACCCTCCCTCTTCTTCCCAGGACCTTGCTGTCCACCTCTGATCCACCTCTGACCCTCTGCGTCCTTCCATAGGTTGCGCAGACGCAGCCCCGGCGGCGCTGCCCTCCGCCGCTCCTGCTGCTCCTGGCGTCCCCTGTGCACCCGGCGCCACCTGTGTCTCGGGCGGCCCTCGCCTCCTCCAGCAGGCCCCTACCACCCAGTTGCCTACTTCTCCAGTCAACACCGACTCACCTCCGAGTGAGTACAGTGGTCTCCGCTGGGGAGGAGGGTGTGGGAGGAGTCTTCAGGACCGTGGATCCCTGCGGGACAGAAGGGACAGAGGAGGAAGGGGCAGGCAGGAGTGAGAAGAGTCCTCTCATTTACAAGTGTTTATTGAGCACGTGCTGTGGCCCAGGCCTTCCGTCCTGGTGAGGTAGGAGGCGTGGAAAGTCAGAGGAGCCTGGGGTGGGCTGCGCGTTCCGCCTCCCTGAACATGCTGTGGGGCTTGCCACCTCTCCACCCAGTCCAGGCCCCGCCCACCCTGTTCCTGCCCCTGGCTCCTAGCCAAGGACTGGGGGATCTCCAGCATAGCTCTTGGGGAGCCCTCCTGTGAGTGTCTTGGGGCCCACGTGCAGCTTTCAAGCATGTTTAACTGAGACCCACGTGAGGTATACTTCCCATCCTGGAGCTACTGAGTGCACAGTTTAAGTGCCACCGACAGTCTCACACGCCGGGCCCAGCGGTACTCTGCTGTACATGCAGACATTCCTTCTCCTGTGTTAGCCTTTACAAATGCGGGTCGTGGCCCACTTACACTGGTTTCACAAGCCACTAACCCGCGTGGAGAACATGCGGGAACGGAACTGCCGTAATGTTGGATATGTGCGTCTATGGCTTAAAATCTTTTCCAAAGGGTTTGCGCCCACTGACACTCCCGAGAGTGAGCCGTCTGCGGCAATAACCCTCACCAACACTTGGCACCAGGGGCGTTTCGTTGCCTGGCAGGTGTGCGGAGTGGAACTTCACTGTGATGCATGTTCCCACTTCCCTGAGGACTGATGGGGCTCTGTGCTGGTCTGCTGCTGGCGTTTCCTCCCTGGGCTGTTTGTTCGTGTACATGGCCCATTTGTCTGTTAGGTCACCCCCCTTTCTCTCACGGAATCACAGGAGGGGAGTCCCAGAGGAGGAAGGGGGGAATCTGCCTTGGCCTAAGTAGGGGGAACCAGATGGAAACACGGATGAGTTTGTGAAGGGTCTGGCCGGACCTGAGGGGCTGCTTGGCCAGGACAATGGGGCCACTGGTGCACCAGGCTGGTTGTCTGGGAATGCTCTGGGGCCCGAGCAGTGGGCACAGGGAGAGGGAAGCCTGGGGGCGCTGAGGCCCTGCAGAGGCTGGAGACTTCAGTCTCCACAGAGACAGCATCGTTGTGTGATGACCAGTGGAAAAGGAGAATCACTGGATGGGTGTGGGCCAGAGGCCGGAGTGGTGGGAGATCAGGCTGAGGACAGGGAAGGGGAAGGTACCATGGGACGTGGCTGGAAGGGCCCGTCCCTCATCAAACTCCTGCCTTCCTCCTCAGTCTGCGGCATCTCCCATGAGCCGGACCCTACCCTCAGGAACCCAGAGGCCATGGTTCGGCGATGGCCGTGGATGGTCAGTGTGCAGGCCAATGGCACACATACCTGCGCAGGAACCCTCATTGCCTCCCGGTGGGTGCTGACCGTGGCCCACTGCCTGACCCAGTGAGTTGGGGCCTAGGTGGGTGGGCAGGAGGGCATTTGTAGCCACCGAGGGCCCAGTCATTCCGCCAGCTGGCCCATCAGTGGCAGCTGTGCGCTTGGCAGAACCCCACAGCCCCAGCTCCAGCCTCACCTCAGCTCCAAGCAGGTGGGTTCTGACTTCTGCAGGTTCCTTCCTGGAATCCGGAAGTTTGCTCCCCTCACCTGCTCTCCCACAGATAGGAAGTAGGGGCTTGGAAGCCACTGCCAGGCCTCCTACCTCCTATCCACAGAAAGAAGGTTCTACTTCATTCATTCCACACCCTTCGCTTCACTTAATCCTTCCTGCCTTCATTTCGCCAAAGCCTTTGACACTCCTTTGAAGCTGAGCTCTGGCCTGGGCCCTGGGGGCAGAGAGGGGACACAGCACTCATCTCAGGTGGCTGGGGAAGATAGACAAGAAGATAGATGCTCACAGGGGAATCCAGTTGGTGTGGGGACAAGAGAGAGGGCATGCCCATGTTCTGGCCCCAGGGTGGTGGCCCGAGGGTAATATCTGTGCTGGCTGTGAGGGCCGACCAGGGGAGAAGCACGCTCCCATTCTAAGGGCCAACACAGAGACTACAAGGGCATGCCGGGAAAGGAGGCTGGAGGGTGAGGTCAGGGCTGATCGCACAGGGCCTGTCGCTTCCAGGGCCTGGAACAGGGCGCTGGACAGAGTCCAGTTTGGAACCAGAGAAAACTGGGTCCACATCCCAGCTCCCCCACTTCCTAGCTGTGTAGCCGTAAGCCGGTCACTAGGCTTCTCTGAGCCTCGGTTTCCCCCTCCATAAAATGAAGGGTGTTGTGAGGACATGACCACGCTGTGTGCAGGGCCCTTATTGCATCTGTTGGGAGGAATAGCCTCGGGGGCTTGAAGCAGGTGGGTGGCCTGCCTGGATCTGCTCAGAGTGCAACAGTGGGGTGGAGGCTGGGCTGTGGGGGCCTGGAGCTGATGGCAGACTCGCCTCGCGGTTCTCCTAGGCATGGCGTTATCTATTCAGTGCGGGTGGGGAGCCCCTGGATTGACCAGCCGGCTCAGACTGCCTCCGACGTCCCGGTGCGTCAGGTCATTGTGAACAGCCGGTTCCGGTTCCGACGGTTGTGGTCCTGGATCGGTCACACCGATGACATTGCGCTCCTGCAGCTTGAGCAGGCGGTCAGGTACAGCAAGTATATCTGGCCCATCTGCCTGCCCGGCTTGGACTATGTGTTGAAGGACGGCTCCCTCTGCACTGTGATGGGCTGGGGACTCCCCAGGGTTAACGGTGAGTCGGAGCCTCCCCAGACCAGGGTGGGTGGTGGGGGAGAGGGCCTGGGCACAGACTGGGGTATGCCATGGACAGACATTTCTGAGACACCGTCCCCAGGAGCCCCCTCTCTATCGAAGGGTGCTTGGGAGGTGTTAGCTGGAATGGCGGGTGGGCTGAGCCTGGAGAGAGCTCCAGGGCCGCTGCCGTGTGGCAAGTAGAAGAGGCTGGAGGAGTGGTGAGGAGCAAAGGGAGGCTGGACCGAGGCTGGCGGCAGTGGGCAGCCGAGAAGCCACCAAGCCTGAAGTGGGGCGCCCTGTCCCACAGGTAAATGGCCCCAGTCCCGGACCATTCAGGAGAAGGATGTCACCATCCTGAACAGCAAGGAGTGTGACAGCTTCTACCACAAATTCTCCAAAATCCCCTCTGTGATTCGGATCATCAACTCGCAGATGATTTGTGCGGAGGATGCTGACAGGGAGCAGTTCTGCTATGTGAGCCCCTGTCCCCTTTGTTCACTCACCTCCCAGGCACCTGGCCAGGAGTGGGACCAGGGGCACAGGGGAGGAGGGGGAGGAGGGGGACAGGGGGAGAGTGGGGGGGGGGACGAGCAGGGGTGGCCAGGCAGGATGGAGGAAATGATGGAAGTGAGAGATGGAGAGTGGGGGTGGAGGCTGGAGACGAGAGAAAAGGATGGGGGATGGCGGGAAGATGGAGGGCGGGTGTTAAAGAGGTGGGGCATAGAGAGGTGGCATGAGACGGAAGGGAGATGAAACCCTCTGAGGACGGTCTCCTGGGCCTGGACCTCCATGGTACCTCTCAGCTATTGACACTTGGGGCCTGTGGAGCAGATCTGGTGTGAGGGTACCCTGTGTGCCCCTGAGCTGGGTCACGTCTCCCTCAGGCCACATCTGGCCTCCCTGATGTGGCCTGTTCTTCCACCCTTCCCCACAGGAGATCAGTGGGGAGCCCTTGGCCTGTCTTGTGGAGAGCACATGGTACCTGGTGGGAATGGTGAGCTGGGGCCCAGGCTGCAGGGAGAACCAGGCCCCTCCCGTCTACGTACGGATCACCTTCTACCAACACTGGATCTGGGAGCGCATCAGTGGGCAGGCTGTGCCAGCCCCATCTGGGGCCCTGCTCCTGGCGCTGCCACTGCCCCTCAGCCTCCTTGCTGCCTTCTGACTCTCTGGCTGTGCCTGGGGGCGCCCTCCCTTGCCCAGGCTCCCCCTCACCCTCTGTGTTCAGAATGCTACACAGGGCAGGGCAGAGACTAGGTGTTCAATTAAATACTTTTCTTCCCCATGCCTGCTCCTTCCTGGGTCTCGGCGGCCCCTCGCTCCCTGGGCCTGCTCGAATGGTAGATGATTGAACCAGATGGGGGTGGGCTGGGGACTCTGGGCATTGAAAAGCACAGAGGCCGGGATCTGCCCCATCCAGAGGTTTGGGTGGCTTCTGTAGAAGGCGGAAAGTGTGTGTCGGGATGATACTGCGGTCAGAGGATGGAGGGCCGAGAACGTACTGCACAGGCTGAAGCTGGCAGGGTGTGCTCTGTTGGGCCAGCGAGGTGAGCGTTTGTTTCTGTGATACTTTAGTGGGAGTCAGGCTGTCCTTGACTTTAGCCCATCTCCTGGCCAGTGGCTAGAACACACTCTCTCATTGCCCTGAAGCACCATGTGGACTTTGACCTTCCAGCGCTGCCCTCTGCCTGGAACACTGGGGTCAGACATTCTCCCCACCATCAGCAGCCATGCCTGTCCGTAAAGGACCAGTGGAGACCCAGGTCAGAGATCAGGGAAGCAGCTGGCGGGACAGATGGAGCCCAGGCCTGGACTCCCCCAGGCTTTACCAGCTGCTCGTCTGCTTGACTTCAAGTGGCCCCTGTCCGTCTGGGCTTCTGCTGCCGGGCCACACGGGAGGGCTGTGGTCTGTATGGTAGAATGACCATTGCCACAACCCTCTGCATGAGAAGCTGATAGGCTGGACTCTGAGGGCAGAGTCAGGGTTCCCATCTGGTGGCAGAGTGAGTACCCGGCTTGCACAGCAGGGCTCTCTGCAATCTCTCTGTCCCCTCACTGCTCCATGACCCTGAGCACCATCCCCCATCGCGCCTGGATCTAGGTTTGAGTCCCCTGTGTCCCAGCATGGGGCTCAGACCATCAGAGGCCTGTTGAAAGCCACAGGGTGGTGTGGAGGGGCGTGGAGAGCTTCGTCCCTGGTCCTGACGCCCTGCCTCAGGGTTGGGCCCAGCTGGCTACAGCTGCCCCTTTGCCTCTGCGTCGTCTCTCCCTCCAGTTCACCCTAATTCTGGGAGAAAAGTCAGTAGAGGGACCTTCAGCCTGGCCTGCGCCACCTGTCTTTGATGGCTGCATCGCCCTCCACATCAGTGCCCCAGGGACGGGGCATCCTGAGGGTTATGTCGGGTCACGCAAGTGTGAGACGGCGCTCAGCTTTATTCATAAATCTACGGGCCGTGGGAGCAGTGTGACCTTTTTCAGCAGCTCCCTTGGCTCAGGAGCCTTCTCCGGTGCCTTCTCAGTGACCAGGCCCAGGTCTGAAAGCCTCAGCTGATGTTCACTGCCATCTGGAAGTCCCTCTGTGCATCTCTCCCTGAGGATTCAGTCCCCAGGTGGCCTTTGGGCCTTCACCTTCTGGTCAGCAGTGCTTCTTTTAGGCACCGCAGTTGAGAATGGTACGAAAGGAAGTTGTGTGCTGTTATATTCAGCAGATGGAAGGCTGGTTGCTGCTTCAGCCCCTAGCTGCCCCCTGTGGTGATCCCCTAAGGCTTTGGCATCTCCCACCACAGCTGAGCAAAGGGCCACAGAACAGTCCAAGGTCCCCCCTGGCTTCTCAGATATCTCCTGGATTCCCAAGACGGGACCCTGGTGCCAGCTTTCTCCCCTTCTCCCTCTGGCCTGTTGGATTCTGCCTCCTGCACCTGTGACCCACCCTGCAACCCCGAGCCCTGAGTGCCTTGGCCTCATGCTGTCCTCCCAACAGCTCCATCACAATGTGTAAAAGTGCATCCCGTCGCCTGGAGCTTGGTCTGCTGGGCTGGGGGTTCTCCTGCCTCCAGGCCACCTCTGCTCACCTCAGAACCCCTGCCAGGCTTGGGGCAGCCCCCTAGCCACCAGGGCTGCTATCTAGCCAAGTCTGGGAACCTCCTGCCCCAGCTTTCCCCAGTGACCTTCACTCTCCTCATGGCCAGCTTGGCTGTGGCCTCACCCCCAGTCCATCCAGTTCACATCCTTTTCTGTAAGCGAGCCCACATCCCGTCATCCCTTTAGAGCCACTGCTGTGTCTGGCAGAAGGGTCATATCTGGGGTGTGTGAGGCTGCTCTGGATCTCGGTAGGGACAGTGGCCCAAGACCAACTTTGCTGAGTGGCCACGTGGATGGGGTAAAAGGAACAGAGTCCGGGCTAGGGGGCAGGACACCTGAAGTCTTGTCCCTGCCCCTGATTAGCCAGAAGGACGTGGCCGTGGGCCTTAGCCACCCACTCTGAGCGGGGCGAGGATGTTCTACAACCTCTGTGTTCCGCGTGTGAGCTTGGAGTCTAAGATGCCTGGAGCCGAGCCAGCACTTGCGCCCCAGGGCCTGCCAGCCCCAGCTGCCACCTCCAGGAAGCTCGTATTTCTCATTTCGCGGCCTCGCTCTTCTCATCCTCCTCTACCTTGATGGCCACTGTGTCCACAGTGTCCTTTTTCTTCTTCTTCTTATCAGCTGTGGGATAAAGAGGCGCATTACAGGAGTGAGTCAGGGGCCTGGGGCTCGCCCCAGAGACTCCCACACCTAGCCCTTCACGTCCTTCCTTCCAAACCTCTCCTACTTGCAGAAGAGCTCCTTGCTTTACCTGCCTCACAGTGACCCATTTCTGTGCTCTGGTCTCCAGGGCCAAAGAGGGGTCCCCTCCCTGAATCTACTGTGAGTGGAGAGGTATAGGGTGACTCTGGGGGGCAGGGCAGAGGCACTGGCTGGCTCAGCAGGGTTGGATGGTGGCGGGGTTGGGGGCCCAGGCCTGCTCACCCCCAGGGACTTCTGTGAGCTCGTCAATGGGTGGCACAGTTTCCAGTTTGTCGGTGTACATCTTGGCTGCCCTTCGCTGCAGATACCGGGCTTCAATCTCCTTCCGGGTCCGTGGCACACGGCAGTTGAAAACACAGCACAGAGTGATAACTGTAGGGACAACAAAGTAGGCTTGGCCAGGGCTGGAGCTCAGACACCCCGGGGATGATACCCAAACTTCAGGTGTGCCTCCATCTGCCTATGTATGTCTTATCCAAGAGACTCCGGCAGCAAGCTCCACATTGGATAAAACCCCTGTGGGCCGTGGGATTTCCAACATATCTTTCCTGACGCAGGGCTGGCTTCGTGCAGTCACATAGGGCCCCACTCTTGGAAGGGCCTGGTGCTTGGGTTAATGCTGTGCTGCCACTATCTTGAAATTCTTCATCGTTTTTGAACAAGGGGTCTCATATTTTCATTTGACACTGGCCCTCTCACTGGTCCTTGTCCTGAGAGCCCTTCTGACTAGATTGAGAGTTCCTGGAGGTCAGAGCAGAGGGCTGCACCATGACTCAAGCTACGGCTTCCTGGAGGGGTCCTGCGCTTCCCACCTAGGCCTCTGGGCTCCTCACACATTCTAGTTTTTCCTCCCTGGGCCCTTAAGAGCAGGGCCAGAGCGGCCTCAGACGCCGGAGGACATGGCTGCATCCTCCTCAGCCTTCCTGAGACCAGCCTGGACTCCTCCTGGCTGTGACAGCCATGAGAGGGCACAGACCCTGCCCTGGGGCGTTCACCTCAGACAGTTATTCCAGGAGTGGTTTTCCTGCCAAGGGTGGCTGCGCCCACGCAAGCGGGGCCAGGGCATGGAGCTGGCCTGTCTAGTGATGGGTAAGGCAAGGCAGGGCTGCCAGGACCTGGCTGGACTGAGTTTATTTTTCTAAGGCCCCCACAGTCTGACCACCTTGGCCCCAGCCTCAGGGGAGGGGATGGAGCTGCTTCCTATTATAAACCAGATGACCAGACACAACTTCCTGGGCCAGGAGGGCCAGGCAGGACAAGCCAGGCCTATTTTGGGGAGAATGGGTCAGACCTACATGGCCTGGGTTGGAGCACCCTCTGGAGTCATCTTGTGCAACCTGTTCGACCAAATACTGTGGCCCCACTGAGTCTTGCCAAGACTCATAGAATGAAAGGAGAATGAATGAATGAATGAATGAATGAATGAGATGGCTCGAAGCCTTTGCTGCTGAGGACAGGACTGGACCCCTGAATGAATAGACAGGGGAGCCAATAGCATCCAGGAGCACTCTGGGAAGGGGGCTGCACGAGGGCCCCCAAAGTAGGTCTGAGTGGACACTGCTGTCTGGAGGTAGACTGGACGGCCGACCTTTCTTATTCAAAGTGCTGGGTCCTGGTGTTCTCTAGACTCCGGTGGGTATGCCTGAGGCCTAAGGCTGGTCCCCGACCCCAACCCCACTGGTGTGGGCCACCTCTTCCAGCTATCCATCAGGTGCCTCCTTGGTACCATGCACACTCAGGCTTTCCACAAGAACGGGTTCCAGGCCCTGGGAGGCCTGAGCTTCAAAGGAAGCTCAAAGGGCAGCTACTGGTGGCCAGAGTTTGGCCCAAACACTGCCCCACCCAGCCTGGCCTGGTCACTTTCTCTTCAAAGAAGGAGAGAAACAAGCGCCTTGGATCAAGTCCCAGGGTCCAGGCAGGGGCTTGTGACACGAGGCCCCAGGCTGGAGGAGACCCCCAGAGGCACCCCATCCAATGCCAGCCCCTCTGCACAGGGTTGTGGAGGTGGTGCTCCACGAACAGCTGCACCTCACAGGCAGAAGCAGATGGGGAAGCAGAAAGCTGCTTCCTGCCCAGGAGACGGGGCTGTGTCATTCCCACTCTCTAGAGCCCTGTGTGGAGGTAACAAGCACTGCCTTGCAGCTCAGGGGCCTTTGAGACCATCCCTTACCCTTTTCTAGGAAATGGGGTGAGGAATTGGAGTCGGTCTTTGTGGCTGGTGTCCAAGGGCCACTTTGGGTCCAGCACTGCAGCTTTCTCGTGTGGCCCCAGGCACCTCCACCATGTGGGGCTGAGCAGAGCGTGGGAGAGGCCATTGTGTGTTTTGAGGCCCCACAGTGCCCTCACCCCTGCTCCCCAAAGTGCCCCAGAGCTGTACCCCAGACTGCTGCTGTGGCCCCTACAGGGCAGATGCGTCCCCCACCCTGCCTCTTGGTGCAGGGGGTTGCTCCCCTCTGTGGACACCTGGGTTGGAGCTGCAGCCACACCTATCTGTCTATGGGGCCCCCACTGAGAAGCCTGACTGGTTCTCAGCCTTGGCTAGGGAAAAAATGCAGCCTGCTGCTCAGATTCTGCTCCCACTGGCTGTGAAGAAATAGTGGAGGGTGTGGTGGATGTTTTCCCGCAGGGAGGTCACTTCTGGTGCCAAGAGAAGCACATGTAAATCAGATGTCCTTGTCTCCCTTGGAGCCCCCACATCTGGATGGGCCTTTTGCTGTTGGCCCTGCCCTCAGGGGACCTCATCCCTGACAGCTCCGGCTGGAACTTAAATGCTGCTTTAGCCCAGACCCATGGCGCACTCGGTCAGCGTCCTGTAGGAGACCTGCGTGGAGGGCATTTCCGCGCATCTCTGCAGACACCATCTCCTCAGCCTGGAGTGCCTTTCTAGCAGTCCCACCTGGAAGCCCCGCCCATTCCCCAACCCATCTGCAGCTCAGAGGACCCCTCCTCTCTGAAGCCTTTGCAGGGGGAGTGGGTATCCTTCTGCTTCACTGCCTGTTCCCCACCCCCTCTGGCCTGTAAGCACCTCCCTCAGACTCTGCCATGGCGGCCTCCCCCACCCAGCGGGCATTTCTCTGCCCCCTTCCCCCAACTCCAGACGGACGATTGAAAGGCGCATGCCCAGCCCATTTCTGTTGCAACTTTGCATCAAGCAGCTCGCAGTCCCAGGGGAGGAAGGGGTCTCTGCTTTTAATTGAGGTGGGTGTGAGTCATTCTAGGGAAATGGTATTTGACAAAGCAGGGCTTGCAGCCTGGTGGCTCCCACATCTGCTGGGCATCTGGGGAGCCTCTGGGCTGAGCTGTGGCCAAGGGTGGCCTTGCTGGGGCCCCTGGGTGTGGGCCCTTTAAGCTGGCCAAGCTGCAGGAAAAGCATCAGGAGGCCCACGATAGGGAAAAATGACACGTCCTCGTCCTGGTGCATGGAGTCCCCTGTAATTACCATAATTGCCATGAATACTTCAGGTCACCACCCGCCTGTCAGCCCTCCACAGGGACTTTGTGTGGCTCAGGAGGTGCCAGAAACCACAGTGGGCCTCCTGCGGGCGCCTGGCCTGCTTGCACTGCCCGGAATTGCTGCTCTGAGCCCCTGGGGGCGGTGCTGGGGGGCAGGGGGGGGTGCTGTGTTCCCACTGCGGTGTGTTGGAGAGGACAGAGAGCAGCTACTCACTGATGGACAACACGAAGAGCGAGAAGATGCCCACCACGTGCCACAGGCGCATGTCCCAGAACACCACCGTCTCCTTGGTCAGCGGAGGCGGCTTGGGCTTGGGTGGGGCTGTGCTGGGCTGGAAGTCAGGAGAGAGGAGAGTGAGCCAGGCAGAGGCCAGGGCCTGGGACTGGGCTGAGAGAGGCCCAGGTCTCAGCAAGGACTCAGCCCAAGCATTTCAGAATCTCCTAGAATCAAGCGTCTTACACAGTCACAACTAATGCCCTGGGCCTTGGAAAGTTCCAGATTTCGAACAAGAGAAAAGAGCAGAGTCTCAGAACCATGGAGCCAGGGACTTGGAGTGCATGGGTGGTTGGTGCTTGGGGAAACCAAGGCCCAAAGGGCAAAAGTGGACGGCCTGTCTCCATCAGGCTCAAGGCCCCTTCAGGCAGCCTGTGAGTGTCTCCTCCTGCTCTAGTCCTGAGCCCCCACAGGCAGATGGGGACTCAGGACCAAGGCCAGAGACATGTTGAGGTCTGTGCTGCCCTGGGGACTTTACTCTCATGTACCCCCAGTGTGGGGTGGGGTGTGGCGCTGGAGTCAGGGCCTCTGATTCTGCTGCCCGGTCAGGACCCCCGCCAAGTGGCCTCAATAGTTGCCCACCCTACCAGAGTCACTTCCTCTGACCAGAAATCTAGGACAGAATCCTCCCTCACAGGACAGGACCAGATAAATCATTTGTCTGCAATACGGCAGCGACATCTGGAGGCCAAAAGGTATAAGTACAGCTGGAGAAGTCTGAGCAGAGCAGAGCCAGCCACCTCCCGCCTTCCCAGTGGGACCCACGTTGCCCTGGAAGGTTGAGGGGACACCAGCCTGCCATGGAGGTCTGAGGGGACACAGCCCTGCCCTGGGGGACTGAGGAGACACGATGCTGTTCTGGGCGACTCAAGGGACATGGCCCAGCCCTGAAGGACTAAGGAACACAGGCCTGCCCTAGAGGCAAGGACATGTTTCTGCCCTGGGTTGCTGAAGGGATACCGCCCTGCCCTGGGGGATTGAGGAGACAAGGCCCTGCGCTAGGAAGCTAGGGGACATGGCCCTGCCCTGGGGTCTGAGTGGACATGGTCCTTCTCTGGGGGGGATAGAGGGGGGAGTCTGAGCAAGACCTATAATGATGGATGGGGCTGACAGGGATATGATCTCTGTTACCAAGTTTGGCTGAGGGGTGTGAATGGGACTTAGTGCTTAGAAGGAGAGAGGACCCTGGGACATCCGTGTAACATGTTGTCCTCTGATTAACCAAACAAGGACAGGCAGGAGGAGTCTCTTCTGGCTTTCTGGGGGGAAAAAGGCAGCCCATAGGTTACCATCCATCCAGTCTTTCCCCAGGCCACAAGCATGGACTGGGCGCCTACCACAAGCCAGGTGCTTCCTCATCTAATGAACACCACCCTTTAGCAGGTGTTGGGGACACGTGGAGATCAGCAGCCTGTCCCAGGTAACCCAGAGGATGTGCGTGCCAGGATTGGGCCTGATGCCCTGTCTCTTTTCTCTTAACCAGGGTGAACTGGGGTGGGCACCTTCTTTTCGCTAAGCCTCAGTTTCTCCATCTGTAACTCGAGTGGGTCCCTCCAGGGGTCTCTGGGAAGCTCTGTCTACCCAACCTGAGTGGTAAAATTGATGGGAAGACACCCTTTTTCAGCGTCATCCCAGGGGCCTGATCCATTTGTGGGGTCAGGCACATGTATGTCGGGTTCAGGGTACTTGTATATGGGATTGGGGCACACATGGGGTTGGGCACACATTGTGGGTACAGGGTATACATGTGGTTGGAGTACACGTGGGCAGTGGTGGGGCCCCTGACTGATCCTCAGACTAAGTGTGTTGGCTCACTGGTTTTTAGGACTGGAAGACTCCGAGGGCCAGAGTAAGGACCTCACATTCCGAGCCTGGGCTGTGCAGAGCTCACTTCTGACTAAGTCTTGTTCCAGCCTTGTTCTGGGTGGAACTGGGCCCATACTCCCACCCTGATAGGGGCTTGGGGTAGAGGGAGAGGTAGAGGGCATCTCTTTGTGGTAGTCACTGCTGGGGCGCTGAACTTGGAAGCGTGGAGACCCTGGCCTCCATTAGAGCCTCACAGCCTGATGGAGGATGCTGCCTGTAGGGCTGGGGTGGGTGGTGCCATGGACCCCAGCACTGCCCATCTTTCTGGTGCTTCCCCGGAGCCCCCAGGCTCGGCCAGCCCCTTGTTCAGGCTGTCGGCCGATGGCAGGTAGATGGACTCCGAATGCAATATCCCTTCATGAGCTGGGATAAGATGTGCTCCTGGGGGCTGGGGAGAGTCCTTGGCTCAGAAGTGACTCAGCCCCCACCCTTAGGTTTCCTGCACCCAGGTTAGCTCGGTTTCTGCACCTAAGGCCTCAGGGAAGCCAGTGAGGGGCCCAAGTACATTCAATGTGGCTCAAGCCAGCCTGGCTCCCCTTACAGGGACACTGGAGCTGACATCTGACTCCAGCCCAGCCTTCTGAGCACATCCTCTGGTCAGCAGCAGGGACAGGCTAGCATCGGGGTGCAGGGCTCCATGCCCATGTCCCTCAGACTCTCCAGTTCAGGGCTGAGTCCCCTCAGACCCCCAGGATAAGGCTCTGTCCTCCCACTCCCATCCTGTCCCCTAGCACTTGCCACTTCAGAGCGCTCCTGGGTGCCTCTCTGCTCTCTCCACGCTGCCTCTGCCTGCACAGGCTCCGTCCTCCACACCACCCTCTTAGGCCTTCTCCCTCTGGCCTCATGCTCCAGAATTCTGGGTCTGGTCTGCCTTCCCGGCTCAGCAGCGATGAGATACAGAGGGACCAGGGAGGCTGCAGATGGTCCCTACCCTGCCCCTTCCAGCCCTTCCTGGCCACAGCCAGGCTCCTGGCCAACCACCCAGCCATCTTCCTCACCTCTTCCTGGACACTCTCAGCAGCTCCTCTCAGTTCTCCCAACTACACGCCCTTTCCCAGTTTATTCTCCTCCATCCAAACCAGGACTCATCAGGATTCTCCCCTGCTCAGAAACCTCTGCTAGCTCCTGGTTATTGCCAGGACCAAGACAGACCCCAGGGCCCTGAGTCCTGCCCTGACTGCGCCTCCCCTTCAGGGATGGGTGCTAGGAATGGAGTCTAACTCAACACATGGCTGCTCTATAAAGGGTCTCCTCACCCTCTTGTGCCCAGCCTCCAGCTTGGCATGCCTTCACCTCCTTCCAAAGGCTGTGTCTCCCCCATCCGACAGGGGACTCTGGAGAATGTCTGGAGGCAGAAGCTGTTTCCTTCAGCAGACCCTAAGATCAGGGACTAGATCTCCCCTATCAGACTAGAGGTCACTGAAACCAAGGATTCCTACCCCCAGGGCCCCCCAACAGACCAAAGACTAGAGGAGAGGTGCTGAGTGTTCCCATCAGACTGGGCACCGCCGTATTCCTCAATCAGAATGGGAATCCTTAAGATCAGGTCAGGGTGAGTCTATTTCATTAGATGAATGTCTCTGAAATCAGGGGCTGTGTTCTCCCATCAGACCAAGGACCTTATATTCTGGGTGAGTCTCCTCCACAGCCTGGAAGCACTTGGGGCAGAGCTGGGTCACCCCATTAAGCTAGGTCTGGCAGGGCAAGAGGAAGGGAAAAGGCAGCTCCCGGTGAGAAAGTCGCCCCCCTCCCCCGCCTGGATGGTGACAGCCACCCGGAGCCCCCACGCGCCACCCAGCCTCACCTCCACCAGCTGCCCAGCGACGCCCGCGAGGCAGACCCCCAGCGCAGCGCCGCCCAGAGCCCAGAGGGGCGCTGCGCCCAGCCGCGGCCCCGCCATCTTCCTGCCGCCGCTGCTCGGCGGGCCTCAGGTCCGGGAGCCGAGCGATGCCCGGCGGGCCGTTGGCCCGGGGACTGCCCCTTGGCCAGCTGGCGCTTAGCTGTGGCGATCTGGTCGCAGGCTGCGAATGGACATCATTTATTCATCGTTGGTGTCTGGTTGCTGTGGCGCCTGCCCCCACATCAGTACGGGTGGAGGAGGGCCCGCCCCTCTCCCTGGGGATCAGACTCCAGACTCCCCGCTCCCCTACCCCGACCAGGACCGACCTGGGGTGGGAGTGGGTGGGAGGGAGGACATGCTGGGGCCAGGGCCTTGAACGACAGGTCCTACCCACCCTTCCTGACGCAGGCCTCAGTTTCTCCATCTGGGACAAAGGGAGGGGGTGGCACCTGCTGATTTAGGAGGCCCTTCCCATTCTGACATTCTGAATTTGAAAAACTGTACTGGACCCAGGTGTGGGGGGTGGGGGGAGCATGGTAAGCAGGTTGCCACGGTGACAGGAGCTCAGGGCTGTCCTGGGCTTTCTGGGCTGGCTTTCTGCCCAGAGGCAGCTCTGTTCACCCTGGACACCAGAGCTGGAGGGGGGATGGGGAGCAGGGCATAGACAGTATGGTCAGAGCCGCCAGCTGCGGGTGCCATGAAAGGTTCCTGAAGGAGCCAGCATCGGTGGCCAGCAGGACAGGGTGGGTTCCCTCCGGAAGGGCTGGTTCTGGCTGACCCTCAGCCTCTGCCGAAGACGCCCGAGCCCTGACCCAGACCTCACACTGAACCTGGCCCACATTACACTCTGGGCCTGACCCCAGGGTGAGCCTTGACAACCCAGGGATGGAGGGAGGGAGGCTCTAAGGGGCTGTGGACACCTGAGGAAGACTTTGGGAGAGGAATGAGGAGGCCTGGGTGGGGAGACTCCTCTGGCCCATCTGCCCTCCCTCCCTCCCATCCTTCCATTATTATTAATCTCCTGCCTGCTGAGTGCTGGGAAACAGCTCAGATGTTGGACCCATTCATTTCTCATCACCAAGAACACCCGTGGAGACCTGCACAGGCTGGGCTGCTTTGGGCCTTGAGCCCACCCTCAGAACTGGGCTTGCTGTAGTTCAGAGCCTTGTGGGGCTCTTGCCTGGAGGCGCCATAGATGGGCCAGGAACAAGGCAGGCTGCAGCAGAGGGCCAAGGGCCGGCCGTGGACAGCCATGGACATCACGTCTGGGAGATGACAGGGAAGGCAGGAAAAGGGGAGAGCCACTGGCAGAGGACGGCTGGCCCAAGGGACCCCTCAAAGAGACCCTCAATAGTGGGTGGCAAAGTCTGGGGCGCTGGGTGGGCTGGGCCACCTCATCTTCCCCATGCTTTCCCTGGCCAGACAAATGGGAATTCCACTAAAGCCTAAATCGCTTGCTGCAGCAGTCTGTCCTCGCTCTACTTCCTCATGTCATCGGTCATGGGCCAGGCTAAAGAAAGCCACATTGACCAGCTAGGAAGTCACCCTTGGGACATGAGGCCAGAGAGGACTTGGCTAAACTGGGTTGGGGTTACTAGGCTTAACAGTGGCCTTGGGCAAACCATTATTCTCTGCTTTGATTTCTTCATCTATGGGATAGAGAGGGCAAGACTGCCATTACAGGCCTGATGGAGGACTGTATGAGCTAATAATTATGGGGGTGCTGACTATATGCTGGCTCTCCTCATAGGACTGCTCAGCCCAGGGGGCTGGGGGCTTTCGCTGTTTCCTGTTAAGTTCGTTGTCTTTCCATCCAAGAAGCAGGGCAAACCCACTGAAGAACTCTGAAAAGGCATACAATCATGTGTGTCCCCACTGTTCTCTGAGATGGCCACTGTTCCCAATGGGCTTCACTTGTCTGCAGGCTCTTAATAACTTTTCCCCAGAGCTTTTTACCCAATACAAGCATCATAGATTCTCCCCCAAACGCATTATCAAATACTGTTCCACAGGTGTTGAAGTCAAACTGACTTAAAACAACAGTGTCCCAAAAGTCTCAGGGCAGCTTTAAGTTTCAATAATCTCAGAAGTGTAAGGCTACATATTTATAAGACATGCCATTTGAAAGTTTAATTATCTAAATTTCCTTTTTTGCCCTCTGAAGATGGCAAAAGTTGATGGAAAAAAATTACTTATTTTCTAAAATTCACAAAGCTAGGCTAGTACTGAAATTTTATGTAATTAAACTTTCAAATTATGTTCCTTGTAAATTTATAGCTTGTTACTGTATAACTTCTGAAGTTATCAAAGCTTAAAGCTAAGACTTCTGGGCACAATCATACTGACAGCTGTGAGCCCTCAGTGGGCTACTTAACCTCTCTGAGCTTCAATCCATCATCTGTAAAATGGGTATAACTACATATCGTAGCACCTGCACACCACAAGCCTTCAGTGAATGCTAATCATTATGATTATTGTTGTCGTTGTTACTAAAGATAGTGTGATATTATACCATATAAAAAATCAACAATACTTTGTTCAATCAACGCCCTATTGTTGGACATTTGCGTTGTTTCCAGTTCTCCGATGGTAAACTCCACAATGAGAGGAACATCTGGAAAGCTAATGCCGTATTCATCTTTTTATTCCTCTCCCTTGTTTACTCCTGAAAAATTGAAGCCCAGGGAGGGGTTGTGTCCTGCCTGAGGGCACTCAGGAACTGGGGTCTCAAACTCAGTCTTCAGCCCCTAACCCAGGGCTCTGCCCACTGTCCAGTACTGTTTTTACTTCTTATGAGGTGTCTGTATATCCCTGCATCTCACCCCCAGCTGAGCCCATCAAGTCTGGGGGTGGTGGAGCTCTGAACCCCCAGGTTCCCCATTCTGGCTCCCCTGAAAGACAGTGTCCCCTCCACGCATGGTGGCATGAATGCTGGCCTGCAGAACGCTGTTTATCCCTTGTGTACTATTTTTAGCCCCTGTGGGTTTCCTGTAGGGACCCAGTCCAGCTTCCAGGGCCTCTGGGTTGGAAGCCATGAGCAGAGTCAGTTGGCAATGGCCAGGGGACACTGGAGAGTTCTCTCCTGGAGCCTGAAACTCCAGGGCTCGAGGTTAAGCTCTGGGGAAGCAGTGGGATTCTCCCAGTCACAGAGTCAGGTTGGGATCTGGTGCATCTTGGACTTAGCCTAGGCTGGGGATGGGGGCTGGGCAGCCTAGGCCTGTAACACAGCGGCTGGGACCTGCTGGGAGCTGGCAGTCTCTGACCCTGTTGGCCCTCGGCCTGACCCAGAATAGTTTTGTATCACCTGGGCCGAGCCTGGGTGATACCTGTGCATGCACAAGCATGCGCTTGTGTCTCGAGTCACTTGTGTACACGAGAGTACACATGCACTTTGCATGTGCCTGTGTCTGGGTGTGAGTCTCAGTGTGCATGTGGAGCAGTGTAAATCTGAGTGCATGTGGATGTACACATGATCTGAACACATGAGCTCATGTGCAGGGCTGCCACCTGAGTTATGTAACATGGAGGCCCTGCCAGTGAGTTCACTAGTAGTAGATGGGTCTGTGTGGCCCAAGTGAGTGTACGTGCCACCACATTCTCATTACTGTGGAATTGTATATGGGTGCAGGGGCTGTGGGCGCGGGGAAGGACTGGGCAAGGGCCCTTGGCTATGTTGCAGTTGGCCAAGGGCAGGTAGACCCAGTGGAGGCTGTCCTTTGGGCACTACCCAGGGCACTTCAAATTACCTGGCTCAAAGCCAAGGACAGGCTCGGAGAGACGCTGGGCCTGTCCTGCCCCATTTGGCAGATAATCAACTGGACTTGGCAGTGCACGTGAGGTCTTCCAGTGAATGGGGAGTGGGTGCGTGACAACAGGCCTCCAACCTTCCAGTTCCCCTAGATGTGACTGAACAGGAAGTTGGGACTCGGGAGGAAGCTGAGAGGGCCATTCCCTTCCTGCTTGAGCCCAGGCAGCCCTGACTTCCCTCAGCTACAGATATAGATGAGAAAACTGAGGCCCAGAGAGGGGACGGGTTGGCCCAGAGACACCCAGCACAAGATCAGATCCCTCTTGCCTTGAGCCCTGCCCGCCGACCCCACTTGTCATAAGTGGTGAGACTATATGCTCCTGGACAAGCGTGCTCTCTCCACATGTGGCCATGGCCACGCTCCAGCCCTCGGCCCTTCCTCCTAGGCCCCAGAGATCTTGTTGCCTCCCTACCCCCATGTGCCAGGGGACCCACAGACCCACCAAGACCCTGCTCATCCACGAAGAAACCCGACGAATCTGCCATGTGCCCCCTCCACCAGGAACCTCTGTTCGGCCTGGCAGAATGGAGCCTGACTCCCACTGCCTCAGACTTGGGGAGGGGGCTGGTGGGCCACCCTTTTCGCTCTTCTACAGCCGGTCTCTCTCTGGATAGGGCCCTCTTCACCTCAGTGTTCTCCGCAAGTGAAAGGGGCGGAGGCAGCCCAGTGACACCAGCCATCTCCTGAAAACACAGTGCTACAGGAAGTGAGGGGGAACTGGCCTGGCAGCCAGAGGGGGACCCGGTGGCAGACAGTGGGCTCCTTTGTTACAAGCGTGAATCAGGGTCCCTCCCCCTCCCGGGAGGTCCTCAGGACTAGGTTCGCGAAACCCTTTCCAAGGTCGCAAGTCCCTAGCGCAGACAACTGCTGGCTTCACGCTCTACCGGGCCCAGGAGTGGGGAGAAGGGGACTTCCCCAAGGTCACACAGACAGGCGTGGCGGCTGGCCGTGGACGCCCGGCCTAACGGGCAGGGTGTGGGGCGGGCAGCCTCGGTTTGCCCACTTTACAGATTTCAGGAACCCATCCAGAGTTCCGGGAAGCGAGGCGAGCCCGGGAGCGAGTGTGGGAGGGTCACGTGCCCCGCCCCATTCCCCCTCCCCTCGTTGGCTCCCGGGAGTCTCCGGACCCTGAAGGACATCGGGAGACCTCAGAGAGGCCTCCGGCACGGGGCGGACCGACACCGCGTCCCGCCTCCTCCTAGCCTGGCCCCCTCGTTCCCGACACTGTGAGTAAACCCGGGGGCGTGGCGTAGCGTGGAGGGGCGGGGCGGGGGCGTGGTGATGCCCAGAGGGGCGGGGTGGGCGGTGGGCCGACCCGGGCGGGCGTGCGGGCGGCGGCGAGCAAACCGCGGCTGGGCTCTGCCAGCGCTCCGCACCGCGCTGCACAGGTAAGGGCGGGCTCCTTTGCTCCGCGCTTTCTGCGCTCCTGGTGGGACGTTTGTCTCCGCGCCCTTCGTGCTGCGGCGTCGCTGTCCCTCTCTTCTGGCTCCTGGGTCCCGGCGGCACTCACACCCATGCCGTCCGAGTTTATCGGACCCAACGGAATTCAGCTTCGTCCTCCCTGCCTCATGGTCACTCGGCTGGTTCGGGTTTAGGGGCAGCGCAGGGAGAGCCCCTGCGCGCCCGGGCACGGCAGGAGCGCAGTACCCTGGGGCTTGGCCTGGGCCGTGGTGCGAGGGCCGCGGGGCGTCACCCAGCCTGAGAGACTGCCAGGAGGAGGTGACACCGGCTGGTGTTGCCTGCAGTGAGAACGGCATGGGCCGCATGGGCGCATGCCTGGTGGCTGGAACAGGAGCCCATGTTTGGGAAACTCCAGCGATTGTGTGTGCCCGGGCTGGGAGAGGAAGGGAAGTTGTGAAGCACGCAACCAGCGGACAGGAGTTGGGGAGCCTCGAGGACAAGAAGCTTGGAGCCAAGGAGGGGCAGAGAAGGGGTGCCTGGGGAGAGGTCGAGGTGGAGACTGAGGGGTCAGCTGTGACAGTTCAGTGCCCCCTCCCTTGGGCAGCCCCTCTCTCTGTCTACCATTAGGTTTGCTGGTGGATCAAGGGGCCTCCAGAGCAGCCCAGGAAAAATTCTCCACAGCAAGCAGAGCTTCCTTGCCTGTCCAGACCAGGAAATACCAGAATGAGTGCCATGACAGGGTGTGGCCGAGGGGCCAGAGGGGTCAGGCCTTGGAGAGGGCAGGGGAGGACTTAGTAGTGACCCTGCCTGAGAGGGACCCACTGTGGACAGAGGCCAGGAATGCAGGGGGGAGAGCAGGTCTGGCTGCTGGTTAGATCGACACAGGGACAGGTAGCTGACTCACTTGGGCACGCCAAGACTGGCTAGTTTTGTGCTTACTCCATTCCATGGTGAGCATTAAGGCTGCCTGGGGAGGTAAGAGGCTGGGCCCTGCCGGGAACTTGCTGCTGTGTGCCCTCAGGTGAGTTGCCCAGCCTCTCTGAACCACCTAGCTGAGGTGAGGCTAGTGGGACTGGGAGCCAGAGGCCTGGGTCTGATTCCCACACATGCTCTGCAGATAGTGTCTCCGGGGTCTCCTGTTCCTTCCTGGGCCTCGGTTTCCCCATATATAAATCATGTACAGCCAACCACTGAGGAACTTTATAACTGGATGGAGCGAAAGCGTAAAGAGGCTATGCCCCTGATCAGAGAGAGGTGGGGTGGGGGTGCGACTGGGTTAGAGAGGGGACGTTTCCTGCTGGGTCCCTGTCATGTTAAGGTTCATTCAGCACCTCCTCCTCCGCCCCGCCTGCAAACATACACACTTAAGTGTACTCACACCTAGCCTCACCCCTACCCTCACACTCTCCTTGTCACCTCCAAGATGAAGCCCAAAGCTCCCTCACCTATGGGGCACCAGACTAGACACCCCGGCCTCAACTGGTCTTTCCTCCAGACAGTGTGACTCACTTTCCTAGCGAGGGGTCTGAGACCCTTTTGGGGCCACAGACCTGGAAGGGCTCAAATAGTGTCTGCCAGCCAGGTAGGTAAGAGTCATCCCCAGGGGCCCCAGCCTCAGAGGAGGCTGAGGACCAGGTCCCCAAACCCAGAGCCACTTCCCTCCACTAGTTTATCCTTTTTAGGGAGGACTAAAATATTTGAAAAGCTCTGATCTATTCGGACCCCCATTCCATAGAGGAGGTGACTCAGGCCCAGAGAGGAGGGGGCTGTGGCTAAGCTGGGGCATGTCCAGGGCTGAACAGCTGGATAGGAGGCCACAGGGGGTCCTGTGGGAGCAGCTGAGGTATGGGCCATAGCTCATAGGGGAGCAACTGCCAGGCCCCTGGGGGACAGGGGCAGAGAGCTCTGTGCCCTGTGTGTGGCATTGGTGTGGGTAGGGCTGCCTGGCCCCCAGGTGAGTGTGGGGGACGCTGGTGTTCAGCGCCTTGTAGAAGTGAGTTATTTACCGCAGGTCCCCTGATCACCCTGATCTGGTTCCCAGCCTGCACTTGCCATCCTGGCCGCACTCTCCCCACTGCGTGTTGAGCCATTATCCACACCTCTCAGCTCAGACCCCGACTGCCTGCCAGCTGAGGGCGGGAAGCTCATCCCCCAAAGGGCTTCCATTCCATCAGTTTCTGGAGATATGGGCGAGGGTCAGGTGGGCCCCGGTCACCCTTGCTGCACCCCTGACCCCTTGGCTGGGCTCTCCTGGTCTGCCTGAGCTGACCTGAAACCACCTGCCTGTCTCCCCCGGGGGACGGGGGCTGGGGTTGCTACAGGGGCTGGCAGAAAGCGAAGGCTGCAGCTGGGCGTCCAGCGGCTTCCCCTTCCTGCCGCTCCCTCCTAAGGCCTCGCCCTCCTGAAGCAGCGGCAGCAGGAAAGGTGGGGCAGGAATGCCTGGGCCTGGGCCCCTGGCCAGAGTTCTGAGGTACCTGCCCCGTTCTGCCCCAGAGCCAGTGCCCTGGGAGTTGTAGGCTCCTCGGGGCCTGGGTGGGGACGGATGAGACCTCTTTCCGCTAGGGTCTGCCTATGTCGCCTGCCCATCATCAGCTGCCTCGGTTATGTTTCCCGCCTCAGCCAGGTCAGCTAACTCCAGAGCCTCAGACGGTCAGCACCAGGGAGAGGTCGAGTCTGGGCAGATCTCCTTTGTCAGGTGAGGGCGGCACGGTCCGGCAGGAGAGGGCTGAGTCCACCTGGAGGCCGCAGCCTGGCTGTGGGGCTGGGTTTGAGCCCAGGCCCCTTGCTGCCCCACCCTCCAGGCAGGATGCTGCCTTCGCAGGTCACCCCTGCCTGCTTGGAGGGTCCTCACCCCAGGGAAGGAAGTCCGAAGGTCAACCCCATCTGCCCACCCCCCACAGCCCCCCCATCTTAAGTGGGACTCATCCAGGAGGGTCGGCCTGGGTGGGGGGCATGGCGGGCCTGACTCCCACCCACACTCACTTCTCCCTGTCACTGCTTGGCACCATCTCCTCTGCAACTGTCACCAAGTCCATCTCCCCAAGTCTGACTAACACCGCTCCCTTCTCTGAGGTCTTCCATGGCTCCTCTGTCGACCACCTGCTCTTGGTGGGCCACTTGCAGAGCCTGGGCTCCCATGGTTCCCTCGCCTGCATGCCTTGCCTTTCTCTCTGCTTTTTTATTTCTTGCTCATCCTTCATGGTGCCCGCAGAACCCCCCTCCCCCCCCCAGCCATGCAGACCTCTCTCTGCCTTCCCAGCCCTATTGGGTGACAGGGAGTCCTGAGCCATGGCCTTGAGAAAGGCTGGGCTCCTATGACAGCATGTCCTTGTTTCCAGAAACTCAGTGGAGAGGGGGCTAGGCCAGAGCACTGCTAGAGGTCACTCTGAGCCCTTGGGAGCCATGGTGGGTGTTTGAACCCAGGAGTGAGCAGACCAGAACTGGGCCTGGGCCTGAGGAGCATCTGCTTTTGGGGGTAAAAAGGGATGCTTCCGTTGGCAGTTCTGAGTCCTGTCTCCACTCCTTCAGGCTCGCCTCACCTGGGTCCAAGTGGAGAGTGGGGCAGGGGTCAGCGGCCAGCTAGGGGACTTCCCTCTGAGGTGGCCTGGGCTCCTTGCTCAATTCTGATACGGGGCGATCATGGGTCTTACTTCTGGTACACGCCTGAGAGGATGGGCGCTGACCCTGCTCCACCCTCCATGCTGTCCCGCTCTAATCTGTGCCCCGTTCACAGGCCCTGAGGCTGGCACGCTGGCCATGGGCAGACCTGAGGAGGCGGCCCTGCTGCAGCTGGAGGAGGTCTTCTCAGCCACCCTCGCCCGAATTGACAGCCTTGTGCTCCAGCCCCTGCTCATGCTCGGTGAGTCTCAGTTCTCCTGGGAGGAGGGTTAGGGACACAGGAACCGTCCAGGGACAGGAGTTGTACCTTGTTGGGCCCTCAGAGCTTCAGCGTTCTCAAATGGAAGTGGTGACACTTGGTGTCAGCATCTTCTGATGGGACTGGGGTCCTGGCCCCCAGGTGCTGACTGCTCCTTTCTCAGAGGGATTCTGAGGGGCCAGGCCATGAACCCCGTCCTAGCCCAGACCTGGCTGTGCATAGACACGAAATTCCACCTCTCCCAGGGCACAGGCCTGGATTCTTGGGCTGTATTCTCATCTTGCTCTCCTGCAGGGCATGACTGGCAGGCAGGATGCCTAGGTGTTACTTTCAGCTTGGGTCTCACTTGTCACGTGACCTGGGGCAGGTGCCTTCCTCTTGGGGGCTCTGTCCATGCGTCTGTGAATGGCAGGGACTGCAGGACCCTATGGACTCCACATTCTGGGTCCGAGGAAGCCGAGAATCTGGGGACATTAGTGTACTTGGTGTCCCAGGTCGTCATGTTGTCCCTGTTTAGTGAAGAGGTAGATATGTGCCCGTATTACACCACTCCAGCCTGTCTGGCCCCTGCTGAGCTCTAAGGGGGCACATCAGCATCTAATCCCAGGGATACAGGGCCCTGGCAGCAGCTCCAGGGCTGTGGGGTGCTGCTGGCTCTCAGGTGACCACCTTGGGCCTCTGTGTGTTCCCTGGAAGGTGGAGCGACCCTGTCCCCCCTCACAGTGTGCTTGTGCTCCCGCCCCTGCCCCAGAGCCCACGGATCCACAGAGCAGAGAATGCTTGCAGCTCCTGCAGCAGCTGCGCAAGAGCTCCCAGCAGCTCTGGAAGGTGACAGAGGAAAGCTTGCATTCACTGCGGGAGAGGCTACGCCACCCGGACGCCATCGGTCTAGAATCCCTGCTGCTGCTGGATGGTGCCGACCGTGTCCTACAGGTCTACATGGAGTAAGACGGCGAGGAGGGGCTGGGGCTCGGCCTGGGTATCAGGATGCCACCTGGCACCAGGCCTCACCTGGGGTCGGCCTCAGGAGACTAGGGCTTTAGCCTGGTGCTGGCTCAGACACTCCAGACCAGAGCCTTGGGGCCTCCAGGGGAGGAAAGATCTTGTGAATTAGAAATGTCTTGTGGGGTGGATCAAGACTTGAGGTCACCAGTGCCTAGAGCCAGGCCACTGTCTAGGCCACTCAGGGCTGCAGCCACTCAGTGAGTGGGTTCTGGGCACCCCAGAAGGGCAGGGACTTGGGTCTGGAGCCAGGGGCTGGGTATGCAGGGTGTCTCTATGCTGCCTGCAGGTACATCGAGTCCTACACGAGCTGCGTGGTGACACAGGCCTTTCAGAAGGCAGTGAAGAAGAGGAGGTGAGCATGGGGTGCTGCAGTGGGCCTCTGGGGGGGTGGGGTGTCTGGGAGGGAAGGGCTAGGGAGGCCCCGGTCCAGAGCAGCGAGTATCACAGTGTATGATGCATTCTGAGCAACCCTGGCTCTAGCAATTCCTCACGGATCTACACCAGAAAAATGGGAGGGAATCCTAGTGGGCAGACTCCTGGTATCCACTAGCCAGGGGTGACCCTGGGGTGGAGAAGGGGGACACTGCTACTCAGGGTGGGTGGTTGTAATTAATCACTGATCCCTTGAAATGCTGAGCTATTGCTACTTAATTGCCAAGAGGGCCACTCAGGCTCTGCATTTACCTGCGAGGAGGGAGGTTTGGGGCCTGAGACTGGTGCTGGGATCGGAGGGTGACGGTCGCATGTGGCCCTCTCTCCACTCAGTGACTACTGGCGGAGCCGGCAGAAGGCGCTGCAGCAGCAACTGTGGGGCATGACCTCCGAGGGCTCGATGGACACCAAGCTGGCCCAGGTCCTCTGCCAGCCGCTCACTCGTCACGTGCAGGAGTATGTGTCCCTCCTCCGGAGCCTCAGGGACACCGCGGGAGAGGTAGGTGGCAGGGGGCCAGGCGCTGCTCGCCATGCTTGTCACCTGTGGGGAAGCCGAGGGAGGGGACCCATGGGGACTCTGGCTCAGGGCACCCGCCTTTCTCAGGAACCCTGGTTTGAGAAGGACCAGGTCAGGCTTTGTGGACACAGCTGTGTTCTTGGGGGTTTGAAGGGACATGTTTTTGCCCCGCGGGAGCTGAGGTACTTGGCCCTGTCCTGGTTGAGTCCCCAGAGACCCAGAGAGCAGCCGTGGAATCGTATACGACTGGGTGTGAGAGCACAGGGCCCAGGCCCAGCGGAGGGAGTCGCGGCATGATCCTGACCCCCCAGATCGCACCTTCATACTGGCTGCTCCTCTGAGGACGAGCTGGCAGGGAGGAGGGGTGAACTTTGGCTTAGACGCAGGCCAGGGCTGGGGCAGCCCCCATGGGGTCGGGAAAGGTGCTGATAAGCTCCCCGCCCTGGCTGCTCTGTCCTCCTGCAGCATCGCCCCGCCTGCGAGCTGGTGGCGCACGCAACCACCCTCTTTGAGAACCTACAGTCCTTCATGAGGCAGGCGCTGGACCAGGCCGTGGCCACGCAGGGCCTCTGGCGCACCCTGAGCAGCCGGCTGAGGGTGAGTTTGAGGCCTGAGGGTGGTCAGGGAAGGGGTTCTGTCGGCCAAGGACCTGCTGGGTGGCTCGAGCTGCTTGCTGGACTCTCTGTGCCTCAGTTTCCCCATCTAAAAGCAGAGTGGTGGCTGAACCAGGTGGCTGTGATGTCCCTCTGTCTGGCCATCCTCACCCATTTGCTGAGCACCTCCTGGGCCAGGCGTGAGTTGGCTCAGGGGAAGAGCAGTCAGCAGAACTGACCCATTCTCCTGGGGTGTCACCAAATGATTGCATCCCCACGTTCCTGCCTACTGTGATACGAACTGTCCCTGCAGAGGGGACAGTCCCTGTGCCCTGAGAGGGTATGACAGGCTTGAGGCCCAGTGTAGAGAATCAGGAGAAGAGGTCAAGGGGACACAAATTGTCAGAGAGAGGCAGACATTGCAGAACTTGGTGAGAGCTGATGGGGGCTCGACTGAGGCCATGGCTCGAGGTAGGTGAAGGAGGACAAAGTGACACTTTAAAAGAAGTTGTGCTGCCCTGCTGGGAGTGGCCAGGAATGACCTTCCAGACCTGAGCCTTGTCACTGTCCATCTGTGTCCATCACTGACCTGGGGGCCTCCAGGAGATGCTCAGGGTGGAGGGTCCAGGGTAGAGACAGCAGTGGAGTGGCCGGAAGCATCTAGGACAGGGGTGCCTGAATCCTGCATCTCCCCCATCACCTCCCCAGGATGCACTCTACACCCCTGCTCGCCGACTCTTGCAAGACAGCCAGGACATGCCCTTGACGGTCACCCCACTGCGGGCAGAGCGTGTGCTGCTCTTTGATGATATCCTCGTCCTTCTGCAGGTTGGGATGGTGCTGACCGGCAGTCTAGGGGCCACAGCGGGGATCTGGGGTCTGGTTGAAACAGGAGTAGGAAAGGGACAAGCAGGAGGGGAGCGAGAACTGGGACTCGTGGGGGAAGCGATGGGGCAGAAAGGCAGAGGCCCAGGGTGGGGCCGCAGGTGAGAGAGGCCCGGAAGGAACGTGGGCTGTGGGGGAGGGCTGCTCGAGGTGCATCTGGCCTCAATCCTTCCCAGCCGTTGACATTGTCCCTGCTAATGTCACCATGTCAGGTGCCTCATCTGGAGAATGGGATAATTGTGAGTGAGCTTGTCCTTCAGCAGATGCTGGACAACTCTTAGTTCTATTCCTCAGATAGGAGAGAAACCCCAGATGGGGGCTCATGGGTGGCCCTGGGGGGCTGAGGAGGGCTGGACGAACACTCCAGGTGTGCGCAGGCTTCTTGAGAAGCGCGCCACCCAGAAGCAGTGCCTGGGCTCTAGGTTCACAGGAGCCAGGAGGAGCCAGGCTTGGGTTTGCGATTGTTGCGCGGCCAGTAACCTTGACTGTGCTTCACCCCCTGAACTCTTAACTGCTCCTGTGACAGTCACAGCACTGCCTTCTCTTCTGCTCTGGAATATCAGTCTGGAACTCCTCTGTAGACAGGGAGACTGAGGCCCAGAGGGATGTTACTTACATCCCCCAAACCTGTGTCCCCTGAAGCCTGGTTTGGGGTTCTGATTCAGTTTGCGTTCCTTCCCACTCCCGACTTTACACTCTGTGTTCCAGGTACGCTGAGGAGATACTGTCATTTAAATGCACTGAGCCCTCTCCTACCTCTGGACCTTTGCACATCCTCTGGTCTCTGCTGGACCCGCTCTTGTCCCTGGCCTGTGTCTGGCCCACTCCCCCTTCACTCAGCCCTGGCCTGGTGCCTTCTCTGCCTCCTGTGGCAGTGACCCTTGGGCTGGGCTGGGCGGGAGGTCACTACATAAAATGTCATAGAGGAAGGGACGTTCAGTCTGGTTCTCAGAGCAGGGATGGTGTTTCAGGCAGAAGGAACATCAGATCAAGGAGACTTTGGGGCAAACTTGAGAAGGTGTGAGTGTGGAGTGGCAGTGATGCTGTGGTGTGGAGAGGGTGGGGGGTGGCACACGAGCTGGGCGTGGTCTGGATGGACTCAGGTGCGAGGCTCAGCAGTGAGGTCTCCATTCCCCAGGCAGCAGGAGCCTTAAAGAGGTTTCCAGCAGGGGCTGATGGGGCCTAAGCTGTGTTTCCAGAAGGCCATTCTGGGGCCCGTGATGGAGCAGTGTTACGACACCAGGGGAGGCTGAGCCCAGGTTCCCGGCCGGAACCTTAGGCGGGAAGGGAGCTGGAGGAACTGCCTTGGAGATGGGGAACAGGCTGAGGTGGTGAGGGACTCCACACTGGGCATACTGGACCGAGCAGCTTGGGGACGCCAGGGGTGTGCCAGTGGCCGGTGCTTGGGGACAAGGCTGGGCCAGAAGAGCAGGTGAGCATCTGGTCTGGGCTCTGCACGACACCCATGCCCTGTCTTCCTCCAGGGCCACAATGTCCACACCTTCGATCTGAAGCTGGTTTGGGTGGATTCTGAGCAGAACGGGTGAGCAGCCTCCTCCGTGACACCCCAGGCCTTCCCTCCCCCTATCCCATGAAACCTGCCTGCGCCCTAAGGCTCCGACTCCTCCCCAACACCCTCCTGGACAGAGCTGGGGCCTACTCACCACCTCCATCTGTCTAGGTGTGTGTTTCACCTCCTCACGCCCGAGGAAGAGTTCTTTTTTGGCTCCAAGTACCGCCAGGACCAGGTGAGTGTGGGTCAACTTTGAATTGGGGGGTGGGGCCAGGGGCATGAGGAAGGCCACAAGCAGGGAGGGGACGGCGCGCGTGCACAACGCAGGAGGCTCCTGGGGGTCAGACTTGTGGTGTCCTGGTCCGAGTGAGCCAGGGCTCAGCCTGGAGTCAGGCAGCAGAAAGCCATAGAGAGCAGGTAGTTTTCTCTATGAAGCCAGCACTGGGGCCCGTGTTGATCCCTGCCCGGTGGTTTTGTCTGTCCCCTCTGGGCACGCCCTGAAACTGCAGACAAGGATCTCAGATCTGGCTGGAGGGCCCTAGGGAGCAGCGTGGAACAGTTGGAGGTTCCTCCAAGTGACAGAGTGGGGTTGGGGCGGGGGGTACGGTGGAGAGAGTCACACTGGTGCCACCTCAGAAGTCTTCCTGCAGGGCCTGCCTCCAGCAGCAATGACCTGTCTGGTGTTTCCCCTGTCCCCACCAGGTGGTCTGGCAGTGGAAAATTACCCAGGCCGTGTGCCAGGCCCTGCGTGGGAAGAAGGACTTCCCGCTGCTGGGGGCAGGCCTGGAGTCCTCCAAGCCCCCCATCTGCCGCTCCATGGCATACACCTTCCTCGCGGAGGGCCGGCTCTGCCAGGCCACCTATGAGGGCGAGTGGTACCAGGGCAGGCCCCATGGCAAGTGAGTGACTGGGGCTCTGAGCCGGGCAAGGCAGGGCTCCTCTTGGGGGTCTGATGGGCAGACAGGACCCACATAGACCTAAGTGCCTCGGAAACGAACCAAAGGCTGTTACTTCCTACGGTTAGTTGGTCAATTCTGTTCGTCCCGTAGCGTCTTTTTGGACAGGACCTGGCTCATAGTAGGCCTGTGCCATATAAAGTCTGATGGTGATGGTGCTGGTGATGGTCAGGGCGTGGGGCAGAGGTCAGGTGGCTGGCCTGCAGGGCCTGCAGCTGCCCTTCTGTTCTCAGGAGGTGAAAGGATGGGTGGTCCTCATATCTACGTAGAATTGTGTGGCGGTGGTGGAAATGGCTTACAGACATCCATCCTGCCTTCCTCAGTCCTTACAACAGTGCTCTGGGGGAGTGGTGTCACCCATTCGATAGGTGCACACACTGAGGCCTGGGACAGGCATGACTTGCCCAAGGCCTCAGGGCAGGTTATAGGGTGACCCTGGCCACAATCTCAGGCCTACCTGACCCCCAGGTAGGTAGGCTTTTGAAGAACATGTGGCCCCACCCTGTGCTACAGCCAAGGCCCAGAAGCACTAGGGACTCCCCAAGGTTACGCTCCCAAGCACATCTGTTAGTTCTGATCCCTGAGACTTCCAGAAAGGGCTTGAGAAAGCTTGTGAACAAAGAGACAGAAAAAACAATGCCGTGTCAGAAGAGGAGAGGAGGCTGGTAGAAACCCCACTGACTAGCATTTGGCCTGAGCTTGAAGTTTAGCTCTGAGCTTCCTGTTCATCAAGGGGAAAAGGGAACCTGGATGTTTCCAGAGCCCTCCATATAGGGAGTGGTGAGTGTGCCCCTGGAGGCCGCTGGGGCAGTTGTGCCAGGAATAGAGAAGGGCTGAGAGCTGTGGGGTTACAGAGCTCCGAGAAAAGGGCTGGGTGGGGCAGAGAGTGCAGTCCAAGGGGCGTCTAGGCCCCTGAGCGTCTGGGGTGGAGGCTGGCTGGGGGTCCTATATGTGTAGGAGGCTGCGCCTGGTGTGCCTGATGCCGTGGACCTCACCTGTGTTCCAGGGGAACCCTGAAGTGGCCCAATGGGCGGAATCACGTGGGGACTTTCTGCCAAGGCCTGGAGCACGGGTAAGGCTGGGGCTAATGAGCGTGCAGTGGGTAGGAGAGTGATTTCCACACTTGCCAGAGTCACCACCAGTCCGGCCCCTTCCTAAATTCCCCAACCACAAGCGGGAACTTGGAGGCCATCTGGTCCAGGTCCCCTCGTTGTACCAAAGGGGAACCGAGGCCCTGAGGAGGGGCAGGCCATGGAGGGAGTGGCCCAGAGCCAGGAGTTCCCAGGGTGAATGGGGGCACGATGGAGGGGGTGTCCTGAGAGGGGCCCTTGGAAAGCAGAGAGGGACTGAGCACCTGTGAGACTCTCCCCATCGTCTGAGCAGCCCCTGGAGGCAGGGACACTCCTGAGTGGCGTGAAGGGGGTGTAGCCCAGGATCTTGGGTCAGGGCGGGGGCACCCATGGTGCTGACTTCCTTCCCTGGCCATCTGCGCTGACAGCTTTGGCATCTGCCTGGTGCCTCAGGCCTCTGAGGACAAGTTTGACTGTTACAAGTGCCACTGGCGGGAAGGCAGCATGTGTGGCTACGGCATCTGTGAGTAAGTACCCTCGGCCTGATGGCGGGCGGCTCAAGGGCTGGGCACATCTCCTGGGCCGAGCTCTGGGAGGCAGGGCCAGTTGTCGGTGACACTCCCCAGGTACGGCATTGACGAGGTGTACAAGGGCTACTTCCAGGAGGGCCTGCGACATGGGTTTGGGGTCCTTGAGAGCGCCCAGCAGGCCCCTCAGCACTGCAAGTACACGGGCCACTGGGAGAGGGGCCAGAGGGACGGCTATGGCATCCAGGAGGACAGTGACAGGTGAGTGCTTCATGGCCACCCCCCAGGATGGGGGCAGAGAAGACCCTCACATACCAAATTGCCTCAAGTGAGTGAGTCCATTCTGTGTGTCCCCATGGAGTCTCCCTGAAGTCCCTCACCTCCCCCTCACTCCCTCGGTTGTCTCTGGGCTCAGGATGAGGGACCCCTGGCCTCCTTGACTGTGGGAGCCTTCCTCTCCGTCCCCCCTCCATTGCGCTGTCTGAGAGGGGTTTCTGACTCCCAGATCTGGTCCCATCTAAGGCTCTCCTTTAAGTCTCTTTAAAGGTCCCCTTTAAGGCTCTGGGCTGAGACAAAGCTCGGGGTCCCGGGCCTGGCATTTAAGGCCTTGCCTACCCCCTCTGACCTCACCCCTGCTGTGACAGCCCTGCACCCCTCCCACCTTCTAAGCCACTGAACACCCCCACGTATCTGTCACACACTCCTACCTCCATGGCTTTGCCTGTGTGGATGGCACCCCCACTCCATCTGTCTTTCTTTCCACCTCCAGGCAGGCTTCCTCCATCTCCACCCTCTTGGGGGTCCTGACCTCACCTGCCCCGTGTCTGAGTTGAGTGGATTCAGGCAATGTCGTTGGTCCTTATCTGCCCCTCCCCCCATGCCAGCAGAGCACACTGAAGGTGCATGGGAATGATTTTGATCCAGGTCTGGCCACCCCCTTTCTCTCCAGGGGGGAGCTCTACATTGGCTTGTGGCAGGCTGACCAGCGCCATGGCCCCGGGGTTGTGGTCACCCAGGCAGGAGTCTGCTACCAAGGCACCTTCCAGGAAGACAAGATGGTGGTGAGTGGGGTGACCCGCACGTGTCCTGAGCTACCCTCTCCCTGCACTGGGGCTGAATTCTGGAGACCCCGCTTGGGGTCTCTGAAGCTGAGGCTGGTCGGGGGTGGATGGGATGGCGAGCTGGGTTCCTAGGTGCTGGGGGCGGGGGCAGAACCTGGGCAGGAGTCCAGTTCTGCCAGCCACCTACCCTGGCCTTTCGGCCAAGTCCCTGCCCCTCCCAGCCTCAGGTTCCCCATCAGGTCAACTACTTATTGTAAAGACTCAGTGAAATAGCAAGAATGAAGCGCGTGGTAACGGTGATGCCAGCAGCCTCTGCCACTGACATTTACACACCCCGTAACTGGATAGCCTCGCTCTGGGTGGGCCCAGCCTTTCAGCGTGATTTTGTGGGATCCTCCCAGTGGCCCTGCTGGTCGTGTCATTGTTCCTAGTGTATGAATGACAAATGTGAGGCTCAGAGAGGTCAGAGAACCCATCCAATGTCGCATTCTACCGAATGGCCGAGCTGGGGCATCCGACCTCGCCTCGCCTCACCTACCCCTGCCAGGGGCTTGGCGCATAGTAGGGCTCTGGCCCGATGGCTCTCATTGGTATTGTGGCTTGTTTGTTTATTGATGCTGCACTTTGTTCTGGAAAGGCTCAAAGGAGAAAGAAAAGACAAGAATGGGCACATAATATGTATTCAGAAATAAGTAGAACAGAAATTGTATCCCGTTTGGCTCTGAGCTTCCTGGCAGCCAGTGCAGTACGGGCACCTGATCAGTTCCACGGGGCCACCCTCCTTTACTCCCCGGGTCAGTGACAGGGAATTGGGGTTGGCTCAGGGGAAGCACAGCACTTCCTGAGCCATTAGGAGTGAAAGGCAGGCCCCCCAGAGGCCCCTGGAGAGGAGGAGCCAGGTCCCAGGAAAAACGTGGGGATGAGGTTTGTGGGGTTCATGCTTGGGGCACAGCAGGCAAGGGCTGGCATCCCACCTAGCTCAGTCCTGGGGGGTGTGCCAGGGCTCAGGACCCTGCTCTCCATGAATTCATGCCCACCCCCCTTTCCCTACCGTCCCCTCCCCAACCCCTGACTTCTGGTCCTTCCAAACCTGCCACCCCTCCTCTCCCCGGCTTCCTTCCCTAGGGCCCAGGGATTCTCCTCTCTGAAGATGACTCCTTGTTCGAGGGCACCTTCACCAGGGACCTGACCCTCGTGGGGAAGGTGAGGGCCACTGAGACCCGAGCTGGAGTCTGTGACCTCCTGGGACCCAGGCTGAGGGTGTGGGCAGTGGGTAGAGAAGGCAGGCGAGGGCCTCTCCCATCTCCACTGAGTCCCAGGACTGGGCTCAGCGACCCCTCCCACTGCGGAGGGTGACTTTATCCTGGCAGGAGTTGGTGGGGGGCAGTGGGTGCTGGTGGTCCCCTGGCTGTGTATCCCTACAGGCCCCCTAGTTGGGAATCCGCCTCCTCCACCACCACCATCAGTGCCTTGGGCAGGTGTCCCCGGAGTGACTGTCTTTCCTGCCTGAGCTGACCCAGCAAAAGGCAGTGGTGTCCCTGCTGGGGCTTTGGAAGTGTGGGGGCTGTTTTGGTTTTGTAATGACTGGAGGGCACTGTGGCATCTGGTGGATGGAGACCAGGAGTGCTAGGAATGGGACAGCCCCATGCAGCAAAGAATTGCCCCTCCCCAGGGCCCGTAGTGCCCCTTGCCCTCCTCAGGCCCCTGCCTCCCTCTGGACTTACCCGCCCCTGCCCCATAATGGTGGTTCTCTCCACTCTGAGCTATGAGTCCCTTCTCTCTCTCTCTGCCTTCTCCTTTAGAGGTGAGCCTCTGGGCGATGGGGACAGTTCTTGGTGAGGGGACTCCTGCATGGGTGGAGCCTTATGAGCCCCTCGGGTGGGGCAGATTGAATGGATGGTGGGAAGGCCCCCCTGCCAGTCCCTAGCCTCTATGACCCCGGATGGACAGGCCTGTCATGATTGCATGGAAGGGCTGATGGACAGACAGATAGTGGACAGACATCCCTGCCTCCCTCTCCCGGCCTCCAGGGCAAGGTCACATTTCCCAATGGCTTCACCCTGGAGGGCTCCTTTGGCAGTGGGGCAGGGAGAGGACTACATGCCCAGGGCGTGCTGGACACAGATGCCCTCCCGCCTGACCCAAGCAGCACCTGCTATAGGTGAGAGCCTTGCCGTCTGGCCTGGGGATTCCAGAGCCTGTTGGGGGCAAGGGCGGGTGTGTGTATGTCTGTGTTTCCACCCTAAGGTCTCAGGTCTCATCAGAGAGGCTTTTCTGTACTTCATCTTAGCTCTTTGGAGAGTTCAGAGAGCCCAGGGCACACAATCTCCAAGTCAGACACTCTTGGAATCAAGGACGTATGTGGCGGTACCTATACATGCCACAAAACTGGAGAAAAAGAATACATGTAGGCTTTGCTTAGACCCTGCTTTTAATCTAAGAAGGGTGCAAGATAGCTTACAAAACGAAATAAGCAAGCAAGAATAAAACAGAAAATAAAAGTGCGAGTTGAACTTAAAAGAAAGGGGGATAGATCTTATAATAGTTATAATTGAGCATTAGCCTAGCTCTGAGTTCCCTGGCAGCCAAGGTGAAGAAGGAAACTGGCTAAGTGGAAGAGGAAGACTTGGTTTTGCACTAATGAGGGCATTAGTGGTAGTTGTAACAGAGTTTAGTCCCAGCCAGTGTTTTAGATGTGGGGAGGGGGTACGGTTAGCTTCTTGACCCATCGTCCCTGCATGCTTCTTCTCCCTGACAGTAGGAGCTGAGCATAGCCAGCAAAACTTAGGGGCATGACCCAGCCCGGGTGGGGTGCAGGTGTAGGAGAATCTGTGAGTGTGACATGGAAGCGCAGTGCTCCATTAGACCTACACACAGCCAGATCCCGAGCCTGTTGGCCAAGACAGGATCAAGCTCAGGATGGAACCAGGTGTGGTGGGAGGGAGAGCGGGGTCTCATGGAAGGGGAATACTGGACTTCTGGGCACTGGTCTGTCTTAGGACAAGAGCCTACTCTCTAGACTGGGCCTCCAGCTCTCCACATCTTTCTGTCTCCTTTCCAGGGCTCTGTGTGGCCCTGTCTCTCTCCTCCACCGTGCAGTAGATTCTCTCCATCCCTTCTCGACCTCTCCTTTTTCTTCCTGGAGCATTGGAGGTAGCCCCATCTGTATTCCCGATCCATCCACCCTTCCTGGGCCCTGACTCTGGGCCAGGCTGGCTATCCCCACCTCTCCAGGGCCCTGGACAGGGTCCTTTCCACCACTGCCCTCCACCGCCCCCATCGCAGGCAGCTGGGCCTGGGCATCTTCCCTGTGGAGAGCCGCTGGCAGGGCGTCTACGGCCCCTTCCGGGACTTCGTGCACACCGGCTGCCCTGGGGACCTGCAGGAGGCCCTGCTGGGCTTCCATGTGCAGAGCTCGAGGGAGCTGCGCAAGTCCCAGGAGTACCTGTGCTGTGAGAGGTGAGGCCCAGGTGTGCGTGTGCCTGTGCAAGCATGGGGGCATCTGGAAGGCTTCCTGGAGGGGGTGGACTGGGCCCAGGCATGGTGAGAGACGTGTGTGTGTGTGTGTGTGTGTGTGTGTGTGTGTGTGTGTGGTGCCCCAGTACCCAACTGGATGACAGTGCAGGCAGAATGGAAGACATCCTGGAGGAGCTGCTGCAGCACCGGGACCCCGAGGCCCTACAGAAGTGCCTCAGGAAGGTGAGGGCCCTCAGGGAGAGGGGCCTATGTCAGAGGGATCTTCTCACTGCCCTGGTGCTGACTGGAGGGGACAAGCCCATGGGCCCCTTGTCCGAGGGCCTCATTGCACCTGTCTGTGAAGTGGGAGCAGTCCTGGGAGTCTTGTCCGGGCCCACTGCACTGCAGCCCTAGGCCCTGAGCTTGTCTTCGTCGCCTATGCACTGGCCAGGCTCTGAGCAACTCGCTGCACCCCCTGGGAAAGCTGCTCCAGACGCTGATGCTGACCTTCCAGGCCACGTACGCAGGTATCGGGGCCAACAAGCACCTGCAGGGGCTGGCCCAGGAGGAGGTGAAGCAGCACGCCCAGGAACTCTGGGCTGCCTACAGGTAAGCTCGGTGGCACATGTGGACGGACACTGCCCTGTGACCCCGGGGGGGTGGGCTCTGCCCTTTCCAGGCATCGGCTCTGCCTGGCACCCTGAGCAGGAATGGTGCCTCTTCCTCAGTTCTGGATCGAGAAAGAATCAGAGGGTGGGTTGGTCAGTGTGCAGCTGGTGAGCAAGAGGGTTAGAGGGCCGACTGGGCTCTGGGCTGACCCCTGACCCCAGGGGAACTCGAACCCCACTGCCGGCTGAGCCTGACCTTGGACTCAGGCTCCACCTCCAGTTCCACCTGACCTGTGACCCCATCAGTCATTACAGATAAGGCCCTGGATGCCGCAGTGCCCTGTGTCGTGGGGTTCCAGGCCTCGGGCTGGCATCCTATCCTCCCAAATTCCTATGCACTGCAGCTCAGGAGGCTGGGCTGTGCAGCTGCTGCTCCACAGTTCTGAGGGACGGAGCCACCTGCCTTGGCGACAGGGCAGGTGGCGCTCTGGTTCCGTAGGAGGTGACAGCCACGCCGTCCCTCTCTCATTGCTTTGCAGGGGTCTGCTGCAGGTTGCCTTACAGCGCAAGGGCCAGGCCCTGGAGGAAGAGGAAGACACAGAGGCAAGGTAGCTGCCCCAGACCCCCGTGGGATCTGTGGGGCCCTCTCCCCAGGGGCAGCCAGGCTCGGGTCCAGGGAGGCCTCACACCTTTCTCCTGGGGCTCCCTTGGGGAAAGGGGCGCTTCTGGGGGAAACGTTGGGAGTTCATGCCATTGACCAAGCACTGTTTATTGACCATTCGAGGATCAGAATGACCCATGACCTCTGTTCCACGAGCAGCCTGGGAGGGGGTCAGTGCATCAGGTGTCTCTTCGCTCTGAAGGTGCTAGCCCAATCTCATCTCCCTGGTACTCAGCTGCCCCAGGCACCCTCCTCCTCCCTGCGTACAGATGGGAAAACTGAGGCCTGGCAGGGGCTGAGCCTAAGGTCACACAGCAGGAGTTATGTGGGTCATTAACTCTGTCCCCCCAGCTCCCTTGCCCTGCTGAGATCAAACCTTACAATTTGCCCTCAGATTCCAGGCCTAGAGATGCTGATCAGAGAGGCCTTTCTGTCACTGCCTTGAAGGAGGCATGGGAAATGGGGTTAGACATGAAGGGGAGCATCTCCCTGGAGTCCTAGGAAGCACAGAAAACTAGGAGGCGGGACTGCACTAACCTGGAAGGACTGCTGAGGGCTCTGCTGCCAGTCACTTGTCCATCCGGGGCCCTAGCTTGGCTTTCAATCAAATGGGGATCAAAATCCTGCCCCAGCGGATCCATTGGCTGCGCTGTGACCCAGACTAGGCTTGGGAAGGGTTTTCTAGGGAGTGAAGGGGCCTGGAGGCAGGGACACTGTTGGGGGGACAAGGAGCAATGTGGGCTTGTTGAGGGGCAGCCCGAGTAGCGATCCCCACCCGCAAGCCTCCACCCTGCCGGCCCCAACCTGTCCTGGTCTCTGTCGCGCAGGGACCGGCGGGTGCACGGACTGGTGCTGCCCCTCATGCTGCCCAGCTTCTACTCGGAGCTCTTCACGCTCTACCTGCTTCTTCATGAGAGAGAGGACAGTCACTACAGCCAGGGTATCACCAACCTGAGCCTCTTCCCCGACACCAACCTGCTTGAGTTCTTGGACGTGCAGAAGTAAGTTCCCACCCCCACCCCCGACGCCCGGCGCCACGCTCGCCAGGGCCCTTGTGTAGCAGGGGATACAACCTCCACTCAAATTTTCTTGAGCCAGAAAAGGAGGGCACCAATTGGCCATGTGCCCATGAAGCCCTAGGTTATGCTGGTGGGGCTGGGTCTACGGCATGAGAAAAGGAAGCCGTTTTCTTTCTCTTTCTCTGTTGGTCTGTGCCTGGCTCCCCCGTTACGGTGACAAACATGGCACCAGCCACGCAAGGTTTATACTCTCCTGGCTCAGTGCCCCCACTGTCCCCACAGGGAGCAGGTGTCGCCTTCCCAACAGCTCCAGCAGAGCCCCTGAAGTCCCTTGCTGGCTTGGCTTTGGTCTTGAGTGTGCCCCTGAATGCTGGTAGGGGCCCAGATTGGCCAGGCCTGTCTCCATATGCCACTGGGACTGGGGCAAGGTCACCTGCTCCCAGCTCTTGGATTGAGAGTGGGGGAGGGGAGACCCTTAAGTGGGGTCAGGGCCTCTCTCGTACCTTTGGTTGGAAAATATCCTATCTCCTCAGCACTCCTTCTGATCCATTGATACTATGAGTGACCAGGGCGTGGAAGCTCTCTCCCCATCCCATGGCCGGTCTCCTGTGTCACACAGTGACAGTGCTTCCCACCCTGTCTCCCCTTTCCACGTGTGAATGTTTCCTGCATCTGACCGGTCACCAGCCCAGAGACCTGGTGGCCAACAGCATCCCAGGTGCCCCTCCTCCCCAGCCCCGCCTGCTGCCAAGTCCTGCCCATGTTTTGGGGCCAGATGGAAGCTGCCTTCTCCAGGATTCCCTCCTGGCCTTCCCTTCGTTGGGCTCCACGCACAGGCTCTGGGTTGCCAGGGTGGACCCGTTTCCTGCATCTGGCCCTGCTGGGGGGCATGGTGGTGGCACAGGGAATTTGCCCTCTGACCTCAGACTCCGGCCCCTCCTCTTGGCAAAGCCTCCTATCTCATCTTTTAAATTCCAGGCATCTGTGGCCCCTCAAAGACCTCACACTAACGACCAACCAGGTGAGAGGATGGGTCCTTTACCTGCCCCAGGGGAGGCCCGAGCCCTGAGCTGGGCCCGCCGATACCACTCGGCCTTCCCAGCAGCCTTTTGCCTCGTGTTGCTGGTCAGAGGCTGCAGAGGATCCGGGTGGGGCGGAGGCGGATGAGGGAGGAGAAGCCAAGCTTCGCCTTGTTCTCGTCTCCGGTGGGTGAGGGTGCAGCCCTGCCCCACAGTGGCCGGGTCCAAACACAGGCTCCACCCTTCACAGGTGTAGGATTTGATCTCTGTGCCTCAGTTTCCTCTCCTGTGAAAGTGTCCCCTCTGCTGTACTAGTGCTGACTCATGGGGTGGCTGTGGGGGGAAGTGGGCAGGCTCTCCCCAGGCAGCGATCTCAGAGGGTGCTTGCTGGACCAGCCTCGCAGAGGGGAGACTGTGAGAAAAGCGGGTCCAGGCCTACTGAATCAGACACTCAGGGAGCAGACTGGGAATCGGTGTTTCAACAAGCCCCAGGGTTCGAGAGCCAGCCACATGGGCACTCAGAACTGGGCGGCACCCAGGGACCGTTGGCTGTTGTGATTATTATCTTTTTGATCCATTCTGATCCTCCCAGACTCCTGCCGACCATGTACCCCACTTGACAGTCGAGTAAACTGAGGCCACAGTGGCACTGTGGCTTGCCCTGGGTCACTCAACCCTCTGGGCAGGGCTGTGCTGAAGCCAGTGTTGGGGATGGGGTGGGTGGCCAGGGGCCCAGGTGGCCGTGGGGAGGAGGACGTGACAAAGCTGAGGGGACCGTGGCCTCACCTAGCTTGCTCCCCCCACCACACAGAGACACTCTCTGGTCAAGGACAAGTGCTTCCTGTCAGCTATTGAGTGTCTGCAGAAGGTCATGTGAGTCCAACCCTGGGCAGGGTCGGGGTGAGAGGCAGGAGTCTCAGGGCCCCCCAGTGGGACAGAACCTGAGGGCCTTGATCTGAAGCCAGCCGCCCCAATTGCAGCACCACGATGGACCCCCGGGAGAAGCTGGAGGTGCTGGAGAGGACATACCGGGAGATTGAGGCCACCGTGTCTCGGGTGCTGGGTCAGGAGCACAAGCTGCCCATGGACGACCTGCTGCCACTGCTCATCTACGTGGTGTCACGTGCCCAGTGAGCTGCAGCCGGACCAGGAGCTGGGTCCCTTCCCACCCTGCCCCGCCCCCAACCAAGACACACTCTGAACAACGAAGCCTTTGAACATCAGGGTTTATGGACACAGCTTTCCTTAGTACAGATGGGGAGGCCGAGGCCCAGGGAGGAGAGGGTCCCAGGGTCCCAGCCCGTGTCCCGGGGCTGCCAGAAGTAGAGCAGGGACCACACCCCAGTGTCTAGACTCCCAGGCCAGGGCTCTCTGTGCCAGCTGCTCAGTGCCTGTCCCTGATGTGCCCCCCCTTCTTCCTCTCACTGGGGGTGGTTGCTTTGCAGAATCCAGCACCTGGGGGCCGAGATCCACCTGATCCGTGACATGATGGACCCCATCCACACAGGGGGCCTGTTTGACTTCCTCCTCACGGCCCTCGAGGTGAGAGACAGAAATGCCGTGGCCACTGGGGCAGGCCCCTTCCCCGCCTCAGCCATCATCCTGGGGATGAGCTCGCCCCCATTCACGACGTGTGTGCCTTTGTGGGAGGGGTCCTCCCAGAGCCCCTGGTCCTGCCCTTGTTGAAAGGGGCCGGGGAGGGGTGGCCACAGTGCATCTCAGCCCTGGGGACCCAAGGCCTCTGAATGTGTTCTAGGCTGTGTCCCTGACCACGATAGGAGAGGGAAGGCCCTATTTCCTTGCACAGGGCTGAGGTGGAGACCTGGTGGTCCAGGCCTGGGAGGTGGGCGTGCCCCAGTACTGGGCCCCGGAGCCTGTGCAGGTGGCTGCTGGCCTCAGCCTCGGCTGTCTCCTCCAGTCCTGCTATGAGCACATCCAGAAGAAAGACATGCACCGCTCACCCAGGTAGCCCTGGTAGCTCAGCCTCCCCGGGACACGCTCCAGAGCAGAAGGGCCCGCCGTGGATTTCCTGTGGAGCGAACATGGCCCAGCCTGGCCCTTGTGGCCCAAAGAGCAAAGGGCAGGTGCCTTCTTCCCCTGCCACCAGGCCATCCCAGATGACCTGCTTGACCTGGAGCAGCCTTCAGGCTGGGGGCAGGGAGCCTTGCCCCCAAGTCATTGGAACCGCTCTGGGCCTCAGTGTCGCTGTCTGTAAAATGGTGGACCAGAGAGCTTATAAAGGACCCTCCATACATCTTGCTGAAGTCCCTCTGGAAGTCTGACCTCGGTCTGTTGGGCTGTAACTGAAATTCTCATGTCACTGGCAGTGTCGTTCCCTATTTTTCCACTCCTGATCAGAGTCTCCACGCTGCTAGTGACCACTCTGTTTGCCGGGCCTTTCTCCCCTGAGTGGTCTCCTGGGGACCTGCTTCCTTCGCGACTCTGCTCCAGGGGTGAAGCAGAGGAGCAGGGTGTTACGCAGCTGCTGGGCCCGCCCCGCTGCCATGCCCGCTGCTGAAGCATCCGGGTCGCTGTTCTTGCATTCCATAAAGGAAGCACTGACCTCGGAACTGAAGATTCTGAGAAAGCCCATCATACCTGACCCTGAAGCTGAATCCCCACCAGGGGCCTCAGGATGGGGGGTAGCTGGGGGGCACCCACAGACCCTCAGCGGTGATATGGGGCAGTGGGCGGAAAGATCCAGGTGCCTCCCTGTGCTGCTGCCTTCAGAGGAACAGGCAGCGGTGAGGCTTTCTCTGACTGGTTCCACCGAATGTGGCAGCTGGAACGGCCTTGAGCTCTGGTGTTTCCAGAAACCCTGTGACATCCCCACGAAGGTCCCTGACGTCCAGGTGCCACGGGCACTCACGCTTCGCCAGGACTGCGGCAGCGCTTACCAGTATCTTAATCCTCTCCAGGCTGGTTCTTGTGTCTTGACAAGTGAGAACAGCCTTGCCTCAAGGCAGCCCCGAGTCTGGGAGACGCCGTAGCCTCACTCGGAGCCCCGCACACTTCACGGCCTCCTCCAGGATCAGGGCAGCCTCGCTGCTGTTCAGATTCACCAGGACCTGCCCCCTCGCTGGGCCTCACCCAGCACCTGCCAAACTGGAGCCTCTGGACAGGACCTCGGGGTTTAGGGCTGAGAAAGACAGAGACGCTGGAGAGATTAAATGGCCTCTAGTGAGCAGATGTGTCTCAGTCCCTCCGACTGCGGCCCTGGCCCTGGAAACCCACCTTTGCCCTGGTGACCCCACCGCCACGCCCCCTGCAGCCCTGGCCCAGCATGTAGTCTCTCTTGCAACTTCTCACCCTCTGCTTCCCCTCGCCCACTGCTTCCTTTTCACAGCCAAATCCACCCTGCTCCCGAGTTCCTGCCTCTCGTCTGGTCCCAGAAATGTCCTCCTCCAGGTCCACTGGGCTCCAGGCTGCTCCCGCCTCGCAGGCCCATCTCACAGGAAGTGCCTGTGACCCAAGGCAGGAGCCCTCCCTGCTCCCTAGCCCTTCTCCGGGGCCCCTTCCCTGACCCCATTACGTTACTGGTGAGTGACAGGTGGGTGCCTGCTCCCCCCGGGCACGCTGCTGGCTGCCTCTCCTGCACCAGTGTCAACAGCAATGGGTGGTGTGCGTGGAAACAAGTTCACTCAGGGGAGGTCAGACTATGATGGGCCCTGGACCCCAGGGCGGGGCTGCATTTAAGACTGGCCAGGGCAGCGTCTGTGCAAACAAGCCCCTCAGGCGTGACCGGGACAGGCAGGGACCCACTAGGAGTTGGAGGTCCAGCCAAACTTGGGCTGCAAGCAGACAGGAAGTTGATGCCAGCTCCTCAGGAGAAAGGGAAGAGAAGACAGCCGCCCTCTCTGTCTATCTCCGGGGCTCAGGTCCACCTCGCCTGGGCTCCAGGGGCTCAGGCCTGGTCCTCTCGCCCAGGGCCCTGTCCACACCTGACAGTGATGATGCTAGTCTGGTATGGCATCTCCACGCCATGACCTGCTACAGGGCATGAACTCCATGATGGCCACGGCACAGCCTCTGACTCAGCGTGCTTGGTGGAGACGATGTCTTCCTGAGAGGGGCAGAGGGTGGCCCTGTGAAGTTCCCCTTCCTCAGTAAACAAGCTTCACCAGGAGATTCCTGGGTACCAGCCTTGTGCCCTGTGTGGGTTAATGCTCTCGAACACGGCAAACAAACTCCCAGCCCTTTTTAGGCGAGAAGGGCTGGCTTTCTCTCCCAGGAAGACACCAGCAGACTACCTGTGCTTGTTAGGCAGAGAGAACAGGAAGCTGGAGAAACTGAGTCCACAGCTGTCCAAGTGGGAGCTGGCAGGGGTCTAGAGGGACCTGAGTTCTGACCAAGCTTCTGTTTGTTTGGATGACCTCCGAGGGTGCTGGGAGCTCATGCTCAGCTGTGCAGCCCTTTGCCCACAGGAGCTTCAGGGAAGACTGGAGGGTGTGGGAGCATGAGGGGGCAATCGGAGGGCTGACGTGGGGCTGCTGGAGACCTTCAGCAATGCTGTGTAGATGAAGCCAGTATTCCCTGAGCAGGAACCTACGTGTAGGGCCACATGGCTGTCCCAAAGGGATGGCTGTCCACTGCGGGATCAGTGAGGGGTGCCTTCTCGTGGGCACTGGGGAAGGGGTATGTTTAGGGCTAGGGACAAAGTCAGTGTTAGGGATAAAGTGAGGGATTAGGGTTAAGGTCAGGGTTGGGTCAGTGTCAGAGTTAGGAGTTAAGATTGAAGTGAAGGTGGGAGTTAAGAATGAGGTAGGGCCAGCCGAGTGGCACATTGGTTAAGAGTTGGCTTGGGATGCCAACTCTGAGCCCCAGGGCCCCAGTTCGGATCCCACATGTGGGCCAGTGATGCTGCGCCCCTCTACAGCTAAGATGGTGAACAACAGCTCGACCTGGAGCTGGGCTGCCGTGAGTCACCAGCGACGGTGTAGGCTGCAGTGGGGCTGGCCGGTAGCTGGCGTGCACTTTCGTGAGCTGCCATGAGCTGCCGTGAGCCACCGTGAGTGGCCATCCAGAGGCCGGTGACCGATCTGCCTCACCTGGGAAGAGCGCAATGATAATACCAACATGGGCCAATGAAGCGACATCCTCCACAACTAGACTGAAGAACAAAAGGACAGCAACGTGTCTGTTCCCCTTCCCTGAGTCCCCAATGCTGTTCCCCTCCACCAATTCCCCAATAAAATCTAAAAAAAAAGATGAGATAGGTTAGAGTAAGGGTCATGGTCAGGTTTGGGTCAGTTAAATGGCCTGGTCCAGTAGAACTTTTCTGGTTGGCTTTGACAGCACAGTCCCAGCTCCACATGGGTGGTGAGCCTAGAGCCGTGGCATCTGGGCCACCTGTCCCCTCCCCCCATGGGTCCCTGTCCACAGACAGAAGGTGCCTCGAGATGGACAGGTCTCCCAAAGCAATCTTCCCATGTGCCCTCAGCTGAAGCCTTCCCCCTCAGGTCCAAGGGTGGCTGGCAGAGATCAGGAGAGGGGAAGGTGGCCCGGTCAGCAGGGTCACGCGGGGGATGACAGATCCAGCAATCAGTTAAATTGAGGGCAGTAGTTGTTATGGTCTGGAAAAAGCACATGCGAGAGCTTTGGGTTTGGTTTGTTTGGCAGCAGAGAAAGACCCCAGGGCACTGGCAATAATATGAGGCCACGGAAGAGCATGTCGGTATCTAGAAAATTAACCTCGCGTCGCTATTTTGGTGGAAACCATCTTGCCTCCCAAGTCAATAGTCCTTGGCTGAAAGTCCCCCAAGAGAATGGAGGTCCAGGAGTTGGATTGAGGGCAGTGGTGACGGTCTGGGACAAGGTTATCCCAGCATTCTGGGATGACAGCCTGGGCCAGGTGTCCTGCTGGTAAGCCAAAAGATGCTAATGGTCCCACCCTCCATCCCTGACCTCCCAGGGGCCAAGGTGCTTCTTCCGACCAGTGGGGCTGCTCCCCTTTCACAGCTGCATGGTCAGCATGACCTGTCCCTGCTGCACAGGGACTTCACCCTTTAAAATGTCACCATTTCTAACTCATACCCCTCTGGCTGGGTTCACCCCTAGGCGATTACAATGTGCCATCCTGGAATATTGCCCAGATCACACTCATGATGATTATCACCAATGTCCATAACTGCCCGGATCCAGCAAGTATAGGCAGGAGGAAGGAGAGGCCCCAGGTGAGACTCTACCCCACCCCCCAGCTCTGCTCCGCCACCCGCAGGTCCCAGTAGCCTGGTTTCCCAAAGCGCTCATGTGTTTGGGGTCTCTTGCCACCAGTGTGGGTCTTTTCTCATTCCCCCTCCCCACCCCATAATTAGATATTGTATTTAAGTGGGTGGTACATTTCTGGGGAATTGCCACAATTAGGGTCTACTTGTTTTTTTCAGTTCTTTTTTTAAGAGTCCGTTTTATCTTTTAATGGCACCTGTTGTCTGTGGGTGATACGAGATATGATATGTCCCATGAATGTGCAGGTAGCTGCCTGCTGCTGGTACTCTCGATCATGACGGTGGCTTCAATGACAGTGTGTTCAGGGAGTTCAAGTATGCACCTGTACGTTGAGGAGTTTTTGAATAGTATATGGCCTGCGTTTGCTCTGCAAATGGGAATTGGGTCACATCCAAAAAAAGTACTGTAGTCAATACCCAGTGGTACCCCTGGGAGGGGAGTAGGGGGTTATAGAGTCTCTTTGCCAGGACTGACAGGTCCAGTCCCTGGACTGTGCCCCCTGGAATTCCTTCTGTCACTCACTTATGGTGGAGCTGGCAGTCAGACTCATTAGCCAGGCTTCCTTGGCTTTGTGTGCTGGCATCACTAGGCTTTGATTTGTACCTTGATTGCCATGCCTTGTGCGATGGTGTGTCCAGGTGGCTGTGGTCTTTACCTGGGTGATGCAGAATTGGTCAGCTTGTCAGTCCCACTGATGTTCATTGTCAAAGGGTCATTTTCCACAGGCACCCATGTGGGTCATGAACAGAGGGCATGGGTCCTATGCAGTCTGCTGCCACAATGTTTGTCCCTGCGAGGGTTGGGACTTGATTATTCAATTCTGTTGTCAGGGGTCAGACCACACTGACAGCCCATTGGCCACCAGCTACAAGTGGGTGAAATGTACCAAGGTGCATTCTGGGAGTGTTTTCCAGGACAAGCACTACAGTCTGCATCTCTGTCCATGAGGCAGGGGTTTTTATTCATACCCAGTTTATAGTTTTTCCCCATGGCTCCCCAGCTGCTGTGAACGCTTTAACTTAGCTGGTCCACCTGTGAATTGGATGCAGGGTCCTCAGGGACCTTGGTGTACTGACACTCACAAGGAGCCTGAGGTGCCGGCCCAGCCTCCATATCTGGGATAACTGCACCTGGGGGTGACTGGCCACCTTTCATGCAGGTGGGTGGGTCCATCGATGGCTGATTTATTCCTTTCTTGGATGTAGCATGTATTTTCATTTAATACCAGATGCTTGCTGAGCAGGGCCCACTTTGTCCCATAATGGAGATGCCAGGGAGGAACAAGACACGAGAAGCTGGTCTCTCATTGTCCACCAGTGCCCCGTTGCAAGCCAGTAAGTGGCTCTCAGATGGGATATGCCGAGTGGTGTCTGTCAGGCAATTGCCTTAGTTAAAACACCAGGGGTCGCCTTTGCTGAGTGTCAGCACCCTTCTGCCATAGGCTCCGGTCTGTGTAATTGTCAGCCACCAACACTTGTAATTTTAAAGGCTCTTTAGGACTAACTGGCCTGAGGGAGGGCAGTTGTCCAGCCTGCTGGGTGGTTTCCTGAAGCCCTAGCCCTTCTGCACCTCCCAGCTCTGCAGTTGGTGCCTGGTGATGGCTCCCCGACCACCCTTGTCTTTTGCTTTACTGCCACCATGTGGCTGGGCTCCCACTTGTGCACTTGTCCCACTGCCATTGTCCTTCCTAACCATGGCCTTTCCCCAGTGGCAGCATCCCTTACAGTCAGGAGTGTTATATTTAACACATCCATTTCCATAATGCACTCAGCAGGATCAGTTTTCTGGGTGTGTGGAATGTCCATCAAATGAAACATGACACAAACTAGTTTCAAGACTGTAATAGGGACATTCTGATGCACAATGGCTTCTGCATCAGAAACATACGTTCCTCTGCCTCGTAAGGGACAGCATTTCTTTTCTTAGCTGCCAGAGGGATGGAGTACTGGGAACCCACCCACATATTCCAAGAAACTCCTTGGCAAGCAGACCCCTGCTGGTGGAAGTGTGCTGATGTCAGGCTGTTGAGAGAGGCTGCTGACGTGCCAACACGAAGACTTCATTTGTAGAGTGAGAACTTGCTTTGTCACAGGGTAGAGCCACTCGTGCTGGATTCTGATCCCACCGGTGGCACACGGCAAGGGTCTTGTTCCACTGGCACGTTTTTACATGTAGCCATGTCCTGAACAGTGGAATCGCCCCGATCCCTCATGAGCTTTTGCAGGACAAGTGTATAACACCTCAGTTCTGCATTTCTACAGTAGGACATGGAACTCTCCCAAAGGCCCCGCTCACAAGTTCACCGGGGACTGCTTTTCACTGTAAATTTTGCCCAAATCTTATCAGTTACATCGAGGCATTTTTGTTTGCTTGTTCAAAGGACATGGACCACGGTGTTATCACGTGCTTTTCAGGAATTATAGCAGCAACGTGGGCAGATCGTGCTACCTGCAGCTGGAGCTCCCAGAGTGCAGAGGCGGGGGAGCTGGAGGGGGGCACCTTCTTTTCTCCTTTGGCTTTTCTCCCTGTGCCCCTCTTGGTGCCCACAGGGTATTTGTGCTTAGGGGGATTTTTGTCTTAAAGCAACTGAGGGCAAAAGAGGAGGGGCGGGGGTAGAGATGGGGAAGGAGGGAGCAGCTCTGCACCCCAGGCCCGCTCTGAGATGACTTACATTTCAAGTAGCCTCCAGTTCACCTCAACAAACTCGTAGCTACAACTAAGGCGACATTCTGGTGGCTGGTTTCAATCCCACCACACGCTACTCCATCTCCAGACACTGAATTATAGGTGGGACAGTGAGGTACCCTCGACCCCCTCCTCTCACCCACCACTTGGTGACAGCATGCCCTACGGGATCCCAGGGGATCTTTTCACATCCCTCAATTTGGCCTCTTGGGCCTCTTGGTCATTTCTCCAAGAAGGCCATATATACTCTTAGGGTCCCATGTTGGGTCCCAATTTCTCAAGCAGCGAAGCAGTCCCCAAGTGGCAGCATGACAGCTAATTCCATTCTAGCTGCAGGGAGAACTTGCCACACATCCAGAGACCCAGCCAGTAAAGAAACACTGAGCCCACGTGGGTTCACACGGTTTATTGTCTACACCGACGCCATCAGCAAGATCAGCAGATGTCAGCCCCCCGCAGCCCTGGTCCGGCTGGTCCCACAGCATAACATCGAACCAGGGGGCCAGACGACAGTGCGAGATGTGGGTGGCTTCGGCATTGAGAGGCTGCCTCCAAATTACAGCCGAGCAGTTTCATAGCCTGAGGCTATCCCCTAAGCTGGGTGTGTGTGAGAGAAACAGGAAGACAAACGAGAAGGGCCCGTCTCCTCTTGCTCCAGGCATAATCGCAGCACCATCCTCCCTAACACTCAGGTCAGGCTGCAGTCCAGCCTTGCCTCCAGGGCCTATGTGTGGATGTGCAAGAACCAGTTTATCACCCAGCCTCCTTACAAGCCCCTCGACCAGCTGAGATGCACCCCTTTCTCAGGGTTCTGGGTTCCTGCCCCATGGGGCCCATCTTCCGAGGTTTTGATATTTTTAGCCTCTTCTATTTCTTCCCCCAGCCCTAGGGGACAGGAAGCTGCTTCCTATAATTGTTTGAGAATCTCTTGTTTTGCTTTTTCAGTTCTTTACTTCCTGGGTGTGGTAGGTAGGCAGGAGAATTGTCCCCCAAGATGTCTATGACCTAATTCCCCCCCTCCCCCAACATGTGAATGTGTCACCTTATATGGCATAAGGGACTTTGCAGATGTGAAGTTAAGGACCTTGAGATGGGAAGATTATACTGGATTGTCTGGGTGGACCCAGTCTAATCAAAGGAGTCCTTAAAAGTGGAAGAGGGAGATTGGAGAATCAGAGGAAGATGTGACTACCAAGGAATGGCCAGAGACAGGCAATGCTGCTGACTTTGAAGGTGGGGGAGGAGCAGGAGCATAGGAATGTGAGGTCTCTAGAAACTGGAAAGGGCAAAAAAAAAAAAAAAGAAAAGGATTCTCCTAAGGCTCTGCTCACTAGTTCCAATGCAATGGGTTTTCCCCCCACATCACCAAGCAATTCTCTGACACCAGCTGGAGTCACACAATGTAACTCAATTCCAACACTATCTACCTGGAGATGGCATCAGATCCCACAGGTTAAGGGCTCAGTCCCACAAGACTGCCCCCTTCCCTGTTACACACCTGTCTCCATCCCATCAAGCCTGTAGGTGACTTGCACCTGAGGGTTGTCATAAAATAATCTTTGAGTGCTTAAGGAGACACCACCAGTGGATCCTGTAGCCCTCAGACAACTGTGAAGATCTCTTCAGAATAACTCAGACTCTGTATGTAACCCTGAGGGCATTGTCCCTACAATGGGAGTCATCCAATCAGAAAAGGCAGTATGAAATTTGTCCCTGGCGTCAGCCAAGGTGATCAGTGACACCACCTGGGCTCTGGAGAATGCTCAGGGCAGCTTCCGCTCACTGGCCAGGGCTGTGGTGGGTGATAAAATCTCTCTACACTTTTTCCTGGCAAGCTAAGGTGCAGTCTGCAATTTCTAGTACATTCTACTGTCCTTGGATTCATCCTGTGGGCCAAGGAGAAAGGTCAACACAGAAACTTAAAGGGAAAGCCACCTGGCTGCCTAAGGTAGAGCTCCCTGATGGCTGATGGGAAATTTTCAGCTGGTTGGATCCAGGCCCCTGGGGGATGTGGCTACCTACGGTCAATACCGCAGGTTGGCTTCATCGGCAGCTTGAAGTCCTGTTCACGGTTGGCTTAATTTACTGCTATGTGAGTCAACTGAATGACTCCGGCCAGTGTCTGTCAGATGAGCCCGATCAAGAACGAATTACTCTAAACCCTATGCCAGAGTCTTCCCAGAAAACGATTCTCTCCCTCTCCTTTGTGGGTTTTACTTCCCTCAGTTTTGTTCTCTGCCTTCTTTGTAGCCTTCCCCTTTCCTGTCTGAAACCCTCTGTGGACTTGGGAGCTGTCCTACGAGACAGCCTCTGGGCCTATCGGGATGGGGACACCGCCATGACCATGAGGCACGGACCACCCATCACTAAAGCCACTCAGGGCATAAACGTACAATTATGTTTATTAGGATAAAACTACAAGCAGGGAAGCCACAGAGCACAGCTGGAGGTGGGCGCAGGCCTGGCACAGCTGAACTGGGCACACTGTGGGAAGGTTCCAAAAGCACCACACCCCGGTTGTGCCCTTCGTTTTATAGGCCAAATGGAAAGATTTGGACAATTATGAAATACCGAAAGCCTCCTGGTCAGGAAATGGCCTTGTAAAAAGGAGAAGCCTCTAAAGCTTAGCAACTGACATCAGTCTGTTTCATGTTGACTCAGACACACTGGGCAGGCCGTCTGCTAGAAAGGGGTAGGAAATGAGCCCCCAGCGACATTTACTCAGTCCCCTCAGTCCTGCTTTGAATGGGGTATTATTGGGGAGTTTCCCATAAAGCAGTGTGCTTGTGCTAGACGCAAACCCTCCGTTCACTCATCCAATAGATAAGTTTTATAACATGTTATAAATGTTGTTCCAGACCCGAGGGCTGTGCCAGATGCCAGGGCAGCCAAGGCTTCTTCCTTCACAGTCAGCCTCTGAGGCCCCAGGGGTGGCTCCTGGGTCTTCCTGGCCCACAGCCAGACCATGCGGCCGGAACTCTCCTTAGGTGGTCTTCTCCCATGGCCTTTCTGAAGTTCTCCCAAAGCTGGCCTCCCACCCCATAGCTGCTTTGTCTTGGTGAAACTTTCATAGATTGGAAAAAAGGAAGCAGTGTCTGCTTGTCTCCAGGGAGTCAAGTTTTCCAAGGAGAATCAATGAGGACTGAAAGGACACAAGCCAAGGAAGCAGAATGAATCAAGAGCTGAGCTTCGAGGCCTGATTCGTCCTCTAAAGCTCTCTTTTGACCTTGGACAAATGAACCCTATGTGTTATTTTCCAGGAACTAAACCAGGTTCTATAGAAACCAGGTTTCCTAGAAGAGAATTCCACTGGAGCTTTAAAACTGATGGGCTGAAAAAAAAAAATGGTGAGTTACATCCATCTAGGTAGACATGAAAATCTGACTTTATGTATTAGCCCTGAAAGAGTAATCTTATTCCACTTGTATTTACATCTTTACAAAACAGTGTCTAAAACATTTGTAACCAAAACGTACCAGTCAATAAAAATCTCTTCAGTACAGGCTCAGCCCGGGAATAGGATAGAGCCCTAGCAAGTCAGCAGTGCTTGGGCATTTCAAAAGCTAGACATTCGTTTTTAATACTCGGAGACAGGACATTTACAAACTGCTTTACCTGTCAGCACACCCATAATAAGACCCCTCCCTTTGGAAATGGCATCTCAATTCCTCTTCTTCCCACTCATCACCCCCTTGGCCATGAGTTCACCATTTGCTCCAATGGGTCATATGCTTTGCTCTGGAGGCCAGTATAGAACCAGCCAAGATTTTTGCCAAGTATCTCTCCCCCATTTAAAAGACCACGCAGACATCAAAACAGACAGGCCTTGAGATAGCTGAAAAGTGTCCTGAGGAGGTAGTGTTCTAGAATATCTGAGCGATGACCTGGGAATAGAATTTCTTCTCCATATTACATTCCACCAAGCTACCTGAGTGGTTAGCTTCTGTAACCCTCCCCAAACCAGCTCCCTTGCACCTTATCTTGAGTAAGCCATTCCTCATAGAAATGGGGCCGCACCTCCCAAAGGACGTGACCTTGGGCTGGACAGGAGACTCTGACCCTCTCTTATAAATTAAGCAGTACAAAGGCGATACATTTTAATTGTATTTAAATTAGTGTCGCCCTTGAACTAGGGTGTAGTGGTTTGATTCTAAACTTTGTAAACTTTAGAAGGTGGAACTGAAATTTTGAAAATGGAACTGGCAAGATTTGTGAGTGGCTTATATAAAAGGTTAAGAGAAAGAGAGGAGTTAGGGCAACTAGATTTTAGTCTGAGTAACTGGGCGAATGGGGCATCATTTATGGAAATAATGAGACTGGGAATAGGTGGAGATTGGAGGTGGGGGTGAAGAAGCCTTCTGGGAAAACCTTCTTAGAAGGAAAAAATGCTTTGATTTTGAAAATTTAAACGTAGGAGCAGTCTTTAAGTGCACTCACTTGAACCTCATTTGCAACTCTAAAATTTATCATTCTTAGAAGCTTAGCAACCACTAACTTGTTTACAACATCTATCATTTACACCATTTGTTCACGTACCATAACTTGCTATGTGTCAGGCACTGTACTTTACTTATGAAGAATGTACTATTATTAACTGAAGCCCAGAGGTTGAATAATTGGACTAAGCTCCCCTAGTTAGAATTATGCACAGTAGAGTTCTCTTTCTGTATAGTTACACTACATGGAAAGTTAGCCCAATACTTTTTGGCTTAAAAACAAACAGCACCAGCTCCCTGGTCCCTGTGAAATACATGCTACCCTGTCTGGAAGCTTCTCCTGATCACTGGATGCTTCATTCAGCGAGTGCACAGTACTACCTACTTGCTGAGAAAAGTGAATCTGAGAGAGATGCCTTTGAAAAATCTTTGGTGTATACTTTTGGTGACCATATTTCTTCCTCAAAAAGTGCAACATGGGGCCAGATATTAATAGCACCTTTGAAATCAGGACTGGTCTGGGGAGCTCAGGTTATTAGGTTCCCCCTTGAGATGAACTGAAATGTCTTTGCAGAATTTAGTCCCTGAGCTGAGTGGGCTCTGGGTGCTCTCCTCCCAGCAAATAACCCATCACACCACAGCTCTCAGACTGACGCTTTCCCCTAGAGGTGTAACTTGGCTTTCTAGAGTATTGTCTGACCTCTGAGGCCTGAGGTCCCAGCCGACTTTACAGATGATGTGGGAGGACCTCCCTGAAGAACAGCCCCACTCCCTGATCCAGGCCCTGAAGTCCCCTTTTAATCTATATTATTTATGACTTTGTGATCAAGAGAAACAAACTCCAGCCAGCTCAAAAGAAGGGAATTTATTATATGGATGCGGCATATATGGTCTGGGAAGGACCAGAACCGGGAGTGGAAAGCTGTTGAGAACCCTGGAGAGTGATTTTGTCCTCCGTAATGATTTTCTCTAGCACCTCCTTCCCTCTTCCTAGCAGTTAGATTTCTCTGCTTTCTGGTCACCGTAGTGGCCCCTGGAGCCCTCATATTCCCATGGTGTTCACTCACATGCTCAGAAGAAAATGGATTCTTTCTTGGTCCCACCCCACACACTGGGAAAATGCCTGCTGGGTCCACACTGTGCTCTCTTCTGAGCCTGAGTCAGGGTAGGGCTATGTGGTATAAACACCCCTGTTGTGGGGGCCACAGATTTGGAGAGGACTAGGCAGAAAGAGTCTTCTCTGAGTTTAGCTCTGGTTGGGTGCTGCTCAGAACAGACAAGGATAGGAGCGTGACTGGTCCCCAACAAGGATGATGTCTTCTAGGGTCATCCATGTTGTAGCAGGTGTCAGATATTCCTTCCTTTTAAAGGCTGAATAATATTCCATTGTGTGAATTATACCACATTTTGCTTATCCATTCGTCCATCAGTGGACACTTGGGTTGCCTCCACCTTTTGGCTGTTGTGAATGCTGCAATGAACATGGGTGTACAAATATCTCTTTAAGATCCTGTTTTCAATTCTTTCGGGTATATACACAAAAGTAGAATTGCTGGATCTATGGTAATTCTATCCTTAATTTTTTGAGGAACCATACAATGGCTGTACCATTTTACATCCCCACCAACAGTGGGGTTCCAATTTCTCCACATCCTCAGCAACACTTATTTTCTGTTTTTTTTTTTAATAGTAGCCATCTTAATGGGTGTGAGGTGGTATCTCATTGTAGTTTTAATTTGCGTTTCCCTAATGATTAGTGATGTTGAACATATTTTCATGTGCTTATTGGCCATTAGTGACATCTTCTTTGGAGATATCTATTGAATTTTTACTTGAATATGTCTGCTCAAGTCCATTGCCCATTTTTGAATTGGGTTCTTTATTTTTTTGTTGTTGAGTTGTAAGAGTTGTTTGCATGTTCTGGATATTAACCCCTTATCAGATATATAATTTGTAATCGTTTCCTACTATTCCATGAGTTGCCTTTTCACTCTGTTGATTGTGTCCTTTGATGCACAGAAGTTTTAAATTTTGATGTAGTTCAATCTATCTATTATTTCCTTTTGTTATCATGTTTTTGTAGTCATATCCAAGAAATCATTGGCAAATCCAATGTCATAAAGCTTTTCCCCTATATTTTCCTCAAAGAGTTTTATAGTTTTAGCCCTGTGTTTAGGTCTTTGACCCAATTTGAGTTAACTTTTGAATTTGGTATAAGGGAAGGGTCCACCTTCATTCTTTTACATGTGGCTATCCAGTGTTTCCAGCACCATTTGTTGGAAAGACTGTCCTTTCCTTATTCAATGGTCTTGGCGCCTTTGTTCAAAATCATTTGTCCACGTATGTGAGGGTTTATTTCTGGGCTTCCTATCCTATTCCTGTGGCCTATGTGTCTGTCTTTATGCCAGCACCACATTGTTTTGATTACTTTAGCTTTGCTAAAAGTTTTGAAATCAGGAACTTATTCTTCTTTTTCAAGATTATTTTCGTTATTTGGAATTCCTTGAGATTCATGTGGATGTTAGGACAGATTTTTCTATTTCTGTAAAAAATACCATTGGGATTTTGATAGGATTACACTGAATCTGTGGGTTGCTTTGGGTAGTCTTGACATCCTAACAATATTAAAATTTCCAATCCATGAACACGGGATGCCTGTTCCCTTTATTTGTATCTTCTTTAACTTCTTTCAGCAATGTTGTGTAGTTTCCAGTGTGCAAGTCTTTGCCTCTTTGGTTATGCTAATTCCTAAGTATTCTTTTTGATGAAATTGCAAATGGAATTGTTTCCTAATCTTTTTCAGATAGTTCATTGTTGGTGTGTTAGAAGTGCAACTGATTTTTGCATGTTGATTTTGTATCCTACAACTTTTCTGAACTTGTTTATTATTAGTTCTAATAGGGGTTTTTTTTGGTGTGTGTGTGTATGTATAATCTTTAGGGTTGTCTGTATATAAGATCATGTCATCTGCAAAAAGGAGATAAACCTTTTATTATTTTTTTCTAGTCTAACTGATGGCCAAGTGTCCATTACTATATTGAATAGAAGTGGTAAAAGTGGGCGTCCTCTCCTTTTGGGACTCCAGTGACACAAAGTTTAGATTTTTTGTTATTGTCCCACAGGTCCTGAGACTCTGTACCTTTATTTAAAAAGAAACTATGTTGACTCTGTTGTTCAAATTAGATATTTTTTTTTTTACTATATGCAAGCTTACTGATCCTTTTCTCTGTATTCTCCATTCTGCTGTTGAGCTCATCCAGTGCTATTTTGTTGTTAGTTTGTTTACTTTGGTTATTGTACCTTTCTAAAATCTCCATGATGTTCTTCTTTATTTCTTTGCTGAGACTTTTTTCACTTTTTAAATTTGTTTAAAGAGTGCTTTTAACTGCTTGTTGGTGCATTGGTATAACTGCTTAAACGTCCTTGTCAGATAATTCCAACATCTGTGTGTCTGTTGATTACCCTTTCTCATTGGAGTTGAGATTTTCTTGGCTCTTGGAGTGAGTAATTTGGGACTATACCCTGGACACTATGAGTATGAGGTTACAAGACTGTCCTCCTTTTTACATGTCTATTTTAGCGGGCTGTCAGTCTATTTATGTTAAGAACGCGTGTCCTGGCCCATGTTTGTGGGCTGTTTTAAATGTCACTTCCTTTTCAAAGCCTTTGCAGTGCTGCTGTGGTCTGTGCTAGTGGGCTACCCAGAGGCCAGTTTGAAACCTGGGCCGTATTCTACACCATAGTTCAGCTCACAGTGTTTGCCACGTTGATCCTGGTTCGTTTTATAAATGGATGTGTGCAGGACTCACTACACAGATTTAAAGCATCCCATTGTGTGCTGAATTGTGTGCTCCCTCCAGCCGCCCTCCCCGCCCCCACCTCAATTCATATGTTGAAACCTTAAACCCTAACGCGATGGTCTTTGGAGAGGATGCCTTTGGGAGGTAATTGGGGTTAAATGAGGTCATGAGGGTGGGGCCCTTGCAGAAGCTCCCGGCTGGCCTCCCCACCTATGTCCTGCCACCTTTTGGTGCAGGATACCCTCCAGAACCATGGCCGTTGTGGCATTCCCCTGGCCAACACACTTCAGTGGCTCCTTGTGTCTTTGAGAAAAGTGCAGACTGTCAGTCAACAAGACCCTGTCTGCTGAGTTTTGCAGACTCAGCTTTTGCTACACCTTCTCTTCACACACATTCTAGCTTGGCTGAATGTATTCCCTCAAAGCACCTAGGACCTGTGAACCCGGAATGTCACCTTTGCTCAGATGATGCTTGGGCTTACCTAGCCTGTTCTTAAGGAACTCTCCCTAGGCCAGGGGACCCATTACCTGCTGGGGCTCCCAGGGCTAAAGTCCCTCACACTAATTGCCTTGCCTTTTCTGCTGTCTTCCCTAGACTGTAGCCTCCTGAGCCAGCACTTCTGGTTTTCTCTGCTGTATTCTGGTTGTATAGCACACACAGGGCCTGGCATGTGGCGAGCCAGTAAATGAACAATGACTCTTCACCTGCGTTTCCTGCCCCACTCTACTGCATTTAGATTCCAGCAGCGGTGTTTTGTGATGGCCGACCTCTGCTTCTGAGAGCCTCTCAGCCTGAAAGCCTTGTCTTTCTCCTCCCTCTGTTTAATTCCTATTTTCTTCCTATGCCCAAGAAAAATTTCTCTTTCATTAAACTGCTCTCAAATGAGCCCAGCTGGGATTTGGAGTTTATTAGCTGAATTGAATCCCAGATTGCATGAGAGACCATAGCAGGAGGGGGGCTCTGAGCCCTGTTCCCTGGATCATAGAAGTGTGGGACCAGGGGAGACGCCCACTCAACCCTTCCTGCCTCCTGGTGGCCCCCCTTGCCCTCATGAAGGCTTTCGGGCTCTGGCAATGTGGATGGAAGCACTTCATGGCACATCAGGGCACTTAGAGGACTGCAGCCTGCACTTGCTACTGTCCAGAATGTCCCCTGCTGTGCTCGCTGTGTTTCCTGGTCACATTGCCCTGCGTGTGTGTGTGTGGAAAGCCTGGCAGGTGCCACCGACAACCATCACGCACTTTACAAGATGCATCTCTCTGCTCCCTGGCCTGGTTGGAAACTGTTGCCCCAGGCCCAGTTCCAGTTTTCACTTTCAGAAGTAGCAACCCTATGCTGGGGACCTGAGAAATGGCTGGGGAGTGACAGTGACATGTCAAAGTTCAGATTCTATATGGCAAACATTTTGTTGGGGTGGCCAGATATACTTTAGTTGAGTTGACAGGGAGCTAACCAGTGTAAGCACGTGGACATTTATAATAAAGCAATGAAGGGGCAGCCGGTTAGCTCAGTTGGTTGGAGCAGAGTGCTCGTAGTACCAAGGTTGCTGGTTCGATCCCCACATGGGCCTCTGAGTTGCGCCCTCCACAACTAGAATGAAACAACTACTCAACTTGGAGCTGGTGGGTCCTGGAAAAACACACAGTTCCCCAATAAAAATAAAAAAAATAAAAATAAATAAATAAAGCAATGAGATTAAGAGCACGCACACCAGTGATGGCAAGGCAACCAAGTTTTATTAAAATTATCCTGAGCTTATTCAATGGGTCTAGGTAATCATGTTTCTGAACAAGCCAATTAATTTTGTATGAAGCAAAAATAGTATTAGACCAATTTATTTGCAAACCTTATTTAAATGACTATTTACAATATTTTTTATTTCTGCAGATAGGTGTATTTTTCTTCACGTCAAATGAAAACATAAAACTGTGTCCTATGAGAAATGTGGAGCAAAGCTACTATGCGATGTTTCAAGCCGTCTGTGCTTAGATCATCCCCCACCTGCTGTGCTTAGAATTGAAAATATTTGGATTTCAAAATTAGACAATAATTATATAGAAGTAAAGGATGCTGCATGGAACTTTGGTATTAAATAGTCTCATCTTTAGAGACATTTGAGATAATATCCTGGCCTCCATGCAGAGGACTGATGTGGCTGATAATTCCCGCTGAGCACTGGGAAGGGAGTTGCAGGTAAGCCCCTCGCAGGTGGGGGAGACACTAGTATGCGATCTGTTTGGTAAGGCAAAGGGACTCAGTGATCCGTGTTGGTTTCTCCCAGCAGAGCTGCCTCAGTGCTTTGTATCGTCTTGTGTCAATGAACCAAGAAGTTCTCGGCCAACATTTGCCCGCTTTTCAGTCTCATCTGTGCTGTTCCTCAGCCTCAGCTTGGTTTCCAGTCTCTGCCTCCATTCTTCTCTGAGCCTGAAAATAGAAACAAAACACACACACATGGAGCGTTCATCTCTTGGTGGTTGTGTTCATGGTGGGGGATGCTGACGGTGGGGAGGTCGTGCGTGTGGAGAGGGCGATATGGGAACTCTCTACTTTCTGCTCAATTTTGCTGTGAGCCTGCTTGAACAAATGAAGTCTATGTTTAAAGATTAATTAATAAAAAATAGACAACCAAGTCACATACTTTCTCAGCGCACTTCTCCCAAGGCGGTATTCCTCCGATTCTCGGTAGTAAGTCTGTTTGCCAATTTCTCTTTCCCAGAAGCGTTTGAGCTCGTGACAGGTGTTCCCGCAGAAAACCTCCCGGCGGACGTACTGATTGTTCATCCCCTGAAACAGAAAATATCAGCCGAACCTCCATAGAGCACGCTCCCTCGGGCTCCCGAGGGCACAGATGTCCTTTACCTGAGGGAGACCCTGGCCAGGCACAGCTGGGATGACCGCAGCCACCTGTTGTCAGGGTCCAGTGATGTGAATGCAGACGCTCCCCACTGGAGCGTGGCAGGTCAGAGGGACCTGGCAGTCCCTCCATCCTTCCTTCCTTCCTCCTCACAGAAGAACAGCTTCTCAGCTTGTTATCAACAGGAGTGAATGCAGGCATTTTATGCATTTAGTTGTCACAACTTTCTCATGAGTGGACATCGCCTCCCCATTTTAGAGGTGGGACATCTGAGGAGTTACAGAACTTGCCTGTAGTCCCCCAGCCGTGACTGGCAGACGGCAGGCTGCATCCTTCTGGATGTTTTCAAGCCTTTTCTTAAAGGGGTTTGTCACAGAGGACTGTCCCAGTGTCTGGCACACCAGAGCAAGCAGCTTTGAGGTGTGTATGTAGGTGTGTGTGTGTGTGTGTGTGTGTGTGTGTGTGTGTGTGGAATGATACACATCAGACACTCAAGAATGTTCATTTTTTTACATGAAAAAACTCTGCCCAGCTCCCAGACCTCAGTGGGTCCAGCGGGCAGGTCACAAGCAGGGCCTGGACAGTGAGAGAAAGGAGTTAGTGGGCTACGGGAAACGTGCAGGGTGAAGCAGTGCCCAGGGGGATAGAAGCACCGATAATGAAAGGGGACGGGCTCACAGGATATTGCGAGGGTGCCAACTCATGTGGTAAACAAAGGTGGAGGGTATCAGTGGAGCCTCCAGGGGCTGTGTCTGTGCAAAGGTGGGTAACACCAGCACAGGGCTCATGGGGGGCGGCTCAAGTAGTGCGGGATGCAGTGTGAGTCGCCTGGGCGCTAACACCCTCGGGAAATACAGAAAGCGCACCTGGACACACGGGTCTGGAACCCAGCATGAAGGTCCGACCACAGCTCCCTCTCAGAGAGTGACTGGGCAGCAGAGACGGTAGAAGGGGAGAGGGGTTTGAAGCCAGACGTTTACTCCAGACCGGTTTGTGCACTGACTTGATGCGCCTTCTGCTTGTCAACAAATTCTCTGGGCCTCAGTTTCCTCAGCTTTAAAATTTCTCTGAAGATCAAATTTGATCATGACCTGAAAGCATTCTGCAATTTATAAAGTTCTGAATATGGCTTTTGTAGTCCTTAAACTTCAAACTGTACAGGGCAAAATGGTGTCATCAACAATGAGTAGTCATAATTACCTCCCCCAACATTCTTTCTGTAGGGATGAAATAATTCCACTTGTCTTCTCTTTCCTTCTGGACCAGTGGCGGTTGACCTTGGCTGCCCACTGGAGTCAACTTGGGAGTTTTACAAAAACCTGATGCTGGGCCTCCATCCCCAGGGACTCTGATTCCATGAACTGGGACTGTCTTGGGCATCAGGGTTCTTAAAGCTCCCCCTGTGATTCCAATATGAATGAGCCAAGGGGAGAACTGCAGTCTTTGATCCTGTCTTGTCTCGCTCTGGGCACATCTGAGTCCAGAGCTGGCCCCAGGGAGGCTGAGGTGATTAAGGCTGGGCATAGGGATGGCACAGTCACAGCCATCTTGCGAAGTAGGCATCGTTTTCCCATTTTGCAGGCAAGAAAGCTGAGGTTCAGGGGTAGCAATTTGATGCTCTCAAGGTCATCCGGCTAGTAGGAGGGGCAGCTCTGATACTCAGGGCCCAGGTCCATCTCCTGCCCCCTAACTGTCCCCTAGGGAGGAGGAGGACTTCCTGGCCTCCTGGAAGTGCTCAGTGACCTCATGCTTTCCTGGCAAAATAGCAGAGATCTGACTTTGCAGTGAGCCCCGCACCCCAGAGCAGAGTTCTTTGGAAATGGGAACCATCCTATATTTTATTTAAATACCTTCAAGTGTGTAGTGATGGCCAATAAATACTTGTTGGATCGAATACATGCTTTCTCCACCCCCACAAGTTACAGTATTCTCAAAAGCTGGCCCAGAAGTGGCAGTGGTCCCTTTGACAGTGCTGCAGGCATTGAGGAAAAGTCCATAGGGACAACGTGGGGGCTCCCTCGAGTCACCTTGCCTGCCTAGTGGCCCTGGTGGACCTGGCGGCACGTGTTACCATGGACATGCATCTCAGGGAGGACAGGAAGGCATTCCCGTTTGCACAGTCTTTGACTGGAGTTCACTGCCACACAGTGACTCTGGTCATTTTGAGTTCTCGTGAAGCTTCTGGCATTCCGGGGGGAGAGACAATTTGGGGAAGTTACGAGCACATTAGATTATTTCCCCACAAATTTAGAAGGTTCATTTTTTACTCTGAAGTGTCTACTTACTTCAGAAGAATCGAGCGGCGAGAGCCTGAACAGGGACTGTGTGTGCCGTTGGGCCTCACACCTACTTTCTCGTCAGGATGCTCTTCCTGCGTGTGGGTCCGGAGGCTGCCCAAGCTCCGGACTTGGGAGCCAGGTTCAGAGAATTGCTGAAAACAAGGGCAGCCTCCCCTGCCAAGCCGAAAATCACATCGGGGTGGGCCCAGAAGAATGCAGGCAGCGAGCTCCGGAAACCACTCCTGCTACGTCTGCTTCAGCCTCCTCTTGGGCTGAGCTTCTGGGGCTCCAGGCCAGGGGAGGCACTGAGAACAGGGGAAGTTAAGGCAGAATCGCAGACCCAGCACCCTAGGGACAGGCAAGCATCACACGGGAGTGAAGCAGCTGTGTCTGGCAGGGAGCTGAGGGATGTGGACGCTAGAGTCCATCCATGCCCTACCCAAGAGCATCAAAACACTCTTCCTCCCCCACTTGCCTGCCATTCCCACCACCCAGTTATTCAATCAGTGCTCATTCAGCAGTTGTACGCTGGGGACCCAGTGAAGAGGGAGCAGTCCAGGAATTGGCAGCCATCACCGACATTTATTGAACATCTACTCTGTTCTAACATCCATTAACTCATTTAATCTTTAACCATCTGGAAATGCCCACCTCTGCTTCCCAGCCCTCCTCAGCATGCCTGGCACTCTCCAGCTCTGTCTGCTTTTGCTACAGAGTGACCCTGGGCCTCTGGGCCTCTCCTGTCTCCAAGCCACATCCTGTGCCTTAGGACGGAAAAGGCTACCCTAGTCTGCTGCCCTCCTGTCCTCCCCACCTGACAGCTTCCGGAAGTTGATATTTATGAAACCTCACCTCACCTCTAGCAGATGAACAGAGGCACCGGCCCTGCCTGCCTAATGCTGTCTGCTCCCTGCTCAGGCCTGGGCCCTAGATTCACATTTCAATAAGCAGGGGAATGAGAGAGCTGAGGGTAGGCACCCCCCATAAAGGAGGGGGCACTGGTCATCACCTCAGAGCTTTGGGACTTTCTTTATGTGTTCTGAACCTCAGTTTTGTCATCTGTGAAATGGGGTTGTTCTGAAGATTAAATCAGATCATGTTCATGAAAATGGTCAACACCAATGGGCATTGAGCATCACTGTGTGTGTCCAACTCCGACAAGCTCGGTCCTGGCCCTCTGGTTTTCTCTGTGTCCGGCATAAGGACATCATCGGCCAAAGCTAATAGAGTGTAACTGACAACCTCAGAAGCAGATGGGGGTGGTTTGGGCTCGGGATGGAGGAGGGGAATGACTGTAAAGGACCATGGGGGACTTTAGGGTTATGGAAATGTTCTATATCTTGTTTCTAGTGATGGTCACATAGCTGTATATAATTGCCAAAGTTGATCAAACTGTACATTCAAAATGGGTGAATTTTGTTACACGTAAGTTATGCCTCAAAAAAGTAGAGAGAAAAAATGTCTTCTGTGTTTGGATTAGAGATTTATCCATGTTCCCTGGCTGTAACCTACTGGGAGACCCTGTCAGTATCTCATTGTTAGGGTCAGCCTGTTCCTTCACGTCACCTGTTTTCTGTGAGTATTTGTGTTTCGCTTTCCTGGCTTCTAAAATGAGGATACTACTCTACCTTGCAGAAATGTGAGGAGGAGAATATCAGTAGATAGAAAGCCCTTTGGAAACACAGGGGATTGTCCTTGATAAATAAATTGCTCCATTCCTCTGTAACTCCTTGTCCAAGAATCGAGCTACCAGATTACACTTTTCTGGAGAGAACTGGTGCTACCGCTTCCAGCCCATCACCACCAACTGGGAAAAGCCATAACTTCAAGGACAGTTATGAACTTTACTTCACAATATTAATTTGTGCTTAAAGAGGACAGCAGCATGTAACACCTTCACCTCAATTCAGTTAAACAAAGTGTGTTGAACTTTTACCATCTGTGAAGCATCTATGCAGCACGAGGGGCCAAGTAATGTTCAGTGAACCAACTAAGACAAAGGCACATTTGTCTGTTTTAAGTTCTAACGCTGTACCAACCATTTAATTTTCCAAGCCTCAGGTTACTCGGCGTATTAAACCCAAATTGAGGAATGAGAGAGGGGCGGTTTTTTAAAACAAGAATTTTGGCTTAAACTGTTCGTTCTCAGGACTCTTGGCTGGAGTGGCTCATTATATCTCAGCCGACCGTGCATGCTACCAGTATATTTCTTGTACATCCAACACCTCAGAAGAGCAACTGTTTTTGTGATTATTTTTCACAACATTTAAAAAGGCTCCATAAAGATCACAGCTTAAAACAGAACAAAGCGTTCCAGTTCCAGATAAAATGGAGGAAGTACACTCCACCCTGTCTCCACAGACACGGCAGCTCCAAAACCTGGACACACTGCAGCTAACTGAGGACTCTGAAAAGCAGGCAGAAGCAGGTGCCCCAGAAAAGACCAGAATTCCAATTACCATGGAATGGTGCTAAATTTTCTGTTTTTACTCTGGGCTCCCCAGTTTAGACTCAAGGCAACCGGGAACCCACAAGAGGGAACATGGCCAGATAGAGCTCCAAGAAGTCCTCTGATTCTAGGGAGAAAGGAGACTCAGTGCTCAGAGAATTATGGGTATCACTTGTTTTTCCTTTCTCCATCCTCTCAGGTCTCCAGGGAACTCCAAGGTGAGGCAGCAGCGATGGAATTGACTGGCAAGGCAACAGCAGGGCCTGCAGACACAAAGCCCTGAAAACGGCAAAACTTAATCCGATAGGAGGCGTTGTGGTTCTGTGAGGTGGAGCGGACCCTAGCTGTTTTTTCTCTCTCAGACCTCTGGACATTTGACCCCAGATGTGAGTGCAACCCCAAGAAGTGCACTGGCAGAGCAGGTAACTAAAGCCTCAGTCCTTTCTGGCCAAAGGACTGAAAAAAGGGGAGTCCAAGGAACTGGAAATTACCTGGGATACTACAGAGGTGGGCAGACCTCTGGAAAGAGGCTCCTTAAAAAGTGCTTATGAACACCGAGGCTGGCATCCTGGCTGCACATGCGTCGTTCATACTCCAAACAATGGAATTAGTAGAAAAATCATCACAGGTATAGAAAAACTGAACAACATCATCAGCCAACTAGATCGAAGTGTAATTTGTGAACCTCTCTACCCAACGATGGCAGAACACAGGTTCTTTTCAAGTAAATGTGAAGCAAACCACAAAAATATTCCTAGAATAAGTGAGTTTAGCAAGGATGAGATCAACACACAAAATTAATGTATGCCAGCAAGGAACAGTTGCTGAAACTGAAATTAAAAACACAATACCATTTATAATAACCCCAAAATGAAATACTTAGGTATAAATCTAACAAAACTTGTATAAAATATGTT